ACTTAACTGACTGAGCCACCCTGGTGCCCCAATATTTTTAACGTTTATTTATTTATTGAGAGAGACAGAGAGAGAAACAGAGATAGCATGAGCAGGGGAGGGTTAGAAAGAGAGATAAAGGGAGAGAGAGAATCCCAAGCAGGCTTTGTGCAGAGCCCGATGCAGGGCTCCATCTCACGATAGTGAGATCAGGACCTGAGCCTAAATCAAGAGTTGAATGCTTAACCAGCTGAGCCACCCAGACACCTGTGATATTGTGGTTTATAGGAAATAGATTTGGTTATTCAGATAACCAAAATATATTTCTCAGGTATGGGAGACCAGCCCATTTCACAGACAGGGATGCAGAGGCCCGGGGCGGGCCGGGCAGGGTCAGGTCTCAGTGCCAGCCCCAAGGCTGCAGATCCAGCCCTGGAGAGAAGGTTTCCACCTTCTTGAGGCTCAAAGATCACCAAGGACTTCTGGTGACTGGTGCCAGAGCAGACACCAGGGACAGAGAGTGTGGTGCAGCATGTCTGTGGGCATGAGGAGCACCATAGGTGGCAAAGTGCTGGGAGCACCAAGTTGGGTGGCCAGGGCAGGGCTTCCCTGAGGCGGTCATGGCTCACAGCACCCCAAATTCAACCTGTCCCAAACCAGCGGGCAGTCTCCCTCAGAAACCTGGCTCTCCCCTGCATCTCACCCTTCTCCCAATCGCTAAGGCTTGTGGCTTCTACCTCCTTGACCCACTCACTCTGTCACATCCCTGCCACTGCCATCCTCCTCCACTCAGATGACTGCTTCTATTCCTGTCTCCTTCCTCCAGAGTAGCTGTCATCCGATTGTAACCTCACCACCATGCTGAAAACTCTCTGAGGGTTCCTCATTGCCTTGGGACAAAGACCACAGCCTACACAGCCCTGCTAAGCCTCCAACTGCACACAGCTCCTCCTTGCCATGCTTTCTGCTTCTCTCTGCACCCCCACCATGGCACCTCAGGACCTTTGTACAGGCTGTTTCCCCTTGGGGCATGGCTAATGCTACTCATCCTCTGTCCCAGACCTCCTTGTCCTTCCCTATCCCCCCTCCCCACCCCAGAGACCTGCTAATTCCTGGAGAGCCTGGAATCTGCTATCAAGCTCAGAGGACCAGGCCCAAGCCTGACACAGCCCACCTGGACAGTCTGTCATTCTTGCCCTCCAGCCATGAGCAGCTGCTGCCAAGTAGGTTCTAGACTCAGTGCTAAAAATACTCCATGACCCAGACAGGAAGGGCCATCAGGGACACAGCTGTTCCTGGGAAGGGCTGGCTCTTCCCAGTGGTAGAGGCCTTCCCACTGCAGTTTGGGGTCCATGTTCTGGAAGCCGGTGGGAACTGAGCTCACAGACCCCGAGCAAAAGCCCCCAACAAAGGAGGCTCAGGGTCACTATGGAGTGGCCTTGTATTGTCAAAAGGAAAACACAGCTGCCTCCAACATGTACACAAACACCTTGTTTCTCATACTTTGGGTTTGTTACCACAGGCAAGTGTTGGCTTTGGAATAAACTACATTTAAAAATTAGGTATATGGGGCCTTAGGTGAGCCTAGGTCGGTGAGCTCTGGTCCCCTCAGGGAGGGCTTCCTGGAGTAGGGAGCATTTCTACCACTTTCATCTAAGCTGGTAGGGAGGAAAATGAATGAATGGATGAACCAGAGATCTGAGGCAGTCCTTGGAAGAGAGAAGCCGAAGCCCAAATAAGAGGTGGCAGCAGCAGTGGTGGTGAGGTGTGTTGCAGAGATGAAAAGGGACTGGATGGGATGTCTGGGTGGCTCAGTCCGTTGAGTGTCCAACCAGCTCAGGTCACAATCTCACGGTTTGTCAGTTCGAGCCCCACATCATGCTTGCTGCTATCAGCACAGAGCCTGCTTCAGATCCTCTGTCCCACCCCTCTTTGTCCCCTCTCCAGAAATAAACATTAAAAAAAGGCGGGGGGACTGGAGAATTCCATGGGAGCCTCAAGTTCCAAGTGGGCTGGGGAAGGTGAGGCTTGGATGACCCCAGGTTTCTGGATCGTCACTGGGGCTGATGATGGGGCCTCCTAGCATGTGAGGCCTGTAAGGAGGAAGGCAGGCTTGGTGGGCATGAAGGGGGTACTGTCCTGTTTGTGGGCACTAAGAGCCTAGACAGGAGATTCTGGGGTCCTCTGGGTGCCCCCAGATCTGGGGATGCTGGAGTTCCTTGCTCTGCAGCAGGCAGGGTTGCAAGGCCAGAGAGACAACTTGAGGAGCAGCGTTCACTGTCACCTTGCCCAGGGACCACAGGCCCTCCTTCAGCTACATCCTTTGCCAAGAAGAGAGGGTGGGCCCAGCTGGCCCTACTGCTTGGGACAGGAAGCTAAATAGACGTTGGCATCCAGCACACAGCCTGCCTACATCTTTAGGCCCCTGGGACCATGTGATGCCCAGGACTTCTCTCCAAAAATAACTGTCTGCAGATACCTGAGTCAGAGGAGAAATGGGCCTGCCCTGGACCTGATACTGGACAGGAAAAGCCTGGACTGGTGATGGAGGTCTGCCCCAGGCCCTGCTGTGCCTCCTACTAGGCCTCAGTTTCCCCAGGGTTCTGAGGAGGGAGCATCTGCAGTAAAGTCCAGCCACTGTTCCTGTGACTGTCCCTCCAGCTGGCAACCCCCACCTACCCCGGGCTCCCAGCCTCCCGGGAATGTGCTTCTGGTCCCCAAACCAGGCTCCTGCCTTATCAGCCCCAATCAGAGGGGAGACAGACACCCCTCCCCTCCTCCACCCTCCGCTCCACAATTGATAGCCCCTCCTACTAGCCTCGGCCTGACCCTGAGTGGAGGGCCCCTGCTAAGTGCCTGGAGGAACACCTCCCCTTCCCCATGCTGACAAGAAACCTGACCTCCCTGGATGGCTCTTTTGTGCCTGGCAGGCACCAGCCCTGGCATTTGAGGTCCTGCATTCCCACCAGCTGCCACACCTCCCCCCTAACCCTCCACCAGGATGGAATCTACTCTGCTGGGCCCACCGCAGACGTGACCTTGGCCTGTTTTGCTGGAAAATGGAGGCTGCCTGAGGGGGACTATTCCCACCACCAACCTCTCAGCACCTTGGTCCAATTCCTGCTGTATCAGGCCAGACCTATTCTCACCCCTAAGCCAAATGCACATCCCCCTTCGGTGCTCCCAGCCTCTCCCTCCCCTCCCAGCAGCTCCATGAGCTACTCACTAGGGAATCCCTCTGAGTGCCCTCATTTTCTTGGGATCCACCTGAAATAACTTTATCAACTGGTTATCCCCCTTTCCAGTCTCCTCTGCGGGACCTCAGGGCCCTGTCCAGGGCATTCCTCATCTTCCACACTTACGTCCACACCTGAGCTCCCATATTGGTAAGGGCACATCTGTCTGGGCACCTTCCTCTCCCTCTTACCTTCTATTATCCTGATTACAGAGACACTGGCAGGGCTGCAACCCTCTGTTCCCAGGCCATGTCTCTGTGAGCTTCTGTCTTGCTCCTGATGCCCTTTCCTGGCTCAACTCCTGGAAGACCCCTCCCAGCCTCCCCTGGCCTCCCTGACCAGGTGTGCCTTCTCTGATTGTTGAAGGCTGAGCTGCCCAGGCCTCACCTCTTCTCTTCTCCATTTAGCCTTGCCCCTTGGATGCTTCACACAGGCCAAAGCTACAAATGCCACAGGTCTACGGTTGACTGACATCCACAATTGGACTGCCTGCCCAACCTCTCCCTGAACACCATACTTGGATTTCTCCAGGCAGATATCACACAAATACCCTAAACTCAACAAGGCCAGAACAGTACTCCATCTGCCCGCCTTTTCCCCAAGTGTTCTTCATATCTGTAAAGGCCACCACCATCCATCTTCCCGGTGGCACAGACCTCTAAATCACCGTTGATTCCTCCCTCACAGCTCTGTCCAATCCGTGGACAAAACCACCTCTCACCCCAGCCTCACACTCCAGGCTCCATGCTGCCTACGTCACTACTGTGCCTTGCAGCTTCCCTCTGCTCACAGATTCCTCTGACAGTCTGTTGTGCTTGCAGAAGCCACAGGGACCTTTTTTAAGTGACAATCAAGTGTCACTTCCTCACAGACACTTCCCCGGCTTACTGCCCGACCCTCTACTCTTGGCGTTATTTGCGTCATTTCCTGGTCCTGTGAACACTAGCTCTCATATTCGCACAGGTCTATGCCTGCCTGTCTTCTCGGCTACACCATAAGGGATAGCATCCTTTATTGACTGCTGTATCTCCTGAATTCAGAAAAGCACCTGGCACATAGTCCGTGTTCAGTAAACAGTTGACTTAATGAGTGCATAAATGGAGTTCCTCTTTTCCATCAAAATGATGAGGCCGTCTCCAGCTTGTCCACTCGTTCTGGCCCGTGTGGGCACCCTGGCGTCCCTGGGGGAGACCTCCCACAGGAGTCGGCGTGGGGTCCAATGGACTGAGGCGGGGTCGGAGAGTGGACGTGGTGCTGAGCACCTCCTTTGTTGTAGGCTAGGTGGCACTGTCTCTGGCTCTCAATGGGGTAGATAGACAGGACCGAGTCTCCCCCAGCACTAGGTGTACTCACAGAGCCCGGGGACCAGACACGTATTAATCCCGGCTTGCCCACGCTCCAGCGTGACTCCGCCCCTTCCGGTCTCGCTGTTCCTCGGTCCTGTCTTTTTTCCACTCGCGGAGTAATTTCAGTCCCGCCCCCAATACGTCGTTGCTATTGGTTCTCCTTAGATTGACGCCAAGCGACCAGTTCCTCATTGGCTACACGTTCTCCCGCGCCGCCACTACAGCCACCACAACAACCGCCACGTGCTCAACCGTGGGGCCTGCTCATTGGTCTCGAGTTCCGACCCGCCCACTCTCTCCTGTCCCGCCCTCGTCTTCCAGCTTCCTCCTCCTATTGGTTACTGGGCCCAGGGACCCGCCCCCTACTCTGGGCGCACTGCTCTCCCCGACATGGATTGGCCGAAGTCGGGGAGTGAGGCGGGATTGGGAGGCGGGTTAAAGAGCGCGCAGCAGGTTGGGCCACGAGTGTCAAAGAAGGTTCAATGGCGTGGCAGGGACTGGCGGCCGAGTTCCTGCAGGTGCCAGCGGTGACGCGGACCTACACCGCGGCCTGTGTCCTTACCACCGCAGCTGTGGTAAGCTGGCCGGGCGGGTGGGATCGGTTCCCTGGCTGCAGCCCGGGAGGGGTGTAGCCATGGTTACCGCTAGATTCCCCGGGGTCGCACCTGACGCGCCCCTGGTTCCGCAGCAACTGGAGCTCCTCAGCCCCTTCCAGCTCTATTTCAACCCGCACCTCGTGTTCCGGAAGTTTCAGGTGAGGCCACCCGCCCCTTGCACCTGACAGCCGGGCCCTGCCTGCCCCGCGCCTGACCGCCCACCTACCCCCTATCCCCGTAGGTCTGGAGGCTCGTCACCAACTTCCTCTTCTTTGGGCCCCTGGGATTCAGCTTCTTCTTCAACATGCTCTTCGTGTATCCTGCGCCGAGCGGACGTAGGCGTAGGGTGGTGGGCGGCCCGCCAGGCTGGGGAGCGGCCCAGCGGGGCTGGGGGAGGCCCAGAATGGCCAGGAGCAGGGAAACCAAGGCTCCTCCCGGTGGCATTTCCTTTACGGACGCTGCAGGTTTCGCTACTGCCGCATGCTGGAGGAGGGCTCCTTCCGTGGCCGCACGGCCGACTTCGTCTTCATGTTTCTCTTCGGGGGCGTCCTCATGACCGTATCCTTCCCAGGTTCTGAAACCTTAGGCGCTGCGCCTCTGGGTCCAGCCTCTGTAGGCCCTGGGGCCCGACATGAGCGCCTGGGCCCTAGGGGGACAGAGTCGTTCACTCCAGTTTAGGGTGAATCTAGCATACGTCATCTGCTCAGCCCCGGGCTACTAGCTCTTCAGTGCTGTACGCAAAGTATCACAGGGTGATGTGGAGAGCCAGGTAGGGTGCTTGCAGGCTGAGCCCCGAATGCCAGTAGCCAGAAGAAACTGGGGCAATGAAGGGCAGTGTTTGGAGGCTGGGGCCAGGTGGAGAAGCAGAGCAGATCACGTTGGCCTGAAGGCCACAGTGTGGCTTTGATTGAAGGGTCCATCACTAGAAGTGAGGAGGGAAGGAAAACTGGGGAGGAGTCCAGGGGTTTAGGCAGTCAGAGGGGTCCTGGGCAGGGGCTCTGAGGCCTGCACAAGGAGAAGTCCTCCCAGCACCTTGACTCTGGCTCAGCTGCTGGGGCTCCTGGGCAGCCTGTTCTTCTTGGGCCAGGCCCTCACTGTCATGCTGGTGTATGTCTGGAGTCGCCGCAACCCCCGAGTGAGGGTCAACTTCTTTGGCCTCCTCACCTTCCAGGCACCATTCCTGCCCTGGGCACTCATGGGTTTCTCACTGCTGCTGGGCAACTCAATCCTTGTCGACCTGCTGGGTGAGCCTGCCTGCGCATCCAGCCCCGACCCCCCAGAAACAGGCTGTCTGGTACCTGATGACCTTTGGGAGGGCTCCCAGGCTGGTTGCTGTGCCAGAGCACAGCACCCACCTGGAATGGACCTCTCACCTGTCTTCCCACCCCCACTTCCTGCTCTGCCAGCTCCTCTGTTCTTCTGGCCCCTTGCATAAGCCAGCCAGATACCTGCTTCACATCTTTAGGCCTGATGTACTGATGCTTGTGGGGGTCCTGACCAGGGTGGGGTTGGGTAAGTCAAGATTCCAACCTTCGCTCCTGTTCCTCCCATGTTCTCAGCCCATCCCCTCTCCAAGTCCTGCCCACTTCTGGGCCAGGTAAGCCAATCCTTCAGGGTCAACCCTGGCCCCACCCTGGGCTGGCAGTCTGTGCAAGATGTTGTGTACTCTGGGGCCTCAGGTTACTTGGCCTGGCTGGCCTCCAGAGCTGTGCGTGGAGTCAGGGAGCAGGTTGTGCTGGCTCCAGATTCGGGACTGTGGAGGGTGGCCTCAGCAGTCCTTTGCTCTCCTACAGGGATTGCTGTGGGCCACGTTTACTACTTCCTAGAGGATGTTTTCCCCAACCAGCCTGGAGGCAAGAGGTTGCTGCTGACCCCCAGTTTCCTGTAAGTGCTAGAGATGACAGTTATCCCCCTACACTCCCTCAAGATGGCTCCTGACCCCACTGGGGACCCCTGCTGGCCTCAGCTCAGTGTGGGCCCCTCCCTACAGGAAGCTGCTACTGGATGCCCGAGAGGAGGACCCCAATTACCTGCCCCTCCCGGAGGAGCAGCCAGGACCCCTGCAGCAATGACCCTACCCAGGGCCAGGGCCAGCCCAAGAAGCCCGTTTTCCTGGTTTCCGACAGACCTCCCTCCCACCCCTAACTCCCGCTTTCAGGAGAGCAACCTGTCCTGCAGACTGGGCCTGTGCCCAGGGCCCACCCAAATAAACAGGATGACCTGCACCTCTTCGTCCACAGCACTGGCTCCCTGCCTCAGCTGGCCACACCTTTCCATGCTGCTGGCCCTGACGTAGAGCCACTAAGCCTGGCCTGCCCTCTCAGACCAGAAGGGAGGCCCAGAGTGGGTCAAGAACCTGCCCATAGTTGCCTAGCAGGAGTGAACTAGCAGATGGCACACTCCGGGTTTTCACTCTAGCTTTGCCAGTGCCTTGCTGGAGCCTTGGGCAAATCCCACCTGCACCAGATCTCTGCTCCCTGCCATGCAGCAAGGGAGCTGGTCAGATCTCACTGGCTGAGGCCAGGACTGGGATGTCCCTGTTGTGCCAAGCCCAGTCTGTAGGGGCTCCTGCCCATGGTGCCCTCAGGCTGATGCCTCACTGTCCCTCATCAGCAACCAAGTGGACCTTTGCCCACTTTCCAGCTGAGCAGTTAATGGACTTGGCCAAGGCTCCATGAGGTCAGGTGCAGAGGAGGGCCAGGACTGGGTCCTCTACCCTTTCTGCAACCCCAAAGCTTTGAGAAATTTTCACCATAGCAGAGCCTTGCAAAGTTCTCTCCCTGATGTTTTTAGCTAAGGACCATGGAAACCTTATCTGATCGCACAGCTCACTTTTCTCTTTGGTAAAGCAGCCATCAGGCAACCTGGCCAACTTTCCTCATCACCCTAGACCAGTCCAAATTACAATTTATTCCTGGATGATTGGCAGCAATAGGGGCTCCTCCAGCCATAGGTCGTCATGTTCGTGGGTGACACAAGTATTCACCATGGGAGTCTAACCTTAATTTAGTAATGAAATCTTGCGGAGTAGCAGTGTAGCAGCGTGGGCTGGCAATGCTCAGAGTGAGGGCTCAGCCCCTGGGCTGCCCTCTAGTTGTAGGGCCTCATGGACCAAGCAAACCCTTTAGCAATGGAGCCCACTTATTTCTAAGGCCAGTGGAGCCTGGGCCTGGAATCCTGCTCTTTGTTCAAGGCCTTCCAGTGAAGCCCAGGTGTCCCCTTGCTGTGGGGCTCCAGCAAGTTCCACTCCTGGATGAAGGGCAGGGGGCTTGAGTACAAACTCCCCGGGAGCCAGGAGCCGTCACGTCCCAGGACATGATCACAGGACCCCAAGCCCAGAGGGCTAGGCGCGTCTACCCCTACATCCTGGCAGTCAAGACCTCAATTCCTACTCAGAGCTCTGCCCTTGCCCAGGGTGGGGTTCAAGTTGGGAGCCAGGTGCCATCACACTCCTGCCATGCTGCTGGAGGGCAGAGTAGCCCTGACATGGCAGGGAAGACCTGCCAGCAAGTGAAGGAGGCAGCCCAGTGCTAAGATCTGGGTCCATTACCTTCGTTAAGAATGTAGCTGTGCGTCCAAGTCATCAAGCAGCACTCACTCAGTGAGGAGACCCACATATGCCACCCTCATGGAGCCCACGTCCCTTCTGAAGATTGAGGTCACTTCCACATTAGACAAGAATGCAGAGGGGACACACAGCTCACTGGAGGCGGATCTGAGAAGAGGCCCAGAGCTTGCCTCCTTCTCAACACATAGCACCCACGGCCAGCACTGGGCAGGCATGCTGCTCCGTGTGCCTTACTTCTCATAACCGACCTGGGAGAAAGGAGCTGGCCTGGGTGGAGTCACCAGCTGGGGGCAGAGCTGGGCCCCAACCACCTGTTGCACATGCACCGCTGCAAGGTGTGGCAAGAGCGGTGCACGCCCGCTGGAGCCTGAACAGCCAGGCATGGGCCCTTGGGCACCCAAGCTGGTAATGCCCCTGCAGCAACCACAAAGGATGGGGCTGCTGTAAGGGACTCCAGAGAAGCAATGCTCCTGGCCAGGGGTGGCACAATAGCCCAGACGTGCAGAGCCCAAGGATGGCAGGAAAGCCTGTAGCTCCTTCACAAGGCCAAGCAAAGGGGGTGGGGTGGGGCCGTCACTGAAAGGTAAGTGGGCCCCCCTACCCTGAGCCTCATGACCTCACTTGTCATGTCCATCAGCTGGAGGGCCTGAGGAAAAGCAAGACTGTGCTATGGTTGGCCTTGGATAGAAACTTAGCCCCAACCTGCCCACCTGGGACTCTGAGGCAGAGAAGGCTGAGAGGCCTGGCATGCCAGCCTTGGTCCCACACCACCCCAGCCAAGTCCTTCTCCTTGTCCCCTTTCTTATTTTTATGCTACCACTTTAAAAAAATGGAACATGACCTGTTGTCTTTTATTTAAAAAGTGTTGCTAGCCCTGCCTGGGGCTCCTATACAAAAACAAAACATAACCCAAAACGAGGCCTCTTTCTGACCAGAGACTTGGATGGGGACTGGGCTCAACAAATGGAATGTGCCCAGGGAAGGATGACCAGAAGCCCTCCCCACACCCCATGTTCCTCAGGATGGCCCCGGCCTGCCCCTTTGCCTCCCTCCTTGCCAGAAGATGAAGGAGAGGCGGTCCGATCTTCTCAATGCTCCGTGGGAGCCATGCGCAGACGGGCTGGTTACCAAGCTGGGGCAGTGTTGGCAAGACGCCTCATACGCCTGCAGGAGGAGAGGAGGTGATGACCCGGAGCCAGCTTCCAGCCCTGGGTGGCTGCCCTCCCCTAGGGATCTCTAGCACAGCCAAGGGAGCGGGGACGGAAACAGGATACAAAAGGTGGGATCCCCAGCCCCTCCCTCAGCCAGAGCCTGTCCCCTGCTTGACGCCCTGACAATGCCCTCTCTCCTGCCTGCTCATGTCTTGCCTATGTCTCCAGGGTTCTAGACACATAGGTCTGGGCTGTGGTCAGATCCAACCTGAGGGCTTAACTTTTGTTCCCTGAAGGAAAACCCACCTGGGGTCTAGATTGGGACTCATCACCCAGGGCCTGCCTCTGGCCATGCAGGTACCTTCCCAGAACCAGGGTCCCTCCCCTGCCTGCAAGACAGTGGCTGTGTGCAGAGCAAGCTGCAAGGGGCCTGAAGGAGGAGGGGTACCTTGTGTTCCTGTCCTGGTCTCGGATCTTCTTTTCCATCTCAGCGTCTGTCAGAGTCTCCAGCAGTGGGCACCATTGGTCAGCATCGCCTGTGTTCCGGATGGCAATTTCTACCGTGGGTAGGGGGTTCTCACTGTGGGCCAGGGGTGAGGAATGGGGGTTGTAACTGTTAGTTCACAGAGCAGCAACCAGAAAGGCCCCCAGAGACCAGTGTCCACCCCCCTGCCAGAACACCAGGGCCAGGGCATAGCAAGGAAGGCCCAAGGCTTTCCTGCTTCCTCTTCTGTCTCCTCCCTGCTGGGCCATTTCCATGCCCAGCTCCTCAGAACAAGAGTGGTGTGGTCAACACCCACCATCCGAACCTCAAGGCAGAATCACTGGAGACGCCAGGTCCCCCAACAATAGCTTCTCTTCAAAGCATGCTCAAACAGGCCCTTTGCTGCCGCCTAGGTGTCTCTGGTCTGTAAAGGAGTGGGGGTTCCCTGCAGAGGTGGTTCTGCATGACAGTATTGCTGGGAAGGTAGGGGAGGGCAGTCTGCCCCACTCAGTGCCTGGGGCTTGGATCCACCGGCCTTGATGCCTCATCAATGAAGGCCACTGGGCCAGCCTGCTCCTGAATATTCCATACATTTGCCCCTCAGTGCACTTTACTGACCCAACTAAATCCAGATAGCTGGGCCTGGAACCCTTGTCCCCTGACCACTACAGTCCATGGCCCCTCAGTGACCACCCCAAAGGCCATCTATGCACCTATGCACCCTCTTGCCAAGGACACACAGCAGTAGGGGTGAGGGAGACACACGCAGAAGCACAAGAGAAGGGAGGACACAGCTGAGGTGCTGCCTCTCTGGGCCTTGATTTCCAAGCCTGTGTGACAGGAGGCTGAAGAGGCAAGGATACTTCAGAGCTGACCACTCAAACTCCTGGCCCAGGAGATAAGTCTCAGACTGTGGCCCTAACAGTGAATCTCTTCCACCCCCTTCCCTTTCCTCACCAGGCCCTTTCTCTTCCAGCCAGGCGGCCTGTACCTATCTCTCGAGGCCCAGCACCCCCAGAAGGCTGACCCTGCTCCACTGCAGCCCTATCAAGTGTCTGCCCACCTCAGCCTGGAGCCCTGCACGGCACAGTTCCCTCTAAGAAGAGTGAAGGCAGGCAGGGCCCAGGGGAGGCAGGGGAGGACACTGACAGAATAAAAGAGGATGGACCCCTGATCTGTGGCCTTGCTTCTGGTACCTCATTTGGAAAAGAGGAACAATTACAGGGCTGTGAGGGCTCTTCAGAGGATTACTATTATTTAAAACAGCCAACATATGTCCACTGAGGGGGCTCCCTAGGTGCCAGGAGCCTTGTCATGCAGTCTCCCTGGAACTTGTGCCCAAGGTTGTGTGAGTGGCCAGCTAGAGAGGGATGTCCACCCAGGCCTGACAGGAGGCTGTGCCCCTCACACTGCCAGCTGGCACACAGCAGCTGAGGGCCTGTTCTGGCTTCCCTTGTGTGCTAGTGTTCTCATCCTGATTCTCAAGGACCGGGAGCAGACAGGGCCCAGCCTGGTGCATGCACTAAGGCTGTCACCACAACCCAGAACTGCCCCTGGCTCCCCTGCAGAAGCAGGGCTCACTTCTTCCTGCTGAACTAGGTCCCCAAAGCCCAAGCTTGTGCTGGTGACTCAGAGGCTAGTGACAAGAGCAGCACCAGCCCCCACCCGTGGTACCCTGGGGCCAACCCTCCTCAGCAGCTCCTGAGAGCTCTTCTCCAGCCAGTGTGGTGGTTTGGCAATCCTGAACCACCCAGCCACAGACCCAAACATCATTCCTCACCTCAAGGGCTCCCAGCCACCTTCCTTGGGAGGGCAGACATGAAAGGCGCCAAGCCCACGCTGAGGGAAGCAAAACATGTTTTCCTCTTAATTTAAACAAGGGCTTGTGAGTAGGTCCTGGAGGCCCCTTTGTTTACCTTCCCTTGGCTCTGGGAAGATTCCACTCCAGTGGGTTTGTTCTAAAATAAGAACTGCTCAATCCAACCATGTAAGAATGGGCCGAGAGCCAGCAGGGCTCTCGGGTTTGGGACAAACACACAGGCAGGGGTCACCTTGCCTCCCCCTCCTTTGAGGGGATTCTGCATCATGGACTTCAAGGCTCCCTGTGATCCCAGATGTTCCTACCACCCTGCAGAGTCCAGGTGGGGACACAGAGCCCAGGAATGGGAGGGCTGTGGCGGAGATGTCAGAGGGCCCAGGGCCGTAGCTTGTAGGGTATCTCAGTATGGGCTCACTTTTATGCCCTCACATGATACAAAATGCCAGCCAAGAACCACTGCTCTACTCACTTTACAAATGAGAAGGACAGAGCCTTCAAGGGAAATGACCTACCTGCCCATGGCCACTCCACTGGGAGGAGGGGGAGAGAGAACTCAACAGCACCCTCCTCTTTATGGCCAACTGGCTTTTGACAAGGGTACCAAAGTCCATACAATGGGGAAAGACCAGTCTTTCCAACAAATGAGCACTGGGATAAGATGACCTTGGATTAGGCAGAGGTTCTGTAGGTATCATATTAAAAAGCACAGGCAGGGGGTGCCTGGCTGGCTCAGTCGGGACAGCATAGGACTCTTGATGTCAGGGTTGTTGAGTTCGAGCCCCACCCTGGGTGTAGAGATGACTTAAAAATAAAATATTAAAAAAAAAAATTTTTTTTTAAAGCACAGGCAACCGAAGAAAAAATAAAGTGGACTACACCAAAATTTAAAGCTTCTGTGCTTCAAGGGACACTGTCATGAAAGTGAAAAGACAAGCTACAACGTGGTAGAAAATATTTGTAAACCGTACCTCTGATAAGGAACTTATACCTACAATATGTAAAGAACACTTACAACTCAATAATAAAAATACAAATAGCCCAATTAAAAACTGAGGGACCTGAGGGGCTGTTTTTCTAAAGATGATATACAAATGCCCAAAGGCACCTGAGAAGATGCTCCATCATCATTTGTCAGTGGGGAAATGCAAATCACGACCCCAACGAGATGCCACTCCCTCCCCCTCCCCCACTAGGATGGCGAGAATCAAAAAGTCAGGTTAACAGGGGTGCCTGGGTGGTTCAGTCGGTTAAGCGTCCAACTTCAGCTCAGGTCATGATCTCATGCTTCATGGGTTTGAGCCCCACGTCAGGCTCTGTGCTGACAGCTCTGCTTTGGATTCTGTGTCTCCCTCTCTCTCTGCCCCTCCCCTGCTTGCGCACGCGCTCTCTCTCTCTCTCAAAACTAAATAAACATTTTAAAAAATTAAAAAAAAAAAGGTAACAAATGTTGGCGAGGATGTGGAGAAATGAGAAAGAAGCCTGACTCTACTGGTGCAAAAGTAAAATGGTGGGCTGCTTTGGAAAGCAGTCTGGCAGGAACTCAAAATGCTACACACAGCTACCACGTGATCCAGCAATTCCTCTCCTACGATCTACCTAAGAAAACTGAAAATGGATGTTTAAACAAACACTTGGACATGAATGCTCACAGCAGTGCCACTCTCCACAGCCCAGAAGTGTCAACCACCCGACTGTCCGTCAACCCATGACTGGGTAAACACAATATGGCACATGTGTATGACGGCACTGTACTCCGCCATAAACAGGAATGAAGCTCCCATACAGGCTGCCATACAGAAATAATGATACTAAGAAATGAGCCACAAAAGAGCATGTATTACATGATTCGATTTATACAGAGTATCCACAACAGGCAAGTTGATAGCAAGTAGATTAGTGGTTGCCCAGGGCTGGGAGACTGGAGGGGCACAGCAGCAGCTGCTAAAGGGTGTGAGGCTTCCTTTGGGGTGATGGAAATGTTGTAAAATTGTCATGGTGTGATGGCACCACTCTGTGGATGCTGAAAACCAAGGAACGGCACACTCTAGATGGGTGAACTGTACAGTACTTGCATTATAGCTCAATGCAGCTGTTATAAAAACAGACAAGCAAGCAAGCAAACCCTGCTGCCGTCAAGAGGGCAGAGTTCCAGGAGTAACCTCTGTGGCTCATGGCCAACCAGTCCAAAATGACCCTGGTGTCTCCCGACCCTGATATGTGCCAGTGACACTGTCTCCCTGTCCCCCACCTATCCCAGCCACCAGGCTCTCTGACCCTCTGCCCATCTCCAGCTTCCTCCCAGTCAGCACCCTGCCCGGCCACCTCACCCCAGGTTCTATGCCGCCTACCCGTGGCTCCCCTCCTCGCGCCTGCAGCCTCCAGTGCACTCTGCTAGACAAAGTACTGTTTCTTCTCTGTGTCCCCAGCCTCAGGCACAGGGCTGGCCTGCAGGAGGTGCCAGTAAGTCTACTGATGCAACTTTCCAACCAGGTAGCAACTCACAGGTTTGGGTCAATGTCTGACACTCCCACATGTTTTGCTCAGCCCAGGCCTTTCCCCTGGCAGAGCTCTGTCCCCCTCCTGTCACTCACTGTCACTCTGGGTCAGCTCTGTCCTCTAGAAGCTTGGGGCCCCCAATCTGTTTGTCACATGCGTGTCCCCCCAGGCTTGCCCACATCAGGCCCGCCTGTCCCACTGCTGAAAGGAAGCAGCCTGCCTTCACTCCCCTGACTAGTTTGTGGGCATTCTGCCCCCACCCCCACCCCCCACAAATGTCCTGTGACCAGCAGCACGCCCTGCTCCACCATGGACACAACACCACCATCACCAAGCACTGCAGCCAGACACTGGGCTAGGTCTGGTGAGGGGGAGACAGACAGGACTGGCCTGCAGGGATTCAGAGCATCTACAACATGGGATGACAGAAGCCCAAAATTTAAAGTCCCTTTTAAGGAGTCATGTGACTCAGCAGGTGTCAAGTCTTGTGTGCAGTAGAGATCAGGTGGGGGCTCCTGGTCTGGCTCTCCATGGACCAAGTGGCCCTTGGCCATGGGGACATGGCAGCCCACTCTACCTCCCCCAGGCAGTAACCCAGAGAGAAGGGCTGACACTGGTCTCCCCAGGGAGAGTTAAGAGAGTTCCCAAGGGATGGTGTGGTGCTGTGGTAAGAATGTGGGTCAGGGTCAGGAGACATAAGTTCCAATCCCCTCCCCTGCTTGCCTTAGAAGGCCATAGTTCTGTCCCCTGGATGATGGAGTCCACAATAAGCCAGCCTCTGACCCTAACCTCCCCTTCTGGTCTTGCAAGCTCTATCCACAGCATCCAGCTGCCCAGACCACACACAGCACACACAATGGGCCAGACCTAGCCTGAGGAGCTCGAGGCCTGGTCAGCTGGGAAAACACAAACAGCTGTCCCGATGCAAAAGAGGCACTGGGCTGCCTCCCAGATCCCAGGCAGGCTGTGCCCCTCCAACCTGGCTGGCCTGGGCTGCTGTGGAGGGGATGTGTGCTCACCCTGGTCCCCAGTAAGCCGCCCTGCCTTCAATCCCAAGGACGTGAAACCTGCACACTCAGCACTACAGACTGCAGCAGGATAGAGGTCTGTGATGCTCCCTGTCCACCAAATGGAATTCATTAATTGGCTCCTGAGATGGAGTGGGGGGGATCTGCTCTAAGTCCTGATCTACCACCACCAGAGTTCCCAGGGGGTACTACTCTGGAGCTATCCAGCACACTGCTGACAGCCTGAAGCTTGACAAGAGTTTTAGGAGGACACTCGGGTCACCCAGGGGTCAGAGCAGGAGGGATGCTGCCACATGTGCCAACACCCTCAGGGTCCTGCAGCAGGAATACTCCCTACTCCACACACACCATCTGCCAGTCAGAAGAACATGGATTCAGGCTCAACCAGCATCTGAGGGCTCAGGTACCTGGGGTACTCACTCTCATGACCTGTACAACATCACCATTTCCCACCTCCAGGAGCATTCCAGGGAGCGGGACCACCCCAGGCAGGTCTTCAGGCCTGTCGGCCTTGGCTCAAATACAACATGAACGGACGTGCACGGCCACACCTCCAGCAGGGCTCTCAAGGACCCAGACACTACATCACGTCTCACTGACACCTCCTCCCAGGGCCTGGGCTCTGTCTGTGAAGCAGGACTACCTGGTTGGTAGGGCCACTGGGAGGTTCCGGGAAGGTGACATATGTGACATCTCAGACCAGATGCCTGGAGCATGGGCAGTGCTTGGATCCCCACAGAACCCAGTGGTTTCCCAGGGCCGGGACCTCAAGCCCTGAGGGTGTACGGTCATTCCTTCTCTCTTGCTCAGATTTACAGGAAGCAGCAAGAAAGCAGTCTCCTGGGATTTCTGGGAAAACCAGCTGAGACACAAACATACGCACGAGCTCCATTAACTGTCCTATCTTTGCAAAAAGACCTTCGTACTTGTTCCTCATGTGCCATTTTAAGCTGCGGTCCTTGAGTAATGATCGCCAAATGTAGACAATGACAGTTTGATGAGTGGAATAAATCCTAACATCCTGTTTTGATGCAGGGATACTCAGCGCCACCCCCAGACTGTACTTTCCCAAGAGGAAAAGGAGCACAGGGAACAGGGCCAGTTATGGTGGAACAGTCCTGAGGTGGACAAGCTCTACTATCAGTTCACGTCCACCGCCCCCCACCTCCTACTAGGCCCACACTTTGCACTATGGGGCCACCACCAATAGGAAGGCCATGTCTGCCTCTCTGGGAGCCCCTGTCCCCTGGTCCACCCACAGGATACCGGTCTGGAATGTTCTGTTTATACTCCCACCTTCACAGGCAGCCTGGATGTGGCTCTTTATCTTCCGCGGCACCCTATATAGGGGTCCAGTCCAAATGGGTGCTCACCAACAAGTCTCTGACTGGCAAGATGCAACAGTAAAAAAGAAAACTGCTGGAGGTCTCCTGACTCTTAAGAGCTGGGAAGGGCTGTTTGGAGCAGCTCTTGTTTGAGACAGAAGGCAAGTCCATCAGATGACAAACCCTGGGGTGGGTGACCCAACCCTGAGAGAGGGAAAAGTCTGGGAGAATACAGAGGTGGCGGCAGGGTGGAGGTGTAGAGGGGCTTTCGGCAACAGAGGATGGTCCCAGGCAGGGGGTGGGGGTGCTGGAGGATGGAGGGGGCAGATAAACCACCTCCTCAGAGTCACCCCCACCATGATAAGGGTGGGGAGCCCTACCACTGAGACACAGGAGGCGGGAGGAACAAGCCAACAAGTTGCCGCTGACCTGGCTGCGGCTGCCCATGGCCAGACCGTTTTTCTGGGCTCCAGACAGACCCGAAGGCTGTCATGTCCCACACACAGGGAGACGTCTTTTCCCCAAAACAGGTTTACAAAGGAGGGCGGGGCTTGTCTGGGATCCTACCTGAAGGCATAGGTCTTCTGATGCCAGCTCAGCTGTCCCCGAATGCTGTACGCGATGGTGGTGACAAACTCCCCGCCCAGCCCCAGCTCTGAGCACAGCTTCAGGGCAAATTTCTCTGGTGAGTTCTCCTTCTCTGACATGTCCCACTCAAACTGGTCCACCAGCGAAATGTTTCCCACGTGGATATTCAGCTGGGACAAGAACCAAAGAACACAAGTTAAAGGAGTCAGAACCGTACCCTACCTGGAGAGGCCTCAAGGAGATGAGACAGCCCACTAGGGAGCCACCAGGCCGGGCTGGACCCTGCCCACAACTTACTAGCTGAGAACTGGGGCTGGCCCTTGTCCTTCTGGCCGCAGGTCCCCATCCAGAAATTGGAGATGACACCACGCACCTCCTGGGGCTGCCACAAGGGGCTCTGGCTCAAGGCCTGGCACAGCTACCCATCTCACATTAGATGCACACCCCACCTGAATAGCCCACAAGGTGCAGGCAAAGCCTGGGTGGGCAGCAGAGGCCCACAGCCAACTCTGCCCACCACGCACCCAGCAGATATCCTGCTGACATGTAAACTACAGCCAGAAGAGGGTCCAGGCCCCGCCTGTGCAGCACCCAGACCAAGACAGAACCTAGCCTGTGACCCAGGGCTCCCCACTTACACCTGCACTCAGAATCACCATCTTTACTCCTCACCCCACAGATGAGCAGGCCTGCTCTGAAACAGGGCATCACTGAGACACACAGGAAGGACTCTTGAGGGTCTGGCTGTGTCCTGGGGCACTGTATCCACGAGACTCCTCCTACTGGGACCACCCCTCACTGCTCTCCAGGTGAGCAGTACTGCTCATTCTACTGCTCAGTAGTACTCCAGGCCACAGTACTGCTCATTCACCCTACTGTCCCTGAGTGCTCAGCTCTTCAAGACAAAGATCAGGGTGGCCACTGCTCAGGGCCCACAGCCACTGGGGCCTTTCCACTGCCTTCAAAGAAGCATGGGACCCCACTCCCTGTCCCCATTCATGAAGCTCTGCACCTCTGGGCCCTGTATACCACCTTCCACTCACTGCCAATGAGCCTGGGTCCTTTCCCATTTCTGTGTTCTGCTCATGCTGGGCAATGAATGATGGTTTACAGAATGGAGCTGGAAGAGCTGTCCCTTCCCCTCACAGGAAACGAATGCCCACTGAGCCCCAAGGGCACGCTAGGACCAGAAAGACATGATGCAGCAGTCAGCCCACAGAAAAACATCAAAAAGAAACAAACAGGACCAACAGGTTTAGCCATCCACACCAGGCCCGGCAAGCCCTGCCCCAGGTGCCATACCTGGCATGCCTGGTGCCATATCTTAGCCACCGTGTGGACTGGGTTGCCTGTCCCCTGCCAACTGGTCATTAATGCTTGCGTCTATTAAAAAAATACAGATTATGGGGCGCCTGGGTGGCGCAGTCGGTTAAGCGTCCGACTTCAGCCAGGTCATGATCTCGCGGTCCGTGAGTTCGAGCCCCGCGTCGGGCTCTGGGCTGATGGCTCAGAGCCTGGAGCCTGTTTCCGATTCTGTGTCTCCCTCTCTCTCTGCCCCTCCCCCGTTCATGCTCTGTCTCTCTCTGTCCCAAAAATAAATAAACGTTGAAAAAAAAAAATTAAAAAAAAAAAATACAGATTGTGTGCTTATCACGGAGAGGCACAGGGAATGCAATGGTGGGTATGACAGACAAAAAACCATCTTCGTGGAGGATGTTCCAGCTGGGGAGAGACACCTAAGCAAGTTAAATATGTGAATGCATGGTATATGTCACACATCACCAAGTCCTAAGAAGAAAATGAAGGGAGGAACAGAAAGTACAGAGGTGGCCACGTTAGCCAGGAGGCCCAAGAAGGCCTCCTGGGGGAGGCAGCATTTTAAGAAGAACTGCATGGGCAGAAAGAGCAGGCCATGTGGCTCCTCAGAGAGAAGGGTCCTGAGCAAAGTTGGGCCTGAGGCCGTCCTAAGGCCTCCAGCTTCTAAGAGGGATCTGGAAGCCCTGTTTGGAGCACAGAAGAGACACTGGCTGCCACTGAGACCCTTACTGGAGGTAGCCATCTAGCTGTAGGGATGGTGGGGTGGTGAGGACAGGAGCGGCTGGACCCTGAGGAGGTGCAGAGGTGAGACAGGGCCAGGACTCCTGAGTAGGCATGCAGCACAGGGGCCAGGCTCCCCAGCCGCAACCCGTATCACCACACACACCTTCACAGAAGTCTGCCAGCCCCATAGAGCCTGACAGCTAGACTTAGGAGAAGCAATGAGTCCCCCCCAAATCCTTGAAGCTGAAGAGAGCCAACCTGGGCCAGGTGCCCCCATAAAGGCAGCCAGGTCTGAGCTATAGTCCCAGAGACCCCAAGAACATCTATTAAGTGGCCACTCCATGCTAAGGCACAGCTCTGTGAAGAGAGACACTCCTCAGATGCCATCATGGCAAAGATTCCTGTCCTCCACCATGTCCCAGGAGCCATACAAGGAAGAACATCCTCAAAGAAGTACCCAGCTCTCCTTGAGTCCTCTTGACCAAAACCTTGGGTGTGACCTTCAGTTTCCTCACTTACAAGATGGGTGCTGTCCCCTAGGTCACAATGCCCATGAGGGCTCTGACCTGATAAACACAGCACTGTCCCACGGCAGCAAAGCTTCCCTGGGCCAGCCGTGTCAGACTTTGGTGCCAGCGAGACCTCACGCCAGAACCAGGCAGGGAACCCAACCTGGGGGTGGTCTCCCAAAGCCTACCTACCAGCTGACACCATCCCACGGTGGGGATTACAGGTGGGATGGAGGGCTTAAAGGGGCCAACAGCTGAGAAGTGTCTAGTCACCAAGAAAGCCTCTGGTCAGGAGAGATGGTGGCAACCCCAGACAGGTTTTCAACTGCCTGACCACTTTCTGTATGGCTGCTCGGAAGCCCTGTCAGAAAGGGTAGGGTTAGGGTTAGGGTTAGGGTTCGGGTTCGGGTTCGGGTTCGGGGTGGGGTGGGGTGGGGTGGGGTGGGGAGGGGAGGGGAGGGGAGGGGAGGGAAGGGAAAGGAAAGGAAAGGAAAGGAAAGGAAAGGAAAGGAAAGGAAAGGAAAGGAAAGGAAAGGAAAGAAAAAGAAAAATTCTGAGAAAAATGTCAGGGATGCTAACTGGTCAGTCTCATGAGGACCCTGCCTGTGGCCAACCCCATCCATTTGGAAGCAGGTTGGTGGGTGTGGCTAACCCCATAAGGCCACATCCCCACCACGGTTAACAGGACAAAGACACAGCACAGAGCAGAGTTCTCAGGGCCATCCTTTAGAGGGGACAGGCTATGCATGAGAAAGCAGGTAAGGCTCCCATTGCCCTCCACTTGTCTCCTCTGAAGTTCCCCTTCTTTCTCAATTATGCCTTTTATCTTTTTTTGTTTTTTAATGTTTATTTTTGAGAGAGAGAGAGAGCATAGGCTTGCAAGCAGGGAAGGGGCAGAGCGCAGGGGGCGGGTGGACTGAGGATCTGAAATTGGCTCCAAGTTGACAGCATCGAGCCCTATGCAGGGCTCGAACTCACAAACACCAAGATCATGACCGGAGCTAAAGTCAGAAATTCAGCTGACTGAGCCACCCAGATGCCCCATGCCCTTTTCCTGTTAGTTGGCCATAATATGAAACTAAAATGGGTTAAGAAAAACAGATTTGTATTTCTCTCAAATTAACTAGTGGGGCACTGGCTGGCTCAGTCAGTACAGCATGAGACTCTTGATCTTCAGGTCACAAGTTCATGCTCCACGGAACAAAGGAAGGAAGGAAGGAAAAGGAAGGGAGGAAGGCAGGAAGGGAGGGAGGAAGGAAGGAAGGAAAAGGAAGGAAGGGAAAGGAAGGAAGGAAGAGAGAAGAAGGAAGGAAGGAACGAAGGAACGAAATTAACTAGTAAGGAGACTGAATGAATAAACAAAATCTTCCCCACAAAGAAAAGTCCTGGACCTGATGGCTTCACTGGTGAATTCTACCAAGCACCGAGAGAAGAACTAACACCAATCCTTTTCGAACTCTGCCAAAAAACTGAAGAGGAGGGAACACTTCATAATTCACCGCCCTGGTATCAAAGCCAAATACTACAAAAAAAGGAAAACTATAGACCAATATTCCTTATGAACACTGATCTAAAAATCTGCAAAACACTAGCAAACTGAATTCAGTGGCATATTAAAAGAATTATATACCATGACCAAGTGGGATTTATTTTAGCAATGCAAAAATAGTTCAATACAAAAATTTATCAATGTAATAAACCATATTAACAGATTGAAAAACAAAAACCACATCATCATCTCAATGCAGAAAAAGCATTTGGCAAAATTCAACATCCTTTTGTGATAAAAACAGTCAACAACGACAAAAAGAAAGAAACTACTTCAACCTAATAAATCCATATATAAAAAACCGACAGTGAACATTATACTCAATAGTGAAAGCTGAAACATTTTCCTCTAAAATCAGGAACTAGCCAAGGATGCCTGCTCTTGCCACTTCTATTCAACACAGTACTGGAATTTCTAGCCAGAGAAATTAGGTAAGAAAAAGAAATAAAAGGTATCCAAATTGGAAAAGAAGAAGTAAAGTTATCTCTACTCACAGATGATATAACCTTATACATAGAAAACCCTGAAGATTACACAAAAAAACTGTTAGAACGAATAAGTTCAGCAAAGCAGCAAGATACAAAGTCAACACACAATCAGCTGCGTTTCTCTACACTAACAATAAAAAATGTGAAAAAAAATTTAAGAAAACAATTTCATTTGGGGCGCCTGGGTGGTACAGTCAGTTAAGCATCCGGCCCTTGATCTTGGCTTAGGTCATGATCTCATGGTTCCTGAGTTCAAGCCCCAAATCGGGCTCTGCACTGACAGTGCAGAGCCTGCTTGGGATTGTGTCTCTCCTTCTCCCTGCCCCTCCTGGGCTTGTGCATGTGTGCACATGCTCTCTCTCTCTCAAAATAAACCAAGATAAATAAACAAAATAATTTTTAAGGGGCGCCTGGGTGGCTCAGTCGGTTCAGTGTCTGACTTCAGCTCAGGTCATGATATCACGGTTCATGAGTTCAAGCCCTGCATCGGGCTCTGTGCTAACAGCTCAGGGCCTGGAGCCTGCTTTGGATGCTGTGTCTCCCTCTCTCTCTGCTCCTCCCCTGCTCACACTCTGTCTCTCTCTCTCAAAAATAAATAAAGATTAAAAAAATATATTTTTTAATTTTTTAAAAATTTAATTTATAATAGCATTAAAAAATATAAAATACTTACAAATTAACCAAAGAGGTGAAAAATTTGTACAATAAAAACTATAAAACACTGCTCAAAGAAATTAAAGAAATCATACTACAAAATATTATTATATTGTATTATTATTATTATGTAGTATTACCTTTTTAAGTTTATTTATTTATTTTGAGAGAAGAGAGCGAAAGCATGGGGGAGGGGCAGAGAGAGAGGGAAAGAGAGAGAGGGAAAGAGAGAGAGAATCCCAAGCAGGCTCTGTCTACACTGTTAGCATGAAGCCCAAGATGTGGCTCAAACTCACCAACTATGAGATCATGACTGAGCTGAAATCAAGAGTCAGACACTTAACTGACTGAGCCACCCAGGTGCCCCAAGACTAAGTATTATTTAGATACCAAGACTATCCAAAAAAATTTACAAATTCATTGTAATCATTATCAAAATCTCAACAATGTTTCTTGCAGAAATAGAATAAAAATCTATCCTAAACTTAAATAGAATCTGAACAGTCAAAACAATCTTGAAAGGGGTGCCTGGGAGGCTCAGTCAGTTAAGTGTCTGACTTGACTCGTGGTTCGTGGGTTCGAACCATTTCAGAACTTTTTGCAAAGCTACAGTAATCAACACAGTGTGGTACTGACATAAAAAGACATATAGACCAATAGAATAGAAAGCTCAGAAATAAACTCTCAAAAATATAGGCATATAATTTTCGACAAGGGTGCTAAGACCATTCAATGTAGAAAGGATAGTCATTTCCACAGATGGTGCTAGAAAACAGGCTATCCACACACACAGAAGAATGAAGTTGGACCCTTGCCTAACTCAAAATGGATGAATGACCCAAGTATATGAGATAAAACTATAAAACTATTAAAACAGGAAAAAAGCTTCATGCCATTGGATTTGGCAATGAGTTCTTACATAGGAGACCAAGGACACAAACAAAAAGACAAAGCAGACTTTATCAAAATGAAAACTTTTATGCAGCAAAGGATACTATCAAATGAGTAAAAACGCAAAGAATGGGAGAAAATATTTGCAAATCACCTGTATAATAAGGGATTGATAACTAGAATATACAAAGAACTCATAAAACTCAACAACAAAAGAACAAAAAATCTGATTGAAAAAAGGCAAAGAACTTGAACACACATTTCTCCAAAGATCTACAACTGACCAACAGGCACCTGAAAGATACTAATCAGCGTCACTAATCAACAGGGAAATGCAAATCAAACCCACAATGAGATACCACTTCACACCAAGCAGGCTCTGAGGCAGGCAGGCCTGGGCCCAAATCTCAGCACTCACTTCTCAGCTGGGCAGTCTGGGGCACGTGACCTCACCTCTCCATGTGGCAACCTCTTCACCTGTAACACAACAGGCAAGGCAGCATCTCCCCCCAGCCCTGAGGCAGGTTACTACATGGTATGAGGTGTGCTTGGCCCAGCCAGTCCACAGGAAGAGTGTGGCACCACTGTTCCTCTCACTATGGGCTTCCCTGCTCTGCCTGGCAGCTGGCATAATCTCCTCTGGAGCACCACCTGGGCTCTGCTCAATGCCTGGTGGTGCCCTGAAGACATGCAGAATATGAGACCTTCCTCCAAGAAATCAGCCCATACTTTTCCTGGGGTAAAGAGCCACGAGCTACCCAAAAGATGGTTTTCCAGAAGTCTGATCCCACAGCATGGACCCCAAAGACAGGCTTTGACTAAGGCCTCAGTGTACTCTCAGCACCCTATGGCCCACCCAGGAGCTGCCTACCTTGATGATGACACGCTGGTCTGACTGGTCCTCCAAGATGCTGTCTGTGGGGTAGGACTCTATCTGCTGCCTGATGGCAGAGGCGATGGCTGGCACAAATGTCAGAGGGTTCAAATCCAGGTCATCACAGAGGATTTCTGAAAACATCTCAGGAGTCATCAGCTTCTCTGAAATCAGGAGAAAGGACAGGAATTGCTAACTGATTGCAGGACCTGACCTCACCATGTTTGGCCCCAACCTCCCATCCCCTTCTTCCTCTGCCAAACCTCCCTGACAAAGTTGAGGATGAAGAGAATAACAACTGAGGGTGGCCCTTCCCAACATGGGGTTGCGGGAGGAAGCACAGGATGAGCACCACCCCCTCCTGGCCCTCATCCACAAACACATCCTCTGACACCTTGATCTGGGACTTCTAGACACCAGAACTAAGAGGAAATGGATTTCTGTTAAGCCATCCAGTCTGGTACTTTGTTATGGAAGCCCGAGAAAAATAACAGCTTCCTTCCAGATAAATCACTTTAAAGTCAGTGTCCCACGGGCACACAACCATCTGCCACTTCCTCACCAATAAAAAAATCCCTCAGAGATATTAGGCTGCTCTGTGGCTTTTCACAGACCCTTCCTCTGTTTCTGACTCTCCAGGCAACACACACGTAACAGACATGCAGGTGTGTAATGGACCCTGCCTCCTGGAAATGTAGCCACACCAGGTGTGAACTTGTAGGGACCATCTGCAACTGGCCAGATTACAAGAAGGGCCCATGTGGTCAAATGTTTTCTCTCTGTTCTGCCCTGTTGTTGTAACCCAAACTCTAATGACCATGCACCACTTCTGGGATGAGCCAGACAAGGCAGTGGCCAAGGATGAATCACTTCATTAGCACATAGCATGATTCTGTCATCAAGAACCAGGTCTGCTCAACAACTGACCCCGTATTTCCTCACTGGCCCAGAAGGGCTAGAGACCAGCCATCCTAACAATACCATCAGGACAGACCCAGAACACTCAACCAGCCTATGATCAATAACTCATACAGCAAGCCAAGTATAATTTTGGAGAGCGCAGCATGAAGCTGAAGTGTCCTATGAAGCACCCTACGAGTACACTGTGCAAAGCATTTTCTTATATTAAACTTTTTATTTTGAGAGAACTATATATTAATATGCAGCCTTGATTACTGTAGCTATATATGAAGACAAGATTGGGAAGGGTGATTCCTCCTTTGTCCTTCTTTTTCAAAATTGCTTTAGTTATTCTAGTTCCTTTGCCTTTCTGTATAAATGTTATTTTTTAAAATATTTTTTAAGTTTATTTTGAGAGCGAGAGCACAAGTAGGGGAGGGGCAGGGAAGGAGAGAGAATCCCAAGCAGGCTCTGCACTGTCCATGCAGAACCTGATGCGGGGCTGAATGCACCAACTGTGAGATCAGGACCTGAGCCAAAATCAAGAGTCTGATGCTTAACTGACTAAGGCACCCAGGTGCCCCTCCATATAAATTTTAGGTAATTTTGTCTATATGTACAAAAAGCCTTGCTGAAATATTCACAGGAATTGCATTAAACTTGTATATCAATTGATATCTTGAGTATTCTAATCCATGAACATGGCATTGAGATCTTTAATTACTTTTATTGGTATTTTGTAGTTTTGGACATATAAGTCCTGAACATGTTTGTCAGATTTACACCAAAGTATTCCTTTTCTTATTGAGTGATTGTAAATGGTAATGTATTTCTGAATGTCCATGTGTTCACCAACAGTACATAGAAATACAATTGATTTTTGCATGTTTACCTTGTATCCTGTGACCCTGCTGAACTCTTAGTGCTAGCAGGGTTTTTTGTAGATCTCTTGAGATTTTCTATGCAGACAGTCATGTCATCTACAAATAGGGACAGTTTAATTTCTTTCTGATCTGTACGTTTTTTATTTAATTTTCTTGCCCTACTGCTCTGGCTAATATTTCCAACACTAAGCTGAACAAGAGTGATAAGAGCAGGTATCTTTGCCTTATCATAGGCAGAAAACATTCAGTCTCTCACCATTAAATAAATGTTAGACATAGGATATTTTGCAGATGCTCTTTATTAAGTTGAAGCAGTTTTCCTCTATTCCCATTTTTCTTAAGAGTTTTTAACCAAGAATAAATGTTTTAAGTGCTTTTTTTTTTTTTTTTTTTAATTAGGTAGGCTCTCTACCCAATGGGGCACTTGAACTCACAACCCTGACATCAAGAGTTGTATTCTCTAGGGGCACCTGGGTGGCTAAGTCAGTTAAGCGTCCAACTTCAGCTCAGGTCATGATCTCACGGTTCGTGAGTTCGAGCCCCACATCGGGCTTTGTGCGGACAGCTCAGAGCCTGGAGCCTGCTTCAGATTCTGTGTCTCCCTGTCTCTCTGTTCCTCCCCTGCTCACACTCTCTCAAAAGCAAATAAAGATTAAAAAAAAATTAAAAAACAAACAAAAAAGAGTTGTATGCTCTAATGATTGAGCCAGCCAGGTGCCTCTGTTAAATGCTTTTTCTGCATCAACTGATATCTGGCTTGTCTTCTTTAGTCTGTTAATATAGTGGATTATATTGATCAATCTTCAAATATTGAAATAGATATCCATCCCTGGAACAACAAACCCCACTTGGGTCATGGTGTATAATTCTTTTTATATCTAGTTCTGTTTGCTAATGTTTTATTAAGGACTTTTGTGTCCATAATCATTTGGGATATTGGTCTATAGTTTACTTTTTCTGTACTGTCTTTAGTTTTGAGATCAAGGTAATTCTAGCTTTGTAAAATGTTACTGGGAAGTGTTCCCTCTTTTATTTGCTGGAGAAGACTGCAAGAGAATTTATATTAATTCTTCTTTAAATGTTTGGTAAAATTCTCCAGAGACACCATCTGTGCCTGGAGATTTCCTTTTGGGGAGGTTTTAAACTATGAATCCTATTTCTTAGTAGTGATAGGACAACTCAAACTATCTATTTGATATTGAGTGAATTGTGGTAGCTTGTTTTTTACAAGAAATTGATCCACTTTGTCTAAATTCTCAAATTTATGTGGGTAGAGCTTTTGTAATACTCCCTTTCAATATCTGCAGGGTCTGTACTGATAGCCCATTTCGTTGCTGAATTTGATCATTTTTGTTTCTGTCTTTTGTTGTCAATCTTGGTAGGTTTATCAATTTTACTGATCTTTCTTTTTTACTTTTAAGTAATCTCTACACCCAACATGGAGCTCAAATCCACAACCCTGATATCAAGAGTCACATGCTCCACCAACTGAGCCAGCCAGGGACCCCCCTTACTAATCTTTTCAAAGTATCAGCTGTGTTTTCGTTAATTTTCTCCATCATTTTCTAGTTTCAATTTCACTGACTTCTGCTCTATTATGTCCTGCCTTCTGCTTGGCTTCATTTTGCTTTTTTTCTCAATTCTTGAGGTGGGAGCTTAGATTACAGACTTGAGACTTTTCTACTTTTCTAATATAAACACTGATGCTACAAATTACCCTACTTTACAAATTGATACTACAAACTACACTACTTTAACTATATCTTAAAATTTTTGGTATGTGATACTTTCATTCAGGTCCATGTATATATTTTCACCAATTCAAGTTAAGTACAGAAAGCTTACTTCTCAAAGAAAGATATTTCCTCTGCATACATTTAAAACCACATCAGACAGCATTATCAGGTTTGCTTCAACTACTGAGCATAATTTAGAAAACTTAAGAGGAGTAAGAAAGCTTATTGTATTTACCCATATAGTTTTGTTTATCATATTCTTTCTTCCTGATGTTCCAAAGTTTCTTCTTTTATCATCTCCCTTCTTTTAGGTTAGGTCTACAGGTGACAGTATTCCATCATCTGAGGATTTCCCCTTCATTTCTGAAGGATATTTTTACTGGGTGTAAGATTCAAGATTGGCAGTTCTTTTTTTTCAGTGCTTGAAAAACCAGGTGCCATGTCCTCCAGCCTCCATGGTTTCGGATGAGAAATCAGCGGTCTTTCTCTAGAAGTCAGGTGTTATTTTTCTCAGCTCTCAAGATCTTTTGTGTTAGTTTTTGGAAGTTTAACTAGGATGCATCTTGGCATGGACTTCTTTGGGTTTATACTGCTGAGATCTACTCAGCTTGTTGAATCTGTCATTTGGGGTTTTTAAGCATCCAAAGTGAACATGTGGATATATATCTCTAGAACCTGCTTCCTGTAGCCATGCCCTGTAGTGTTAACCAGCAGGGCCCTGATCGCCCTTGGCCTGTGTGCAGGAGCAGATTCCACCCCTTTTCCTGATGCAGTTCCTGGCCCTGCTCTAGGATTCCCTTGCCCCCAGTGGGGCCAAGCTGGCATCGATGTGTCCTTGTTCAGCAGCTCGTTCTTCTTGGAGAATTTTAACACACCCCAAGGAGGCTAGCTATTGAGACAAATGATGCTATAATTCACCAGCAACTCAGATAAACTCTCTTTCATGTCCTTCTAAGAGAAGATAACCTTGAACTCACTGTTAACTGATACCTACCAAAAGCTGGTTGGAGACAAATCTTGGTTATGAAGAATGTCCTGGTTCTGAAGGACATGTAGTTCGTTCATGCTACTCAACATTTTTAGGACCCTTTGTGATAATGAGTCTCACACTCACCTTTAAGGTTACTTGAAATTTCAAAGTAAATTAGGTAGGACTATGAAAATCACCAGCAATTTTGAACATGTGCTTTTAACTACCATGCCAGGGGTGTGGCTTCCTAACCACCAGTTAAGAATCACAGCCCGTAAAGTTTATTTATTTTGAGAGAGAGAGAGAGAAAGAGAGCACGCACAAGCATGGGAGGGACAGAGAGAGAGGGAGAGAGAGAATCTCAAGCTGGCTCCACACTGTCAGCGTGGAGCCCAATGTGGGGCTCAAATGCATGAACCCATGAGATCATGACCTGAGCCAAAATCAAGAGCTGGACGCTTAGCCAACTGAGCCACCCAGGCACCCCAAGAATCACATAAATACCACTAAGGAAGAGTTCACAGAACAAAATTATTTTGGTTCTCCAAGTGTCTGGACCAAATTACACTTACTGGGATATGGAATGTTATGTAAGGGCTCCTTTGGGGAACAGCTTGGAGAAGCTCATGGCAGAGTTCCTGGACAGATGCAGGTCTTCACTGCATTATACTGTGTCCACTTCTTGAGGGTCAGGGGGAAAGCTTCTCTCTAATTCAAATGCTATGTGTGATTCTGCTGCTTCTGAGCCACCAGCGGCTGCTCACCTTGACCACGCTGAGAACTGCAGAACTGATCATCCTGTCTCTGCCTGGTTCTAAAGGTCCGAGCATCATGCCCTCCCCTAGCAACGTATGCCCACTGAACTGTGAGTATGAACCAGAGCACTCACTTCATTTTGTATCTTCTTATTCCATTTTCCCCTTCAACCAATTCTTCCTAACCACACCTTTTGCATTAGCTTTATTCTTTTGTACTAAGAGTTCTCACGTAAGATGCCTTACTCCTTCTGGAATAGGGTGGAAGTTTAAATAAATAGTTGGGGCTTTTTATGTGTTACTGAAAGGAAAGTAACAAGGTAATACACATACTGAGTCAATCTGAACAACTAAATTCCTATGTTATGATCTATGGCCAGGTTCTGTGCCAAATGCTGTAAGAAAAGCAGCAATAAAAAACAAGATCCCTGACCTAAGGGGTTGAAATGGAGAGAGACAGAGAGAGAGAGAGAGAGAGAGAGAGAGAGACAGAGAGAGAGAGAGAGAGAGAGATGAATTAACTATAACACAGGCCTGCTGAGATTAAGCACGGAGTGGTATAATAGGGGATGTACAGCACTGGCCATGGCCTGGCACTCATGAGCTGTCCTGTGCCCGAGTTGGGAGTATCACCACCACACCTGCCGTATCTACACTCAATACAACCTCCTGGAAACCCCTCACCACATCTCCCTTTGGCCACATCCTCTCTCGCCAGCTAACCTGTCAACCCTGGAGGACAGACACTCGGCTCTCAGGCCCTGTTCCCAGGGCTCGGCAGAGGCCCTTGGACTCAGGCCTGGCACACCAAGTGCCAGGAGATGACCAAAGGAAGTAGCCTAATCCTTCCAGAAAGCTTAAGGCAACCACGTATCAACAACCACACACATTCCTCCCTGAGGAAATCCCCTGTGGGAGAAACAAGCTGTAAGTCGTTATGTTTTCTGCCATGGAAACATCTAATAGCAGAAGGAGTTCTAGTAAACTAAGGCACCACAACTCAACAGAAAATTGTGCACCAATTATGAAGACCAAGGAAAACAGGAAGACACTTACAAGTGAAGAAAAATTGTATTTGCACTACATTACAACTCTGTTAAATACATCTGCATGTGGAAGTGACTGGCAAAAAAACTATTAGGAGCAGTGAGGTTCTGGGAATTCTAAACTTTTCTTCACTTAAAAATGATACTCTTTGGGGTGTTGTTATTTGGTTTCGGTCTTAATATAAGTAATGTGTTGTAAAAAGCCTGAAAGATTCAAGAAAACAATAAAGAAACAATAAACACTCATACAGTCCTCTTTCCTAGATGGGATAAGGACTAAGTGTTATGGTGAACGTCTCCTGTGCTTTCTCTGGTTCATTTGCAGAGTCACGCTTGGACTCTGGGAACCAGGGAAGAGCAACCATCTGACCTGGGACTTACAGAGCGAGGACAAAAAGAGGAAGAACAGAGAGTGAGGGCAGACCTCATGGGGATGACAGAGGGACAAGCCTGCACACACGGTACCGTGAGAGGCCAGAGGGGTGGGCAGGGCTGAAGGGTGGTGTGCAGGCGGTCAGGCAGCAGAACCGGTCTGAGCAGCATCAAGGTCATTATAGAGCTCTGTGGACCAACAGCCTGCATCATGGCTGACCCCTGACACCCCAATCTCACTGGGGGAGGGAGGAACCTGAGGTTCATGGGCTCAGCCCATAGGAAACGGTGGCAGAAGCAGGATTTGAACCCAGAGTCCAGGATCCAGCACAGTAGGCAACAGGCAAGAAAAAGGTCTGTTCACACAGCAGCCGGGCCTGGGCCATGCAGAGCCCAGCTTCCCACGTACCATTCATGTTCCAAGTAAAGGCATCTCGCAGCTTCTGCCCGTCGATCTCCATGTCCAGCCGGATAGGGACCAGCACTTCAGGCTGGGAGGCATTCTCATGGATCACAGCTGGGTCGTGGTCATCAAAGCTGGAAGTGAAGAGGAAGCACAGTCAGCCAGGAGTGCCATGGGTCTCCATGCTCAGGGCTTCCCTCCCTGCACCACCTGTCACTGTAAACCTGGCCGGAGGGGAAAAGCCCACTTCTTATGGGGACTTGTCAGCTAAGGGCTGAGCCAGCAGAGATGAGGCAAGCAGGGGTCCTGGGGTCACAGAGGCAGTGCTCCATACTTCAAGGACACACAGGGAAGGGAGAGGGAGTTGCAGCCTTAGGCAGTGGGATATGACCTAGACATACCCTAAGAGGGAGATTTAAGCCCCAAAGCAGGCAGAACTTTCACTGGTAACTAGGAAAGAAAAGGTATCTCCAGAAGAGGAAATACTTGAGCAAAAGCCAAGGGGTGCAGGAGAGGTGAGGAACTATTGAGGAAGCACAGCAAGAGCACAGAAGATGGGGTGCAGACTGCGGGGGCGGGGAGTAGCATGGGTGTCCCAGTGCCCACGCTTCTCCATCTTGGGCTACGGGATCCAGCCTCTCCCATGAGGGAGCCCCAGGAGAACCCAGGGCAAGGCAGTCCCGTGGTCATATCTGTATTTTAGGAAGACAAAGAGGGAAGACGCCGGGGAAGAGATGGAGGGAACGATGGAAAGCAAGGGGACCCTAAAGTTGTCAGTGGAATAAAGCAGGCTGAGAATTACTCTTGGGAGGGACACAGATGACAAACAAGGAAAGCACACTGCATGCCAGACACCAATGCTCTAGGAAACATGGACAGGGAAAGGGACAGAAGTGCCAGAGACAGGAGCAGCCATTCTACCAAAGGGGAGGCAGCTCTGAGAAGTGACAGCCAGTGATGGGAAGGAAGGGAAGGAAGGGAAGAAAGGGAGGGAAGAGCGAAAAGGGGAGGGTCATGCAGATGTTGGTAAGAAGTGAGCTCTCGGCAGAGGGAACTATAAAGGCAGAAGCTTCTGGGTGTTCTGGGTGGCTCTGAAAGCAGTGAAGAGGTTCACATGACTGATGCAGAGTGACAGTGGCAGGGGATGAGGCCAGAGAGGAGGGGCCGCTACACGGACTCCAGCCCTGGTGGGCATGTGACGGGGTATCTGGAAGACCTGCGTCCAGGAGAGGAGCCATCTGCCCTGGGTGAGGGGGCCCACATCTTAGGAGGAGCTGGCCAAGGGTGGTCCAACTCTGGACACGTGGAAGGCTGAGAAGGCAGGAATTTGCTGAGACTAGTTCTGTGGTTGGAGAAGGAGGAAGAGTCGTGGGGTTTTGGCCTGAGTGCAGGAAGGGTGGGATTACTATGTCCCAGGATGGAGGAATCTGTAAGCAGTGTGTGAGATACCGGAGGACAGCGTGTAGGGGTGAGGCTAGGCTGCAGAGATGATAGTGGGGTGGGAACTTGAAAAATGCCCCCCAAAAGATATCCAATCCTAATCCCTGGAGCCTGTGACCATTATATGGCAAAAGGGAGGGAGGGAACTTTGCAGATATAATTAGGGATCTTAGGAGGAGATTATGCAAGTAGCCCTAAACCACAACACAAGCGTCCTTTAAGAGAAGGGCAGTTTCACACACACAGGAGGAGCCCGTGTGGCCACTGAGGCACATGCTGGTAATGCAGCCACAAGCCACGGAATGCCGGCAGCCACCAGAAGCCAGAAGAGGTGGGAACAGCTTGTCCCGCCGCCCCACCACGAGAGCCTCCAGAGGGAGTGGGGTCTGGCCAACACCTTGATTTTGCTGCATGGAAACTCCTGGTCCCAGAACGGTGAGAAATAGATTTGTGTGGTTTTAAGCCCCCCTTTTGTGGTGATCTGCTCCAGCAGCCACAGGGAACTAATGGTGGGGTCTCAGTGGGATGGCGTTTGAAACCACAAGATAAGATCCAAGGGCTGTGCTTTCCAGGAGCACTGGAGACACTGGGAAACAGGAGACAGCAGGGACACTAAAGCAGGCAGAGCTCGGAACTGAAGCAAGCCAGAAACCAGCTGTCCTAGAAGCCAAGGGGGAACAGTTTCAAGAAGGCAGCGTGTTTTAGGAAACACAAGGTCAAGGCAGAGGAGAGGAAGAGGCTAAAACATGTTTGAGGACTGAGGCAGAATCAGTGGAGGGTGAGGCGTGCTCACCACAGAGGGAAGGTTCTCTTCTTGTCCCGGCCCATGCGGTTCCTGTTGATGGTCGTGGAGCAGGGCACAGCATCCAGATGGTGGGAGCTATTGGGCAGGGTGGGCACCCATTGGCTGTTCCTCTTGGCTTTCTGTTCCCTGGAGAGACGTGAGAAATGCCCCTGCTCAGTCTAGGAGCCCGATACTGGCCATCAGGCTCTAAGTCATGGTCAATGGATGCCCACTGCACCCCCGCCGGTGGTGAGCACTACGCACCCTAGACTCTGTACGTGTCTACTCCTCAGGCGCCCACTGGCACCCATTCACAGGCACCCAGGCTAGGGGAAGGGTACAGAGGGGACCCCAACACAGCAGAGCAGCCCCCAGCCCAGTGCACAAGTCACAGTGTAACATGCTATGTGCCAGGCATGACTCCATGAAAGCACTCTCCCTTCTTGCGGAGAATGTGCACAAGGAAGCAGCTTCCCAGAGGAGCAGACCCTGGAGTAGAGCCTTAAGCATGGAGTTGGGGCTCACTAGGGATGGGGGTAGGGGAACAACCGGAATGGGGAGGGCGTTTCAGGAAGTGCAAGGCCGGCAGAAGAGAGGAAGCACGGATAGATTGTTGCCTCAACTAGGGCTGGAGAGGCGGACATGGAGAGGGTCCCGATTAGGGGCAGGTGTGCTCCATGAGAAATGACTGTACTCAGCAGGCAGCTGGGAGTCCCCGAGGACTTTGAAGAAGGGAGAGACAAGATCAGACCGTTCTTTTAGATATATGGGCCAGCCAGAGTATAATACTTCAATAATGCTTCTGCCTTGCAACGGTCCAGACCAGTAGGGTATGAGAAGCTGGGTTAGTAAAAACTTTCTAGAAAGTGAGGCTCAAAGTAGTTGAAGTAACCCACGTACCATCAAGGGTTCACTCTTCTGTCCAAATTACAGGTTGCTTTTACTACTAGGAAAATACCAAAAGGCTTTTTTATTTTAAAGATTTCTATTTTTGAGTACACTCTGCACCCAACATGGGGCTCGAACTTACAAACCTGAGATCAAGAGTCACATGCCCTCCTGACCAAGCCACCCAGGCACCCCCCAAAAGGCTTTTTTAATCTGAAGCTCCAGTGCTGGCTTTGAAAGGCAAGCGCTCAGGTTCCCACTATGCTCTGCACATCATTTTATCATCCTCGGATGCTGCCTTCCCTAACAAGTCTGAGCATTGTAAGGGCAGCAGCTGTGTGTCATTCACTTTTACATCCCCAACACCTGTACCACATCTCCTTCCATAACTGTTTGCTACAGTTTAAAGGATGTGACGGCAACCACTCAATTTCCCTTCCCTCACTGTCCTCACAGGAGGGATGAGGAGATGTGGCTTGCAGTCATTCTCTCCATGTGGTGGTGAGGACCAGAAGCAGTGGCCATGACCTGCCCAGGCCCCAGGCTCTTTGACTCTTTTCTCTTCTAAAGCTGGAACCACTGGGGTGCCTGGGTGGCTGTCAGTTGAGTGTCCAACTTCGGCTCAGGTCATGATCTCGCAGTCCATGAGTTCAAGCCCTGTGTCTGTACTGACAGCTCAGAGCCTGGAGCCTGCTTCAGATCCTGTGTCTCCTTCTCTCTTTGCCCTCCCCCACTCACTCGCTCTCTAAGATAAATAAACATTAAAAGAAAAATTAAAGCTGTGACCACTTGCACCTCAGATGCTGTGGTCCCAGAGCACCCCTTGACTGAGGGTGGGGGCAGGGAGAGATTTACAGTACCAAACTCTGCTGGGACTCAATCAAGTCTCCTGTACCCAAGTCTTGCTCAGATCTTATGACCAGCCTTACCAATACCAGAGGCCTGGGAAAAGGAGGAACTTGGAACTAATCTGGGCAGGGCTTAGAGCTACTGGGCCAGTGGTTTTGAATCCTGGCTGCAGACTCCCTCAGAGTGCGAAATTTCAAGTAGGAAAGCTCTGAGCTCCACCTAGACCAAGGGACTCCTGTCTCTGGAGAGGACCCAGGAATATGGGTTCTTTATAACTTCCATGTGTGATACCAATGTAGCTGGGCCCGTATTTGGGAACCTCAGGTCTAGACCACCACCTCTTTTCTGAGCCCAGGAATATGGGTTCTTTACAACTTCCATGTGTGATGCCAATGTAGCTGGGCCCGTATCTGGGAACCTAAGGTCTAGACTGCCACCTCTTTTCTGAGCCTCCTAAAGCTGGCACTGAGGCTCCCCCTCCACCCTAAAAACTCCTGCCCTATCTCTGTAGTGATCTAGTTCATAACCAGGCCTGGGCTATTCTGCCAAAGCTCTGTCAGGTAACTATCTAAAGTAGAGTGCAAGTTCTGTCAGACACAGTGAGTACATCATACACCAAATCCGAGAATCTGGGTCACATAATTCAACCTTTCTTCTGCTACAAGTAGGTCTGCCCAAGGGAGGGGGACATCCAGCCTCTGCCTAGCCTGTCCAGTGATGAGGAGGGGAGGTGCTGGTCCTCCTGTGGGGCTGACTGGGCAGTGGGAAGGCGCTTCCTGAGCACAGAGCCCATGAAAGCAGCTTCTCGCGAACCTCAATGCCCAACCATCTCTGTAGTTTTGACCTCTGGGGTAACAGTACTCTCCTCCGTCAGCTGTTCCTCATATGACACGATCATCAAGAAGTGTTTATTGCCCCATAAAAGGTTCCTGGCTGACATGTGCAGACTTGAAAGCCCCAGCCATATGTACATCACTTCCTTCTGCCACTTCCCTAGGAAAGTCTAGCCATCCTTATGTTCTTACCGCATCCCTTGGGGAAAGAGGAATCTGCAGAGCACACATCTATAACACTGGCCAAGTTGGATGTGGGCCACTTTTACATGGGGGTTGTGGGGAGGATTATGAAAACAATTCAATAGTAAAGTTGAAAGAAAATCTGGAAAGAAATGATTTTTCCATAACCACATCACTCGAAACAATAACCCTCCTCTCCCTCCTCCTCAGTGCCCCCCGGGGTTTTGTGCACGTAAATGCACTCATTCTAGATATTCTGCACATCACTCAGGCAAACCACATTTCTGGCTGCCGCAGGGTCTACTTAGTTCTGACATAAACAGTTACCTATCTATCCAGTCTACCTGCTTCCAAGATCTAGTCTATCCTGGTCTATATCCTAGTCTGTAATACCTTAGTCTATTCAGCTGGCTGTATCTTCACTCAGTCAGCCTCTCCCTAAGGCTGAACACTCAAGTGGCTCCATTATTACTGGGCAGTGGTACTCACTGCCATTATTACTCACAATGCTACCTCCTTCCATATAATAGTTTCCGTTGGTGGAGGTGTTCTTTGAAGTTATTTGTCTGGGACAGATTCGTAGGGGTGAAATTAATGGGTCAGACAATGAAAACAGGTTTGATGTCATGACCATGCCCGTGTACCAAAGCCTGTGCAGGGTGCTTGCATGTGCCAGCTCTATTGTATCTTCCCCAACTCTTTACGTCAATAGTTGCTTATCTGTTTTACTTTGAATTCTTAATGTTACACGAGGACAAACATCATCTCCTTATTTGTTTACTCCTTATGCTTCCAGGATGGCCCACCCTTTACCTATTTAGCTATTGGGGTACCCAGGTTTTTCTTATAAATCTGAATGAATCAAAACCAAAGAAAAATACCTATGAAAATGAAGAAAAGGGGCACATGGGTGACTCAGTCAGTTGAGCATCTGACTCTTGGGTTTCAGCTCAGGTCATGATCTCCCAGTTCATAGGTTCAAGTCCCACATCAGGCTCCGTGCTGACAGTGCAGCGCCTACTTGAGATTCTTTCTCTCTTCCTCTTTCTGCCCCTCCCCTGCTCAAACGTGTGCCCTCGCTCTCTCTCAGAATAAATAAACTTTAAAAAAATGAAAAAAATTTTAAAAATAAATATGAATGAACAGACTCTACAACATAATCACCTCTCAATTACTTGTCTAATTATTACTGTAAATACTCTTTTTTAAAGGTTCTAAGCTCACACACTAAGATCTATTGCTCGTTTCTTTTGGGAGTTTATCTGGGCCACTCATTTTTCTGATAGATTAGTCCCACTCTCAAACCACTTCTAATGACTTTCCAGAACCCAAGACTTGGCTTTCATGTCTTAGAAATTCCACAGACACACAAGAAACTTGGCAATCTGGCTAAGACAATTTGTAAGCACAGCAGGTGAAGTGTTTAAAGGTATTTTGATTCAATTTAACCCCAACCAGTTCTAGGGTATGAGAAAAATATCTGTGGGTGTTATCCTGAGAGCACGTCCTGGCTGGGAGTACATTACCTGAGGTAGGTGGGGGGTTCCGTGCTGATGGAGACGGCCTTATACTTCTCATCATTGCCGTCCAGAATCTCTTCCACCTCTGAAGCTTTTAACAGTGTCACGCTGGTGGCCAGGGTTGTGTATCCATGATCTGTAACCAGAGACACCACTGCGGTCACCCTGCTGGTGGGGCAGCAAGAAGCAGCAGCCAGCAGATGCAGCACATCGAGGTCCTCACATGCAGGAGGGAAAAGCGAGTGTCAACCTTACTACTGCTGAATGCTGGCCTCTTCCAAAAGGGCAATCTGGACCGAGTGCTTTAGAGGTCCTACTGAGAAAACGCTCCCATGGGATTTACTTGCACTAATTTGTCCCAGGAGCACTGGCTCTGGGCACAGGGCAGCAGCAGCTACAGTGCAGCATGGCCAACGGGGAAAAGGGGGGGTGGGGCTCCAGAGTGATACCATCAGTGGGAAGAGGTCTGACACCAACTGCAATCCATGACACGAAGCAAAGTGAAGAGATGGAATGAAAGATGAAAAATACTTTTCTTTTAAAACAAGAGCCCAGAGAGTTACAAAGAGCTGCCTCACACCCAACATGAATTCCCGGCACCGTGCAGTCAACACGTGCTATCTGGGAAGCAGGACAGATTCTAGGCAACTCGACCCACAGCTCTTTTAGGGAACCTCGGTCAAGAGCTGCTACCTGTCTGCAGGTCCAGACTGGCTTCTCCTGGAGAAACAAACCGGTTATGGGGAAGGTATCTCCAAAGCACAAGGCAGAAGAGTCACTGAGACTTCACCTGAGGCTTGCGGAGGGGAAAGCAAAGCTAGGAACTCACTGCGTTAGTGACTGGTGCTCCACTGAGGGGCAGAGGGAGGATAAAAAGGAGACTTTTTAAAGCGAGTGAGTGGCAATGTCATAGCAGCAGATAAAAAAAGAAGCCCCGGCTCCTGCATTAAAAGAACCACTACTTTGCCCACAATAGACAGGACCACAGCAATACCTACAGACACAACCAAACAGGACAGACTGTGAAGTGTACGTACACACACACACACACACACACACACACACACACACACACACGGCTTCAGGCAGAGTCTTCACCCAGGCCCAGGGCAGCTCTCTGTAAGGGGCCACAGCCGAGTCAAAGCAGTTTCGCCACCTGCCAAACATCGCATAGCATCTGAACCAAAACGTACAGTGAGACTCCCCTGATGGAGCCCTCAGAGCATCTGAAGAGCATCTTCTGAAGAGCCAAAGCACACTTGGCTCTCTAGCATCAGGCAGCTCACCCGCCAAGCCCCAGGCACACACCTCAGGCACACCACGCAGGGACATGCACATGAGCTCTAGCACACTGGCTGCCAGAACGAAGTGCTACGGGATGGAGGTGCTCTGGGAAGCAAAGCGGTGAAAGCCCCAGAGGGGAGTGGGAGCTGGGGCCACCACCCGCCACTCGGGCTGCATGGAGGGTGACTATGGCGACACGCCCACGGCAGATGGCAGAGCATCACAGCATTCCTAAAACGTTTTGAGACCAACATGTCTTCACAGCACCCATTACTGTCCCAGACTTGCCCCCCTCACGCTCCCCTCCCCCCCCCACTGGCCCTGCTGAAAATACCTGACAAAGGACCCCTGGCTACCTGAAGCTGCTTTGTCGCCTGAGTTGCATAGCATGCTCTGCAGCGACTCTGCCCCTCACGTGCTCCTGCCACGCTAAGGTCAGGGCTGCAGTGAAGACACTCTGGAGTGAAAACGTTTTAACTTCATGACATAAGCGAGTGGTTTTGAAACAGGTTTACAAACCCTCGTGAAGACGCACCCTTAGTGTTAGGTTTTGTTTTTTTACCATGTGACGATGCAACTATTTTCTTCCTCTCTTCCACAGTGGCTAGTCGCCTCCAGAGTGAGGGGTATCTCTTGTACAGAGAACCTCGGAACATACGGAGGTAGTTTCCCACCTATGGGTAAAGCAAGAAGGCTCATTATGAGGGTCACATCTTGATGCAGAAAGGGAGGGTCCTGGTGCAGAGGCTCTGCCGACGGAGTAACAGAGCACAAGCTGGCCTCCAGGCACCAGGCTTTCTGCAGCCATAAAAACACATTCTGCTGACATCAAGGGTTCAATAGCAGTGCACATCTGGCCCACATCTGCCTCTCTAAGCGGGGGCAGTACCATCTGCGTCCTAACGACAGGGCTAAGTTCCAAAAGGCCTGACCAGGCGCTTCTGGGGCAGACCCCCAGAGCTCACTGAGACGCTCGAAGTGATTCTGACTTTAAACTAAGGATCCCGAACACTTTCCAGAAATGTAAGGCCCCTTTGACTTTCTTTTATCTTAAGAACAAGACTTTGATATTTTTATGATGCCATAAACACCAAAAAGGTCTTTTAATTTTGGACAGATGTAGGATAATTTCCCCCATGGCCCCTGTTGCTTTGTTTAGTAACAAACTCAAACCAGGAACACCAAAAGAATTTTCCGAGAGTTTAAAAAACACTTACTGGGAATCACCAGATTGCTATATAAATCACTATTGCCTCAAACAATAGCTTCAGTTTATCTATAACAGATACTCAAAGTATAACTTCTTTAATGAAAAGAAACCTAGTCTCAAAGTTTTTATAAAGAAACTCAATTATTTCACTGACATTGCAGAAATGACCACTCGAGTCAAAATGACCACATGGCAAAGGACAGCCAGTGGACTGGGTGCCACGTGCTGGTTCCACCTGTGACTGGGAATCACCTCCCTTTTCTGGGTCTCCTTACTCACCTGTCAAATGCTGAGCAATTCTGAACTTTGCCCCACGAAGCACCATTTCTATTATTTTTCCCATTTACCTACCCAGCACAGTATGTTTATTAAATGTGTTTCTCCATTTTTCATGAATCAAAGATTTTTATGATCGACAACCAGAGCTGCTGAACAGCCTAAGAATGGCCACAGGGGCGCCTGGGTGGCTCAGTGGGTTAACTGTCCAACTATTAATTTTGGCTCAGGTCACGATCTCAGGCTTTGCTGAGTTCGAGCCCACATCAGGCTTGGGATTCTCTCTCTCCTTCTCTCTCTCTCTGCCCCTCCCCTGCTCACACACACTCTGTCTCTCAAATAAATAAACTTATCGCAGGTCCTATAGTGCTCCAGGACACCTAGATCCTTCCCAAGACCCCTGAACTTTGGAGACTGGAGCTTGCCTTCCTGGGTTTCCCCCAAACCAGCCTGTGCCCTCTCTGGACCTGTTTCCCAGATGTAAAATGAAGGTGTGAACCTGGGGATTTCTTAGGGTCCTCTCAGCTCTGTGACTCTGGCTTAGTGAACACAGCTGCCTGCAGATGGGGGGAGAAGAGTGACACACGCACTTGCTGCAATCACACATGCCTTCCCAAAGCTGCTCCACAGATGTGGCATGGGGGCACTGGATGTGTTGCTATGGCCGACCCACCTCTCTGAATATGGTGCCTGTTTTCCAAGGGGAAGGGACCTGCAGGCCATCCACCACCCAACGCTGTCACAGGAGCTTCTGGTTATCAAGAGTCAGCCTCCTGATCTTGAACCCTTCTCAGACCTCCAGATGTTCAGCCTGGCCCAAGAGAGTAGATGTCTCTCCCCTCTCCCATGTGGGACTCTACAGACTGGGTCTCAGGACAATTGTTCTTACTCAACAGGGCTGAAAGAGAAGACTGCAGTTAGCCTTCTAGAAACGAAGGCATGTTACGGGGAAGATCTTGAGGCCATCAAGTCTAAGCATCTCCCACACATGAAAAAAGTTACCAGGAAACAGACAGCCCTTCTTCCCATCTGGCTACATGCTCCCTCTCAATATACTCCACCTAATAAATGAAAGCTTCCTTCTCAAAACTAGCACCCACTGAAAGTCAAAGCCAAACTGACTGCTTTTCCTGTCCATTACATCGGTTAAAGGCTTCTTTAAACAATCTGCCCAGTATCATTTGGGAACTCCTGAAGTGCCTTCTATCCTACATTTAGGCAGCTTCCTACTGGTCAATGAGGACGATTCCGAGCTGTGGCACATGGATAGCCACTGACTCCACTTCCCCAGTAATATCTGAAGAGCAGCATTTATGTCATAACATGAAAAACGTATTGCATCCTGCCCTTTTTGTTCTACAAAACTTGGTGAAAAATGGAAACACTAAAGTCCTGATACTACTGACAATAGTGGTATCCTAACCTGATCCAACTAAAACAAGTCAGGAACCACAGGGGGTCATTCATTCATGCTATGTTCAGTTGTGAAGGGGAGAAAAAAAAAACTATTAAAAAAAAAAAGAATGAAACGTTGGCATAGGATACTGAACACCACTACAAGGAAAGACAACCCTGGGCATTCTGAAACTGCTTTAGCTCTCCAGGATTGGCACTTACCTCATTATACAGGAAAGACTCTACAGCTTGGTATTTGCACATCTGAACTGCATATACCACAATTAAAAAAAAAAAAAAGGAATATACACTAGCTGGGGATTGCTTTTGGATCAAAAGGGGTAGTTTGAAGCAACCTGGAAAAACAGTAGACTTAGTACAAACTCCCCATTGAAGGACGAGGTGTAGGGTTTTCCTAAAATCAGCTGTTCAGCTGACTCATAAAAATGCTGTCACTTCTGGTCAAGAATCAAAGATATTTAGAATCCTTTCCTCATAATTCTGAGTTAAATTCAAGACAGACAAAGCGTCAACTGGTTCTGAACTGATCTAGCTCAGGGACTGGGGCCTTATCCACCCAACACAGGATATCCATCCTCCTCCCTATTTCCTCATTGGTAAGTAACAGCAACCAACACTTTGCGAGATGAGACATCAGTAAACCCCATGTTTTCAATCTGAGATTTCACGATCCCAAACGCAGCAATGGAGGAGGGATACAAGCGAAGCTTCCGAAATCTCTCCTCCAGGCGCCCCAGGGGCTAACCGAAACATCCCGTTTCTTTGCGGCTGGCTGGAGCTGTACCAACTCAGGATGGAACCAGTGGCTCCTCGGAGTGCCCTAAGCCCTGGTAGCAGTGGGCGACGCCCACCAAGACGAAATAAGTAATCCCAGACAGCCGACGTGCGCGGGGCGGAGCCAGACAGGCCCCACCCCGCCCTGACGCAAAGCGCGCACGCGCGCGCCCGCCGCGATGAATGGAGACGCGCGCTCCCGGCAAGCAGACCCGCCCCGAGGCTTCCGCGGGGCCGAGGCTGGGGAGGGTGAGGACGCGCGGCGGGCTACCTCAGAGCCGATCATGTAGAATTCTCCGTCGTCTTCTAGCTGGAACTTGACGGGCTTCTGCCCGAAGGTCTTGCTCAGCGCCATCATCATCATTTCGGCGGCGGAGGCGGGCGGCGGAGGCCGAGCTGCAAAGGATCGGGAGGACTGAGGAGGAGCCGAGCCTTGCCGAGCCGAGAACAGCCGAGACCGGGCGGCGAAGGGCGGACAGATCAGGTGCTAGAGCCGCCTCCAGGCTCTTCAGCCGCCGCCGCAAAGGACCAGGCCGCCCTCAGTGCGCAAGCGCGGGCGTTGACGCTGACGCGCGCGCCACCGCCTCCCTAACAAAAGGCTGGAGAGCGCCCCTTTGGGCCGCTTAAAGGAACCGCTACCCGTTTCTTCCAGACTGCTTCCCAAGTGGAGGTACTCCGAAGAATTTCTCACGGACAGAAATAGCAACAGAGGCCCTGACTCAAGCAGTGATTTTTCCAGCCTCACAGCTGGGACTAGAACTCAGCCCAGTGGAGGAGGAGCAAAACGAGGCCTGAGGCCAAGAGGAGGCCAGAGCTACCTGTGCCTCAGTTTCACCACCCGAAACACGCAGTGTAGTTGAGTAGATAAGAGGGATCCTAGGAACAGATACCCCAGTTCCAAGCCCACAGGTGTTCCTGCGGCTGTGGAGATGGGCAGAATGGCAACACTGGGTGAGGGGTTGGCATGGGCAAAGGCTCCCCAGGCTTGGCAGGATTCCAAGGCCCAGGTGGTATTTGGTTTGGCTGGGGCATCGGTGAGCTAGAGGGGAGCGAAACTTCTCCATTTCTCTGCACTCTTCCTTAACTCTGCACTCTGTGTCTACAGCAAGTGCAGCTGTGGGGTGCTGAGCGAAACTAGATAGCCCTGCCCTGCAGAGCTTACAGCCAGGACTGGGGCTAACAATAATGAAAGCATCAAAGCATCCGTGTTTGGTTGCACAATGCAGCAGATCAAAAACGGCCCGCTGCCGACAGTTTCATATGGTTCAGTCTAATAAAATTGCAGCTGTGATAGGTGCTACTATCAAGAAGATACACATGGGGCTGGGGGGCAGGGCAGGGAGACCCTTGAGGGTTAGGTGGGGTCAGCTGTGGTGACCATGAGTTTTGTTCCTGTCCTGACAGCAGTGAGAAACAAAGTATTTTAGGATCAAAACTGCGGTGTGGCATGACCAGATAAAGTGGCCACCACTTGGTGGAGGATGTTGAGGGGCCAGCGGGGAAGCAGGGAATCAATTACAAAGCCACTCCAGTCCCACCAGGCTAGATGGAGGAATGGAGCAAGAGGAGCCATGGCACTGCATCCAGCCCCAAGGACCAGAAGCTTGAGTGGGTGGGAGTAGGCTTGACCAGGACACAGCAGGTGCTGAGTTGGCTCCCAGGTCCCCAGCTCTTCCCCCCTTCAGGCCTTATAGTTACAGAAAGAACCCAGGCAGTCAAGTAGAAAATAACCATATTTAATGACAGTACTCAGTAGAAAAAAAAAAAAAGGCTTTGTACACACTGTACACACATTTACATGATTTTGGAGGATCCCAGTGCTGGGATGAGGGCTGGGAAGGATCTAGCCCAAGACAGGATTGAGGTATGTTGAGGCTTCAAGGGCCCGGGTCTCCAGCAGGAAGCACTCCCATCCCCAGCTGACTCTGGAACTTTTGGCCTGGATCCTGGGGAACATATCCCTAGGATCACCAACTAGAAAGCAGCCAGATCCAAGCACCTGCCCAGAGCTGACCTCTCAAGAAAAGGTAGAAGGCAGTGGTGCCCCTGGCCCCCCTATGCCAGCACCCTGCAGGAACCTCACAGCAGGGAGGGAATGAGGGCTTCAGCTCCCCCAATCCTGCTGAGGTGCTACCCTGAGGGATAAGTATAGAAACTGAGGGCAGGAGGCTTTGACTGTGACCTGCACAGGTTGGGTAGGGCTGGCCTGAGACCACCCTCACCCTCAAGTAATGCCAGAGTCTCCTCGCCTAGTCCAAAGCAGTTGCTGGCAGGTGACCACGACCTGCGTGGCCCTCCCTGCAGTTGTCAAGGTGACAGCAGCCCCTCCCCACCCTCCTGAGGAAACACAGGCTCCATCCTGTGCCTGGTACCCACAGCCACAAGGATGGACACTGGTCTCTATCCAATATCAGTGGCCTGGCAGGAGTCAGGAGCGCTGAGGGCATCCAAGTCAGCGGAAAGTGTTGGCAGGCTCGGTACAGCCGAAGAAGTCAGGGCCCACGAGGCGGGGAAAGCCCTCCAGGGCCTTCACCTTCACAGGGTCGAACTTCCAATAGAGGCGACCTCGCAGAAAGTAGGCATAGCCTGAGGAGAGAGGAGGGTCAGACCTGGGTGAGTGGACACTGGGCCCTGCACCTGCCAGTCAGGATGTGCCCAGGGACAGGCACAGGAGGAAGTCAGATTCTCAGGGCTTGACCACTGTTGTGTTTCTTGAAACCTGCAGGCCCCAGGGTGGCCTTTCTGGAACCTTCAATCCCTTGGAGTACTACCAGTCCCAAGATCTGATCTGGGCTATCATTCCAGCTTGACAGATGCCTGGAGCCTCGGAAACTCAACTCCTACCTCTCAGGAAAGCAAGTCTCCCTCCCCTCACCCCATCCCACCCTACCCCCATGTCAGTTCTATTCCTGTACCTGCCAGCCAGACTATAGACCGGCATCCTGAGGCAAGGTGGGCCATGCAAGTGACCCAGAGCCCCAGAGCTACCACAGGACTGCTCTCCCAGTAGGTCCTGATGGGGGAGAACACAGAAGCAAGCTTCAGGGTATGGGGGAAAAAGTACTGGACTGCAAGTCCCACTCTAGTCCTTCAAGATAGTAGGCCAGTTCAGTGGTTAGGAGCAGGGACTGCCTGGGTGGGAGGTCTGGCTCCCCACTGTCCATCTAAGTGGCCCAGTTAGGGACCTCATTACGTGAACTTCTGTTTGCCCCTCTGGAAACTGGGTTCACAGCAAGTGTTATGTCAGAGGGCTGTTCTGAGAACTGCATGAGACATAAGGAGCTTAGCACTGTGCCTAGAACATCATCGGTCCTCAGTGTGCAGCAGCTATTATTTTACCAGCTATACTGAGAGACCTGGGCAAGTCCTGGCACCTCTCTACCCCTCAGTCTTCCCATCTGCAGTATGGGGGCATGGCATTGCCCTGGCACAAGGAGGAGGGTGGACAAAGGACCCGTGATGAGGAGCTAATGCCCAGCTACCACCAGGTAGGAGATGTGGCTCTTATACCACTTGTACCAGCCACTCCTCTCCCCCCCTCAACGCACCATCAGCATCCTGGAAGGCGGCGTCAATCTCAGAGGGCACTCCTCGCCAGTCAGTCACCCGGCGGGGCACGGGGTTGTCCACACGGCGGGTGCTAAGGTGGAAGCGCCAGTAGTCTCCATCTCGGAAGAAGTAGATCTTGTTCTTCTCAGGGCCCCAGGCCAAGGCAGCCTGGATGGGGGGCCCCAGCAGCCCCAGCTCAGAGAGGGGTGAAGGGCCCAGGACTGGCTTCTCACCATTGTATACCCAGTACTGAGTGCCTGCCAGAGAGGGAAGGCTGCAATGGAGCTGCCCAACCACTGTACCCGGCCACCATGGACCTACCTGGCCAACACCACCACCAGACTTTCCCGGTGTCAGTTTCCTTGTCCATAAAACACTCAGGCCAGAAATCCCACTCAGCACCCTTATCCCCAGAGGGAAGTTAGCGCCAGTGAGGACAAGTTTGGGTGATACATGCTCTGGGAGCTACTGCATGTGGAAGGTTATTCTAAACAGGAAGGAAACCTCCTGAGCTCTCGATTCTTCCCCTGGCATTTGGTTCCTTGTGACAAGTGCTTCAGACCATTCCCTGGGCCCCATCCTTGCCATAGCAGGCTTGGGCCTCTGTTGATGAAGTCCCTGCCACCTAGAATGCTTCAGGCTCTTGTCTCTCCCTGTTGAAAGTTAACAGCACGGGCTCTGGGGTTGCCAGAATGAGATCATATCCCTGCTCTACCTTTTCCAAACTGTGCCGTTAATGAGTCACTGTACCACCTGTACTTCCCAGAGATCTCATCTCTAGAGCAGGCGTACTGATCACACATACCCCCTAGGATGGCTTTGAGGGTTGAATGAATGGATGCACAGTCCACTGTGCAATGCCTTCTATCCTGCTCCCATCTTGAGAGCCACCTCCTCTGGGAGCCTCCCAGCTGTGCCCAGAGAAGTGAGTCATACTCTCCCTTGGCACTGCCCATCATGTCTGCCTGGCTGTCCCTACCCTGGGCCATGATATTCCTGGCTCCTGAAGTCTCCTGGGCATGAACCCCAGTCCCCCTCACCTTGGAAGAACCAGATGTGGCCCTGGGCATCTTCAAAGGCTGCATCCACAGGGCTGGGCAGTCCCTGCCAGTGACGAGAAGCCAGTGCAGGGTAGCCAGGCTGCAGCCGGCCCCCACGCAGCCGCCACACAAAGCCCACTTTGAAGAAGAAGAGCTCACCACGGATGGTGGAGACTGCATCAAAGGTGATCTCGCAGGCATCTGGTGGCACTTCCGGCTGGTGTGGGAGAGAAAGGCTGAGCAAGAGCCCACATTGGAGCCACAGAGGCCAAAGAGTGAAGGAAGCTGGGAGCAGGGCCTCACCTCCAGCGGGGCAATCTCGTTGTCATCCACCCCAGCCTGAGGGCCCACAGCCGGGGGCCTAGAGGTGGGGGCTGGCCGGGGTTGGCCGTAGAGGTGCTGGATGCCCCTGCGGTCATCCGGGCTAAGACTCAATGGGTAGCGGAATGTGTAGAAAGGGGACATAAGTGCCTTAGCAGCCGTCGTGTGCTGCAGCCCCAGCACATGGCCAAATTCATGGGCTGCCACCTGCAGAAGGTCTGTGCCTGAAAAAGGGAGATAGCCCAGCAATCCCCAAACCTCCCACCAGAAAACACTCAAACTCCAGAGCCCAGGTCAAGGACTTATCCCCATTCTCTACTATCTGTAGTTGCCCCATCTAGAAAATGGGTCCCCAGCCCATACCCTGGTTGTTCCCGATAGTCCAGGTCTCGTCATAGTCAAAGTGGACATCTCCTTCTCGGTGAGTCTTGGGGAAAAAGGCATGAGCCAGGATGCCCCCAGGTCCATCAAATGGCAGGTTGTCTCCATGCCAGTACCTATGGGTGGGTGGGCAGAGTCAGTGGCTACTGACAGGTGGGGCTAGTTCCCGGAGGGGTCTTAGGTAACTGGTTCACCTGGTAAAATCAATCATGATGTCAGCATGGCCCTCATGGACCTCGGTGAAGGTAAGTGGCGTCACCTCGCTCCACACTTGTAGGGCCTCTGCCACCGTCTGCCGCACCTGCTCCCGTACCAGCTGCCAGGGGAACCGGAGGATCCTGGGGGGAGGAGGAGGGGTCTGGGCCTCACTTGGGACAGCCCTCTGATGGCTGTTGGACCCGGAGTTGCCCCTGGATGCTCAGTGGGGATGCATGCATATGGGACACGTGCCAAGTGTGCTCTGGGCCTCAGCTATGGTCCCTCGTCCACATGGGACCATCTCTGTGTGGGTTTGTATGGCCTTTGGTGCACACAGGTGTCTGCATTTGGTGGAAAGAATGCAGGACCAGGAGCCCCAAGACCCACCTTCTAGACCTGATGGTGCCACTCACTGTGGGGAGACCTTGCCCTTTCACCCCAGTCTTGGTTTTCAGTTCCCCGCCCAGGATATTTCTGAGCTCCAATCTGTGTGACACCATATCATCTGTCACATACCATCCGTCCCAGGCCAGCTCTCCACCTGCAGGACAAGTCTGACCTTCCACATCACTCCCATTATTACTTGCTCACTCACCACTATTCCCATCGGCATGGACCCCAAGCTATGATGGTAGGTCTGAACAATGATGTGGTTAATGCCGAGAGGACCGGCCATGTTTCCCTCGTTTACCACAGAGGCCCAGGGCAGGCCTGGTGCTTACTATGTCCCCAGTAGGGGCTGCCTGGGTGACTGAAGGCCCCCTGCCCCACATGTCAATGGAGCCACCAGGTGTGTGCTGAGACTTTTTGTGTGTTGACAGAGCTACTGCCCCTCTGATGTGGGAAGGCATGGCTATGGTGGGGTGTTGTCTGTGTGTGCATCTAAGTTGGGGTTTAGTGAGTTGGTCCATGGATGGCTCAGGGGTCGGTGGACACACAGGTCTATTAACCACAGAGATCTGGCTCTAGCACGTGTCTCAAGAAGCAAGTGTGAGGGTGGCAGTTCATACACAGACACACAGGTAGGTCTAGAGCCTGCTCCCACAGCCACTGGCCCCTACCTGTAGGTGAGGTCTGTTTTCTCCCAGCGCCCGCCTGACAGCACAAACCGCTTTTGTCGGTTGCGGGCACTCAACCCATCGGGTGGGTCAGGCACACCGCAGCGGGGAGGTCTGGGGCTGCTTGCTGGCTGGAGAGTCTCCTGGACGGTAGAGGCAGGTGCCAGGCTGCTGGGAGCAGCTTCATGCCAGGACTGTGGCCCCCTCCTCACGTGGCGGCGGGGTGCATCCTGGGCAGGAGAGAGGATGTGAAGGCCTGATCAGGCCTTGGGACCTCATGGCCCATCAGCATACTCATGCTCAACCTGGCCCACCTTGCAGATGGGCAAACTGAGGGCAAGAGAAGGGGTGTGCCAGCCATCACACAACAGGGCCCTTTGTCATGGACTGGCTCAGATTTCCTGTGTCTTCCTGGAGGGCCTGGGCTGTCTGTCCAGCCACTTGGGCCAGTAAGGTCTGGGTGGGGATGCAGCCCCTGACTCCACACACACCCAGGAATGGATCCCACAAAGCTTTCAAGGAAAGGCCAAGCAAGCTCCTCCTGCTCCCCCTACTGGTCCCCACCCCTCCCACCCCAGCAAAGCTTTTTTGCCTCCTTTTCTTCCTTCCTCCACCCCACCCCCCAACTCTACCCTCTCCAATTACCTAAGCAGGCTCCTGCCCAGGGCCCCCAACACTGCCACACCCCAGTGTGGGTCTGCAGCCCTGTGGCACAGCCTTGGTTTGCTCACCTGACAAATGGGGATGATACCTCCCCAGTGCTGGGCCATGCTTGGGCAGGGGGAGACAGACAATTCCCAGATGCCCAGCCCCACCCAGCCCTGCCAGACTGGAGCCCCAGCACCGCAGATGGGGATTCTAACACAGAGCTCCCACCCCCTGCAACATCCAGGGCAGAGGTCACAGTTTTCACACTTGAAAAAAGCACAAGCTCAGAGAGGTAGGGAGACCCGTCAAGATCACGCAGCAAAGGCATGGCAGAGCCAGGTGAGGAATCTGGTGTCCAGGCAGGAATCAGAAGGTAACCTGTTTCGGGATACTTTGCAAAGCTGGAGAGGGATGGAGCTGTACCATTGGCTAGAGACTAAGTGCCTGCTTGGTCTGGGGCTGACTGGTCTGGGCGGTTGGGGCCTCCCCCACAGCCATATTTGGGGTGGGAGCCAGGTCACCCAGGCCCCACCCTCGCCCTTAGCCTCTGGCAGCTCTCCCAGGCGGTAGGCGTCCCAGGGCTCTGATCCTTGTCCCAGTGCCCCTAGTCTCTCAATTCCAGGGCCACTAATAACTCAACCTCTCAGAGTCGCCCAGACTCAACCCTAAAAACACCCCACTAGAAAGGGGTCTTCTGAACACCCAGGGGCACAGCTACCTGAGATATGAGAAAAAACCCTGGACCAGCTTTCTGATTTCAGAACTTGCTTATTGAATGGTTAGTTACCTGGCAGAGCCCAGCCTTACTGGGTTGTGGGTTCCTGTTGATATTGGACTTACTGCTACTTAAGTACTTTTCACTCTTGCAGTTCACCTGTATGCAGGACCCTACCAACAGTTCCACAGACAAGCTCTTAGCCCCTGATGGGACCTCTCACTAACTCTACTGTCATTATCCCCCATTTATCAGATGAGAAAACAGAACCCAGAGAAGTTAAGCAACTAGCCCAGGTAACAGCTGGCTGGTGGTAGGCTGTCTGTGCTCACAACCCACTCCCTACCTGCTACCTCTGCTGTGCTCTTCAGGCTGGAGCCACCCTTCCCCTGGAGGAGGGATCCAGGCTGCCCTCACTTTGATGACAGAAGAGAAGGAATTGAAAATTATTAAGCACCTGCTACTTTCCTGGGCACTCTGTCAGCTCTTTGAACCTCCACCCCCACACCCCCAATAAGGTGGGGATGATATATATGTGAGGTCTCCCATTGAGGATATGGACCCCAGGTCTGTGTGCCTAGCCATGAGAGCCTGCCCTTTCTCCTCCCTACACTGCCCCCTTGACTTCCTAGATAAACAGATTCCTTCCCCCAATCCTGGAAAGGGTAAGACTGGGTTGTCCCCTGGGAGCCCCAAGTAGCCCAGAGCCCAGCTGACCAGCTCTATTTATGCCTGTAAGCAGAAATCCCTTATCTCCTCTGCCCTGCAGTGAGGCCTGGACCAGCCAGCCATGGAGGGAGGGTAGGTAATGGACACACACCATACCTTCCTCTCCTGCCCCCATGAGGCATGACAGGTCCTTGCCCAGACCGCTGGATCATGGCACTCTCAGTCCAACAAGAGTCACAGTCTGAGATTCAGAAGGGCCAATTCTAGGCCATGCTCACCCTGGGTAGAGTGACCCTGGCCAAGTCCCTGCCCTCTTTTAGCTTTGACTTCTCTGTCAAAGGGGGAAGGTACTACAGCAGCGGGCTGAATAACCTCCCTCTCTGGTGCCCACTGCAGCATCTGGCACAGAGAAGAGCCCCTTGCCTGGCCCACCCCCTTGCCCCTGTGGGCCCTCCCCTCCCACACCTGGAAATCTGCTCTCACCACACATGCTACAGCTCCCACCACCCACCTGGTGTCCTGCTCCCCCAAAGTTCCCAGACTACATCATAAACAGGAATTGCAGCTAGCAAAGGTAGCTTGCAGGCCCAGAGAAGACTGACTTGTGCAGGGTCTCTCAGAAAGCCAGAGGCTCATGCTCACTGTCCATGTCACATTCACTGGTCTTGGAGAGTGAGTGAGCAGGAGGCCCTAGAATCAAGGTCTCCAGCCAGTGGTACTTTCCAGTAATTGTTTTCTGGAGCCATCATTTAACAGCTCTTGGCCTCAGTTTCCCCATTACTGCTCCCTGCCCTGCTGATATCCTACACTTCATCTTTATGAGCCTTTTCTGGCCTGGGGTCAGACACCCTAACTGAAAGTCCTGGCCCAGAGCCCCTTTCAGATCCCTAAGACCGGTGTGCTTGGTTCTCCCAAGGCTGCTGGGATTCTGTGAGGTGGGGTGGTGGGCACAGACCATGCCTGGTCTCATCTATGGGAGGGTTGGGTAGCAGACACCACCACATTTCTCAGAGGAAGAAAGAGAGCCCAGAGAGGTCAAGGACTTTGCCCAGGGTCACACAGTAAGTCAGAAGAGAGCTGGACCTAGACCTGGGGCCCATGCTTCTTCCACCCACAAGGCCCCCCTCCCCCTACCTCCTCAGCTATTGGCCTGTCTCCAAAACCCACGTTCCTGAGAAGTGTTTCTTTTTTCGATGCCTTCTCTCTTCCTCCTCCTCCTAGGCCAGGAGCCTTCCTTGGCCTGCCCTGTGGTGGGCACTGAGCTCACTCACCCTGCCTTCCTCTTGCGGGGCACCATATCACAGCCTCAAACGTACAAGGAACTTCTCAGCTGACTCAGTCTCCTGGCTGAGCTAGAGGCTTGGGGTCAGTGCCTGGGTCAACTTCCAATCCAGAAAACAGGAGGCACCCCGTAGAGGGGAGATAAAGGACCCCAAGCCAGGAAACTGCTGGGTAAGGCCAGGTTAATTTTGCCCCTCTCTGAGCCTCAGTTTGCTATTGGTCCAACGGGGATAATTAATAAAGACGGCTCTGCCTTCCTGTTGGTAGGAGGCAACCCTGATGGGAGGGCACTTTGTTAGGCTGTGAGAAAGAATGGGGAGCATCACTACACCATTCTATGCAGCACCATGCCCCTCTGAGGCTCAGAGAAGTCAAGCAACCTGCCCAAGTTGTGCAGCCAGGCAATAGGCAGGTCCACCAACTGCCCCACATTGAACCTAATCTTCTCCCCACCCCGGTCCCTGCTGGCTCCAGGAACAAATGCAGCCTCTGTCCTACAGGACTGCAGGGCTTTCATCAACCCTGAAAGCTGTGAACTGGGATGGATAAATATTTACAGAGCTTTCCTGGCCCCTGTGATGGCAGCCTGGGGATAAACACGTTGAAGGCGACCCCAAATGCTCCCTGCATATCTGCAGAGTGACAGACAACAGCCCAGCTCAAACCCAGCCCCAACTGATGCTGCACAAGCGTCAAAGTGGCAGTCAGAGGTGACATTGTGTCTCCAGAATGACTGGTTGTGCCCTCTCCTCCCATTACCTCATTTAATCCTCAGTGCCCTGTTATTCCCCCACCCACCCGCCAAGACTGAGGGGTGGGATCCTAAGACACAAGAGGGCTCACCTAGGGCACCAGGTTTAAGCCCAGATCTCTCTAATTCCTGAACCAGTGAGGTCAACTGGCTACCCAGGGTGATTTCTGACTCTCCCAAGTTCAAAGGGAGTGAGAAGAGTTGGGGAAGAGGCAGAGCCTTGGGACTGAGGTACCTCCTTTCCCTAACCTACCCATCCTGTCCTCTTTTGCTCCCATAGCCAGGATGGGGCAAGCTGGCCAGGGTAGAGCTGGTGTGACTGGAGAGAGGGGCCCAGGCTGGTCAGATCTCCCTCCTCCAGATGGTCTCACGACTCCTGCCTGGCACACCTCCTAATGCTCCCATCCCTACCTGGGTGGTCTGTATGCTTCAGCTGAGATCCAGGGGGCTTGTGGGCTTGCAGCTGCCCAGGTTCTGCCTGGCCACCCTTGTGATTGGTCCCTCAAGGCCCCAGCTGGAGGGGAGGGTACTGGGCACACACAGGCTGTCACACAACACCCCACGATTGTCCTTCCTCTACTCACTCTGCTGCCTTCTCACATGGACCGTCTTCTCTCTTCCCTTTCTCTTCCCAGCCCCTTCCTTTCTGAGGGTCTCAGCCGCCCACTTTCGGTTCTTTCTTTCTCTGTCATAAACACACGCGTGTGTGTGCACACACACACACACCACAGCTCTCACACTCGTGCTGTCCTGGCTTCACACCTCCCAAACTTGCCACTTGTAGGTGCCCAGTTGGAGCCACCTCTTCTGGGCTCAGACCCCATTTGCCCCAGGGCAGTGCTGTCCTCCCAGCTCTTCTTTAATCCTCCAGCTCACTGCACCCCTGGAGGTGTGCTCACCGAGGCCACACACCAGGAGGCTGACACCAGCCTGAGGCTTTGTCCGCGCGAAGAATAGGAGGCCCTGTAACCACTCCCTCTGCTACCTGGTCCAGGAAACAACCCAGCTTCTGCAGCTGGGGAGCCGAGGAGCAGGTCCCCACGCTGGGAGGGGGCGTGCGTCTAGCGCTGAGTCCCGCCTCACCAGCCTGAGCAATCCCGGCGCAGGCTCCACTTGCACACCTCCAGGGACGGGAAGTTCACTATCTTTCACGTCCATAGGGACCCAGAAAGAGTTTCGGGTAACGTGCCGCTCCAGGCCACCCGGGCGCCCCCGTGGGTCCGGGTCCAGCTCGGTCATTGGGCCCAGCCCGCGTGCCCGGCACCCCCTCGGCGAGGAGCGGCCGACCAGCTCCAGGCACTCACCAGGGGCCGCGGGGCTCGGGCCAGCAGCTGCGGCGGCGGGAGCAACAACAGCAGCAGCGGGAGCAGGAGAGCGCGCGGGGCCGCGCCACGGAGCCGGGCGGCCCGAGCCATCCGCCCCGGGGCTGCTGAGCCTGCTGGGCCGCGCCGGGCCACCGCCCCTTATAGCCTTCGCCCCGCCCCGGCCCCGCCCCACACGCCTTTTGTTCTAAACTCTCCCCGCGGAGGCCGCGGCCAAGGTGGGGGAGGTGGAGGGGAAGGGCTGGTCCCGCTAGGGCTGGAGGCTCGGAGACCCAGTCCTTCCTAGGATCGGGAGAGCCTGAGGTCTAAGAGGCCTGGTGTTGGGCGCCCAGGCCAGCTGGTGCTACTCCAGGCCTCACTTTCCCTGCTGTGCTGTGGGGAGTCTGACAGGAGCCGAATTTGACTCCTCCTGGTCCCTACCCCACCTTTGGAAGGGCTTTCCTAGCTGATCTCCCTCGTGGCCTAACCTCTGACCTACTGCTAGCCTATGACAGGTGGTTGTTCCCAGGGCAAGTTCTCCTTAGAGCCTTAGCTGATAGGTCTGGAAGATGGCATAGCAGCCCCTGTGAAACAAGGGATGTGTCTCAGGGGAAACTGAGGCATAAGGAGGTGGCTAGCCAGTCCCCAGCTTAGAACATGTAGACAATTTATAAATGGGAAAACTGAGGGCCCAAGATCAGGCTTTCCCATACCAGCAGGCAAGTGGAGGGGTCAGGAAGGAGGATGCTATCGGTAGACTGAGGCAGGCAGGTAGCCAGTCTCTGAGTGGGGACACTTGTGGCTCAAGAGACTAACACACTCCACAAGGGCCCTAGGGGCCAGGTTTCTGAGACCTGAGAGAGAGGAGGTGAAAATCAAAGGAGAGGGTGATGTCCATATGCTGGAAGGGATCCTCCACTGGTAACCAGGTGCCTCACCACTTCAGGAAGGCAATCTGCTCCATCATGGGCAACCCCGCAGAGCCAAAACCCAAGCAGTGGCTCCCATCCTATCAGGCAGGGTCCTGAGAGGCTGCAAGGTGAGGCTGTGGGCACCCAGCCAGGGCGTAAGAAGGGAAGGAGGCCAACAGGGAGAAGAGGGCGATCAGGCTGACTCAACCCCTCCCTCCAGGTTCGGGTCCAGGGAGCCCTCTCGCCTCTCCAGGAGGGCTCCACAGAGACTCCTAGAGGGCCAGGAGAGGAGAAACAAGGCATCAGCTATCTTTACTACCTGGAGTGTGAGCAATCTGTTCCTTTAAAGTGACTCACTTTTACTTGGGGTGATTTCATCTTCCCTACAATCCCGGTGCTACAGGGCCCCCCACTGGCACACGGGACAGTGATAGGGGAGGGTAAAGAAATTAGAGCTCCTTCCCGCCCAAGGGTCATATGTGATTACTGCAAAATCACTCAGAAAAAAAACCTATAAACCTCAAGCTCCTGAAGGGCTGGGAAGCGTCCTAAATCCGCGCCTCGGCCCTTCCCTTGGCCTGGAACCAAGGTGGTAGAATCGCGAGGCCACAGTATTCAAATCCGCGGCCAACGCCTCTGGGCACCCAGAGGGCCTTTGGAATGGGCATGCTGCTAGTATGTCGCTAAACACTGTCAGTGTCCGGCGCTGCATCCGTGATGCAGGGTAGGGTGTCAGGCAGGGTGCTTGGCCGCATGGGGGGTTTCATCCCACCCCAAGATGGTGCTGCCCAAGACTGGCCAGGGTTGTGGCTCATTTAGGGCAGGATGGAGTCGAAGAAGGGCTCCGGACGCCCCCTGGCGGAGGTTCTGGGGATGGGTCGCGCTGGGCTTTCCTTCGGGAATTTCTTCCCCGCGACCCTGACATCAAGTCGTAGTCAGTAAACCCAGTCCGTAGGAGGGGGACCAGAGCCTGGCCTGGCGCCCCGTGCCCCCCACCTTGCTGGTTTCAACCGGTCGCCCCCCTGTCAAGTTCTCCCCTGGCGCTCGAACACGAACCAACTCCACTCCCAGCGCTCCGCGATAGTTTCTGACGGGACTTTGCCCGTCGCCCCGGCGTAAGCCCTTGTCACTTTGCAGCGTTGGTCCGTGTCCCCAGGGCCCACACAGCTCGGGCCAGGCGCAAGGAGGAAGCAGGGTAACATTTCCAGCTAAGAAGGACGCTGAAACGAGGTGATGCTTGAAGGGACAGGTCTCGGAGACCCGCGCGAAGGTGAGAGAGGCCCCAGGCCTGGCTACTCCCTTTGGGGGCGTGTCCCCTAGGCCCCGCCCCCTGGCGCCAGCTGAGTTTAGCGGCGCCACATTCGTCCCGAGACAGAACCGCTGCCACTGTCGTCTCTGACTGCGCTTGGCCGAGTCCCACCGTCATCACCATGCCCCGGGGAAGCCGCAGCGCGGCCGCCCGGCCAGCCAGGTGTGAGCAGGACAGGGGCCGGGTGGGGAGAGGGCTAGGAAAGCGGGGGCACTCCCCCACCAGGGCGTAATAGTGTGACCTTGGCGACTGCTACGCCATCTTGGTGGGGGGAGGGGCGGGGTGCTGCAACCACGTGTCTAAGACTGTGGTCGCCCACCCTCTGGGGGGAGGAGGGGAGGGTTCGTGCCCGGGAGTCGAAGGCCCTTGGGGTCCCAGTTCCGGGGTCCGGCTGGGATTGACTCTACGTCTCCCCCCACACGCAGCCGCACCGCCGCGCCCTCAGTTCACCCGCCAGCGCACCCGCCGCCGTCTGCTGCTGCACCGGCCCCCACCCCGTCAGGCCAGCCCGGCCTGATGGCGCAGATGGCGTCCACTGCCGCTGGCGTGGCTGTGGGCTCGGCTGTGGGACACGTCGTGGGTAGCGCCCTGACCGGAGCCTTCAGCGGAGGGAGCTCAGAGCCTGCCCAGCCTGCCACTCAGCAGGTGAGCTGCGGGCTCAGGAGAAACTGAGGCCCGCTTCTCTCAAGGCCACATAGTAAGGCGCTGCTGGAATGTCCATGAAGGAGTGCTGTGGCGTGTTCAGAGCTGCCTCAGGCCCAGGACTTTTCCCAAGAAGGGTCTTATTCCTCTGCTGTTGGCCTCCTGTCACTCACAGGCAGGCTCTCCTAGTCCCTTCCCTGAGGCCAAGGTCCCTAGACTCCCAGGGATACACCAGCACTTTAAAAATGGAAAAGCCAAAGTCCTTAGCGGTTCAGAGACTGGCCCAAGGTAACCCAACCTAGTGGGGGGGGGGGGGATGTTGAAATTCTGAGTCCCTGCTCTCCCTGTTCCCAGGTTCTGCCCTGTAGACCTTGCATCCCAAGGGCAAGGGGTAGCCAGCGACTCTGGGCCTGTTTCCTATTGGCTTATCCCCTACTGGGTGCCCCACCAGTCCTGAGCCACATGCGGCTTAGTGGCAGGGTCAGGGGTCATGAAGATCAGTATGGCTGAGGCTGGAAGCTACTGGTACTTGTGCAGGTGGGGCTTATACTCCAAGAGTACAAGCACAACGCCATGCTTCTCCAGAGCCTTCTCCTACCTCTCAGGCCCTACATGCCCAGTGAGCCCATTATGAGGCAATTGGGAAATGCCCTCTATACCAGCACTAGCATCGGCTGAGTGGGTTTGACAGGGCTGTGGGCTCCTTCTGTTTCACAGAGGGAACAGCTGAGTGTAGACAGGGTAGGCTGCCAGGGATCCCAGGGGCACCTGGGCTGGGGGTGTGGGGAGGGGCAGGTAGCCCCCAGCTTTGGAACCCACTTCTGGGTGGCAACCTGGAGCTGACATTGCTGCCTCCTGTGCCATACCCTAGGCCCCCATCCGCACTGGCCCCCAGCCCCTGCAGATGGGGCCCTGCGCCTACGAGATCAAGCAGTTCCTGGACTGCTCCACCACTCAGAGTGACCTGTCCCTGTGTGAGGGCTTCAGTGAGGCCCTGAAGCAGTGCAAGTACAACCACGGTGAGCAGCTCCTGACTGGGGCAGGAGTGGGAGGGGCAGTCCCTCTTCCTGAACCTGCAGGCTGACCCTGAGCCTGTGCCACCCCTCCCTCCACAGGTCTGAGCTCGCTGCCCTGAAGAGACTGGTGTAGACCGGTGCAGATCCATGAGCCAACCCTGCACCCACCTTCACCCCTTCACCAACAGCCAGACCACTATGTCAGATTGTACCCATGTAGCTGGGGTTGGAAGTGAGGAGGGGGTTTCTCACCCCGCAGATGACCGGAGACACAAATGTGCAATTAAAAGAGTTTATTTTAGACCATAGCCTGCTGTGTGCCCTCTCATTTAGTTTATCTGCTGGGGTGGGGTCAGGGGGCATGGATGGATGTCCAACGGAGGGGTGGAATGTTTCACTTTATGCCAGCATCCTGGGTGTGGGAGGGGGAGGAGCCCTGTTGTAATTTGATGACCTTGACAATCCAAATAGGGATGAGTCGTTAGCAGGGACCCCAAGGGCACCTGACTCTAGGTGCTGGAATCCCTGGATAAACCTGTTGTCTCCCCCTGTCAGGGTTGCTTGCCCCCACACCTTTGGATCCCCTTCTCTGCACCCACGTCTTAGGGGCCCCCCCTTGGTGGCCTCACGTCCGGTCTGTGACCTTGCCCCTCTTGCTGATGGCAGCTTCTCAGTAATTCCAGATTCTGCAAGAAGAATGCCACTGGGCTGCTATCTGTTTGGGCCTGATCACACATGGCAGAGGTCATGGCCAACCCCCTTGGATCTGAGTCCAGCTCAGCCACTTGGCTGTGATGTGCCAGGTCACAGGGCCTGCTGAAACAGAGAAGCAGGCCCTTCGATCCCAGGGCAGACCTCACTATCATGTGCTCTGTGCTACTGCCTTCCTTGAGTTCACCAGCTCTGTGTTGAGCACCTACTGTGTGCCAGGCCCTATTCGATATCTCTGGGGGCACTGAGGATGTTCCTGCCCTTGGGCGTTTATATCCCAGTGGGGTGGTGGGAATGTCTCTTGGTGCACTGTGTTCTAGCTTGTATGTACTTCTGCGTGTGGGGTTTTCTGGGGGAGGGGGGTTTGGGGTCTACCTCTCAGCACACATAAGTCTGTTCCCTGGGACTTCTGGGTGTGAGCATTCCTCCAGGTGTCTATGTCTCCTCCTTACCTGGCTCCTGGCCCCAGCTAACGGGTCCTGGATGGCAGGGAGCCCTTCCTTCGTGGCTTTGAAAGGGGGCCTTGCTCCTGGTGGTCACGCCGAGTGCTCGTGCGCCTCCTCCGGCCATCACTTGTGGGTTGTAGGCCTGACAGGCAGCGAAGCTCCTCTGGAAGGCCCAAGAAGCCCTACCTATGGGAGCTGGGGAGAAGGCACACCCTCCCCCTGGGGCTGTAGCGTGAGACTCACCTGCGAGCTCTGGACACTGGTCATCCAGGTTCTCCAGTAAGGACTCGTAGCGGGTGGGCGCCCCATCCTCCCCCTCTGTGGAGGGAGTAAGACCGATTCCTGACTGGCCTGGTGGTTCCCACCTTCACCTCTCACTCGACCTATTTGCTGGCCCTGGCTGGGGTCAACAAGGCATTGGATGGGAAGGGTCAAGGCTAGGTCCTGGCCAAAGTGGGGGGCTGGCCCGGGCCTTGGGTGGTCTCGGACTGCTGTCCCCCTCTCACATCCCAACATAACTCCAAGGGGAAATCTTGGGCCCCACTTACTGATGATCTGCACAAGGACATAGGTCCCACGCTCCTGCAGCAGGGGGCTGCCCATGGAAGGGGCCTGAGAAGCCCCCTCATCCAGGCTCACCAGGTGCCCATCCTCAGCCAGGAGGGCAATGGTCGCTGGGAGGGCAGGGAGGAAGGCAAGGCAGGGGCTGGTACCTCTGCCTGGGGACCCTCGGCCCCTCCTCCCCAGCACCCCTCCATGCCCCCTCACCATCTGGGGGCACCTGCCCCCTCTGCCTCAAGTGGGCAGTGAGTGTCACCAGGCTGCACCAAGTGTTCACCAGCTCCCAGCAGCCAGCTGTAGGGACAGGGCAGAGGTGAGTGAATGGGACCCTCTGCTTCTCCCAGTCTGGGACCATCTGTCTCGCTTTCATCTCTTCTGTAACCTGAGGAGGGAACAGGTCTCCAAGATTAAGACTGTACCCTCCTCCACCCATCTTCTGAGATGTCAGTGACCAGGGCACATAGCTCATGCCTCCTGCATTGGGTTCCCCCCTCCCACTCCAGCACCGCCTCTACACGGGACTTCTCTCCAGCACCAGACCCCCCCATTCTCCTACCCCAGCCCCACCTGCCACCAGAAGTCCGGAAATCTTTAAGTGTGGCTAGAGCTTTAGGTGCCTAATGTTCCCTGAAGCTTGAAGACAACTGACTGAATTAGAGACTGTGTAATTTAACAACATGCCCTGTGGTGGTGTGGTGGGTGTTCTCCTAGAGGAGCCCACTGGAATTTCCCACAACCCAGCCACCAGCGTTTCCCCTCAAGGGACTCCAAGCATTTGCTCTGTCTTCTCATAGAGCTGTTTCCCTAAACCCCCCATCCCCTTACCCAAGTGCACCCCCCTTCCTCACACTGCCTCCCCACCCTCCCCTAGGGCAGAGGAAAGCAAGCCTCTGAATGTACTCTCCCCCTACCTGTCTCAGGACAGGGGATCCCGCTTACCTCCAAACATCACTGTGATAAACATGCCTCTGCAGGGGAGAGTAGACAGATGTGTGGGCTTCGATCCCCTAACCTCCAACTTCCTGACTAAGGAAGGATCTGGGGCTGAGATCTATTCTGGGTGGGGCCCTGCCAGGAAACGTGCATACGTGTTTGGGAATGGGTGGGTGGATCCAGGCTTAGGTTCTTGCTTGGCCACCGTTGGAGCTGGGCTCCACCAGCCTAGAGGGGTCCCTGCAGCTAGTTCAGGACGCCTGGCCTCCTCTTCCTCCTGCTTGCTGGGTCAGAGCAGCTTTCTGGGTCAGAGCAGCCGGAAAGCAGACTGAGGCCCTCCCAGCTTCCAATCTGGTCTCCATGGCAGTGGGAGCTGCCAAGTCGTCTAGGCAGCAAATGCCTTCCCCACAGTATCCTGGTAACAGGATCTGGGGCTGGAGTATGGGCACTCCCTAAGGCAGGGCTAGAGTGCGGGCTCAAGCCTTGTAGTCCACGGATGGCCCAAGACCACATCTCCCCACCAGTACAGACAGAGCTCGCAGGCTGAAAGTGGGAGAGGACCCTGTCCCTGGGAAAACTCCCAACTATGAGCTGCGGCCATGGCCAAAGCCTGGCATCCTCACCAACCTTGCTCTCCCCTACCTTCTCAAGGCCCTCTTCCCTGTGCTGTCTTTGCTCTCCTTTCCCTCTCTGCTTTCCTCCACACCTTCAGCCTCCTCTCTCTTTCCTTCTCTCCTTGTTCCATCAAGTTTATTGAGATATGATTTACAGTAAAATTCACTTAAAGTGACAAAAATCTGACAAATTGCATAGAGCCACCACCACACTGGGGAGGCAGGTCATTTCCCTCACCCCCAAAATTCCTTTATGCCCCGTTGTAGTCAATGCCGGCCCCTGGCAGCCACTGCTCTGTGTTCCGCCCCTGCCTTTTCCAGAATTGTATACAACAAATCATAGAGCATGGAGCCTTTTGAGTCTGGCTTCTTTCACTTAGCATGAGATTCACTCAGGTTGTTGTGTGTATCAATGGCTCATTGCTTCTTATTGCTGAGAAAGGTCCCATTGTCTAGATGTGCCACAGTTTGTTGATCCACTCACCTATTGTTTGGATTGTTTCCAGTTTTTTGCCATTAGGATTGAAGCCAGTACAGACATTTTTGTGCAGGTAGGTTTTTGTGTTTCTGCGCCAATCCGTGCCCATCCTTTAACTTTTTCTCTCATTTTCTCTATCATCTTCTTTCCTTCTTCCCCCTAGCGCCTTTCCCTCTGTCTCTACCTCTTCGTTTCTGTCTCCTGCCCCTTCTCCATGAGCCTCTACCAGACCCCTTCAGCCAGGATGCCAGGTAGGTGTCTGGAGCAGGCTCCCATCCTGTGCCAGCTCCCTTTTCCCCAAGGTTTTAGAAATGCCTTCTCCCCCCTTCCCCCACAGTGATTAGGCTGTCTGTCCTGCCCTCTGGGCCACTGAGGCAAGAGGAGGACTGGATCCTCCATGCGGCTCCCCCAGCACCACACTCTGCCTCTGTTTCAGCACTCAGCTCAGTGCTTCCACCTGTAGAAAGGGGGTTAAGAACATGACTCAGCAAAGTCCTTGTGAGGATTAAATGTGGTAACACTTTGTTTATTTAGTAGGCTCCACGCCCAATGCAGGGCTTGAAGTCACAACCCTGAGGTCAAGAGTTGCATGTTCTACCAACTGAGCCAGCCAGGCACCCTTTAAAACATATTACCTTGAGGGGCGCCTGGGTGGCTCAGTCGGTTAGGCGGCCAACTTCTGCTCAGGTCATGATCTCGCGGTCCGTGAGTTCGAGACCCGCGTCGGGCTCTGTGCTGACAGCTCAGAGCCTGGAGCCTGTTTCAGATTCTGTGTCTCCCTCTCTCTGACCCTCCCTGTTCATGCTCTGTCTCTGCCTGTCTCAAAAATAAATAAAAACGCTAAAAAAAATTAAAACAAAAAAAAACAAAAAAAATATTACCTTGGTCTCAGCATGCAGAAAGTACACATTCAGTACTGTAGAAACAGGTAGTGTTTTCCCCGAAACTATTTAAACACAGGACACTTTCTTCTCGGGACAGCACTATCTCTGGGACTTGTGTCCTGCAGAACACAGCTCAGGAGTGGCTGCAACCAGATTCCAGAAGAATGGCCACTCCGAGCCCGGGAGCCTCAATTCCAACAACCATCATGGTTGTCCCAAGAGTTCATCTTCAGTGCGACCAAGGAGGAATCAGATGTTGAGTGTCTTAGAGATGCCCTGAGGAGTTGTTAGGAATGGGATGGGGCCCATTGGAGGTAAAGTTCCCCCAAGGGAACTCTCTAGTCTTTGAGTTAATAAGAGTGCACTGTTCTAATTACTTTTATTATTTAGGTATGGCAAGGCCAGCAGACCAGGAGGTTGCCATTGAGAAGATAGTTTGCAGATCTCTAAAGGAGGGGGCATGCCGCACCAGAGGGGAACACATGGGGAAACACCCAGTAAGTCAGCAGGCAGAGGGAGAGGGGGAGTCTTTACTGGTGGTTTCTGAGGCTAAGAACAGAGGAGGAAGGGTAAGCAGGCTCCAGATTGGCTAGTTTGAATAATTTCAGGGCTCTGGGGCATAGGGACTTTCCCTGGATGTCAGGTACCTGGCCCTGGGTGACTAAGGCAGGATGATATTGCCCCACGGTATGAGAGCCATAGAGGAGGTGGTTGCGGGTGTGGGCTCTGGATTGGTTTGCATCTGATAAGTGCCTGCATTATTTCAGGAACTGGCTAGCTCTGAGAGGGTCAGTGAGTCCCTCCAAGGTCAGCAAGGCCCCAAATGTCAAAGCATCAGAACACAGAAAATGCAAGGCATGATTAATAGACACACCGTCCCCGGCACTGAGCAAATAAATCCCGTCTGCTTCTTCCCAACCTTTGGGCTCGCACTATACTCATCTTCATTTTCCTAATGAGGAAACTGAGCCACAGAGAGGGCAAGGAACTTGCCTGAATTCATGAAGATGAGGAGGTTCTGAGATTCAAGTTTGAATACCAATTTGGGAAGTCAGCTCCCCTCTGTCTGGCAAATTAAAGGGACTGACCATGTCAAGTGCTGGCAAGGATGTCCCTGGAACTCTCCTACCTGCTGGTGGCAGTGCAGATTGGTACAACCATGTTGGGAACACTTATGTAATCTACTAAAGCGAAATGTACATGTTCCCTATCACCAGGCAACTCCAGCCCCAGGTGTCTACCAGAAGAAATGAGAGCACAGGTGCACCAAACACATTGATAGGGATGTTCACAGCGGTTTTAGTTGTAATAGCTAAAGACTGGAAAGCACCCAAATGTCTAATAACAGGAGAATGGTATAGTCATCAAGCCATACACTTAAAATCTGTGAACTTTACCTCATGTGAGTTACACCTCAATAAAAAAGGATCTACCTGCTATAACACACATACGGGCATATGTGTAGATTTCCAGGCTCCTCGGAAGTCCCTGTGGGCCAGGACCCCAAAGACATCTGGGAAGATAGGGCCAGCTGTTGGGCTCCAGCTACTATACCCCCAAGTCCCCACCCCCAGTTAATGGGCTGATTTGCATGCCTTGTCATGGTCCAGGGGCTTCCCCTGCCTGTGCTCTGAAGCACCTGGAACACTCCCAACAGAACAACTCCTGTCTGCCTCCTTGCCTCTGGCCATGGCCTGCTGGCATCTGGCCCTTCTTCTGACTGGGGCCCTCCTGTCAGGTGAGCTCTCCCTAGGCCTAGCTCACGTGGGGTGGGGTGGGGTGGAACTGGCTCCAGAAGGCCCCTGCAAGGAAACAAGTCAATGTGGGCAGTGGGAGGGTTCTAGAAAAGGCATTAAGGTGGAGGGGAGAACTGGCTATAGATGGCTCTGCCCTAGACCTGGGGCAAGTCACATATCTGTATGGGCCTCAGTTTCCCCATTTGTGAATGACGAGATTGTTAGGATCCCTTTGGATTCGGATTCTTTGGGGTCTTTTTAGTTTTTCACAGGGGAAGCTACCCTACAGGGCCTCAGGGACAACCTATCCTTGAGAAGATTCCCAGCAGCCAGTTGTCTGAGGTTGAGTCGATGGGTGGGACAGCCCAGGAGGCTTCCTGGTGGTGGTTAATCCATAGCCAGGGTTTGGAAGAGCCAGTGTGACTGAGGGGTAGGGGTCTGCAGGGCAAGGAATGGGGGTGGGCAGCAGAAGGACCCAGAGGCCACCAGTCCCACCCTCTGAACTCTAGGCACTCAACTGAACACAGATCCTTGGGAACATACCACCAATGAGGATTTAACAGTCACCAACTCTGTGCCCCATCCAACCTCGAATCCATGGCACTGGGCTATGGGCCTTTTGGGAGTCAGTCTCCGTGGAGCCTTCACAAGGTTGGGGCAGGAAAAAAAGGAGCCCATGTCAGGCCTGGGCCCATGGGTGTCTCTCTCTCTCTCTCTCTCTCTCTCTCTCTGTCTTTCAACCAGGCTTGGCCCAGCCGGATGCACTGCTTGTCTTCCCAGGTCAAGTGGCCCAACTCTCCTGCATTCTCAGCCCCCGCCATGCCATCATTGGGGAGTACGGCGTGTCTTGGTATCAGCAACGGGCAGGCAGTGCCCCCCGACACCTCCTCTACTACCGCTCAGAGGAGGACTACCACCGGCCCCCTGACATCCCTGACCGCTTCTCAGCAGCCACGGACGCCGCCCACAACACCTGCATTCTGACCATCAGCCCTGTGCAGCCTGAGGATGATGCAGATTATTACTGCTCTGTGGGTTACATATCCTAGGAATGGACTGTGGGATGAGCGCCTCTTGACTGCCTCTCACATCTGCACCCTGACCTTGGGCCCCTAACTTTCTCTGAATCTTGATTTTCCTCCTCTGTAAGATGGGTTAGTAATATTAAACGTGAACAATTAACTATTCTGAGAACCATGAGATCCCTGCTGAAAGAGTGACTGGGAGTGTGGGGGTAGGGATACAGGGGATTGTTACAGAAGAGGAAGCACCTGAGACCCTTGAGGCGGGCCCAGCCTCTCCACTGGCCCCCAGGGGACTCAGACTGGTGGCCTGGGCTTCCTGTTACCTGAGGAACTGGAGAAAGAGAAAAAGGAACCAGCCCTTGCTGCTCCTAGTTCCGCATGGCAGGTTGTGGTCCAACGCTCAAGGGGTGACTGGACTGGGTTCTCATGGAGCCCAGGCTGTTAGCTTGGAGGGCGGAGGGGAGCTCCTGCCTACTCCCTGACCGGGCAGGGAGGCAGGGGTGTGTGTGTGTGTGTGGGGGTACTCAGAGGCACCTGTGGACCAGGTCAGACGGTACTGAACACAGGTGGGCAGCATCTCTCCTGTCAGGAACATGTGTTCCACTGGTCTCCAGTGATAGGGGCTATGCCCCTCTCCCCACTCCAGGCTCTCCCACAGGCAGGGAAGGCCTTACCTGAGCAACTGAGCCCAACAGGGAGCACTGGGTAGAGGGGCAATTCTTATCAGAAGCGGAGCTGAGCGTCTGGGTATGGGTTGGGCGGGTGGGGTTCAGGCACATACTCCTCTTCCATCCTGGTTCCCCCAACAGGCGCCTTATGTCCGGAGGTCATTCATCCCTCAGATGTACTGGAGTTGGGGGTCTCCAGGGAACAGAGAGAGTCCCGCCCACACTCCCAGCCTCCTGGGTCCTCACTGGGCCACTTCTCCATATCTCAGTCTCTATTGGTACCGGCTGGGCAATCAAGACCAAGGCTACTTAGGGAGGGTGAATCAAACAGGCCCCCTGGGCCTGTGCGGGGTGACGGGCTCCACAGCTTTGGGAACACCTTCCCTTCTCCCGAAAACCCCAGCCGCCCCAGTGTCCTCTGGCTTGCCCCCACCCCCAGGGCAAGTGCAGCCGGAACTCGACCCTCGGCCTGTGGCTTTAGGCCGGCCTGCCCCTCCCGGTCTCAGTTTCCTCTTCTTCACTCCCGCCAACGCCTGCCCAGCTGTTTCCCCCACGACCAGGAAGCGCTTTGAGAACGGACCCGGGACCATTCCCAGACCTTGTGCCCCGAGCCAGAGCGGCTAAGCGGAGGACTACAGGCGCGGCGGGACCACCGAGACGCGAGGACCTCCGCGCGGCCTAGAGCGGTCCCGGAAGTGCCCGCGGGCGGGGGCGGGGCTCCGGGCGCTCGGGCCGCCGCGAGCTCCGCGTCAGCAGCCGCCACGGAGTGAGGCCGGGTCGGCCGCGGGTTGGAGCAGCTCAGGTACGGCCCCGCCCCGCCCGCCCGCGGCCCCGCCCCGGCCCAGGTGAGCGGCCCCGCCCCGACCCAGGTGAGTGGCTCCGCGTCAGCCAGTGTGACCACCTGCCCCTCCGGTGGCCCCGGGTGTGGGCGTCCCCCATCGGCTGGAAGCATGTAGGGGCTCCAGCGTCGCCGCTTGCGTGGCGTGTGCGTGTCCGCGGCCGCTCGAGGGCCTCCAACCAGGAAACCCTGACCGGTCCTAGGGTATCCCCAGTGCCCAGGCCCTGGGGGCTCCCTGAAGCATAGGGTGACAGATGAAAGAGGAGCCGAAGAAGACCCTGAGAGAGGTGGGAAGATGGGGTCCCAGACCTTTGGATCTTCGGCCCAAAAATATTTAAAACATTGTTGAGGACAGTTAAAGGATTGCCAACTTTCTAAACGGTGGGAACGTCAGCGTATAGGTGGTCCGTAATGGGAATGGAAAACCCCTAAGGAGGGAACTTTAGAAACACCAGGATTTAACAGGTGGGTGGCGGAAGAGTTGCAATCACAGATACCCAAGAAAAAAATAACCAGAAAGCATTAAAACTAGGGGGAAAACTTTCAGAAACGAAGGGAATAAAGCAGGGGGTGGGAGTGGGGTGGGTGGTTCAAAACCTTGAGGTGTTCAGGTAGTAGGCAAGGTGGGTTTAATGAAGGGGTGGACCTGTATTATCACATCTCCCAGGTTTTCAAGAGAAAGACTGAAACTTACTGAGTTTTCAGTATTGGCAGCTAAGTCAAACAAAAAGGAAAAGTTCAACCCTTTGCGAGCCAAGCAAAACGCGTCTGTGGCAGGATCCCCAGGCTGCCAATTTGCAACTTCTGAAATGAAGGGTTTTGAGAAGGGAGCTATTGGTGAGCATTGCCAAAAGGGGTGGGAAAGTGAAGTCTGAGAAGAGAGGGATTGGCCATAAGGAGGTCATTGGATGCGACAGCTGAAGACCCTGCTGAAACTGGAAACTTGAAATCTGTCTCAGTGCAGTACACAGTCGTATGATTTTCTTTGGCAACATTTAACATCTTAGGAGGAATTGATGGAGGAGGTTGGTAGTTGGCAGCTGGTTACAGCAGGGCAAAGAGGTGAGGAACGTGATGCTGGTCAGAGTCCATAGTTGTTAGATCCACGATAGAGTCTAAGCTAGACAGGGAAGGGTGGACTAAAAGAGGAGAACCTGGGTGAAATTGTTGGGTTGTTTGACCTGATGAGGTGGATTTAGAGAGCCTGAAGGACTGGAGATTATGGTTCCTGAAGAGGAGGGGGAGGGGAGTTAAGTGGTCAAAGAATTTTTGAGAATCCTTCAGTTCTATGCTTCTTTTTACACCGGGCTTTTTTACCCCCTGGAAATTCATTTAAAACAAAACAAAACAAAAGTTTCCAAATAGAAATGAGTTCCATCGTGACTATGCTGATTAATTTAGCATGGCATGTCTTTTGAGCAGCTCATTCTCCACGCTTCAGTGTACCGTTAATAATACCTGGGTATAGAGTTGGTGAGGGTTAAATGCAAATGTGCCTGTAGAAGATCTAGTGGTGCCTAGCACATAGTAGATGCTCAGTAAACATGAGCTGTTATCATTATCCTGGTACCTGGGGAGTTTCCCTTCAGCTTGCACAGCAATTTCGGAAGGGGATCCTGACGGGCTCCCTCAGAGGCCACCATAGTGGGATGTGGGGTGCCGAATGGGCAGTCCCTATGGAAACAACCCCTGTTGATCGGAATCATTGTTTTTCTTTCTTTATTGGTATCTCCCATACAATTTATTTAAATAAAGAATTCTTTGCTCCCTTCCCCCCAAAAAGTGTGACCATCAGTTCTAGCACAAAAACAGATGGCTTTCCCTCCATTCAGTCATGTATTTATTCAACAAATGTGTGTGGAGCTTGTCCTGTTGTGCTGGGGGCGCTGGCGATTCCAAAATGAAAGAGCACAGTACCTTGCCCTCAGGGAGCTCTCAGGCAGTGGTGGCGAGAGTCCTGATGGCAGATGTTTGCCATCCACGGCCATGGGTGTTGTGAGAGACATGTGCACTGAGCTCCATGGGCCACTCAGGGGATGTGCTGAGATTGTGAGAGTTGTAGGGTGAGTAAAGACATTTGGACCGAGTCTGGGAAGATGAGCCAGTGGCAGTGTGAGAAGGGAGCAGGATCAGTTAGGAGGAGGAAGCAGCAGGAGCCTGGGTGGCTCAGTCAGTTGAGTGTCTGACTTCGGCTCAGGTCATGTTCTCGCGGCTCATGAGTTCGAGCCCCGCATCAGGCTCTGTGCTGACAGCTCAGAGCCTGGAGCCTGTTTCAGATTCTGTGTCTCCCTCTCTCTCTGTTCCTCCCCGCTCACGCTCTGTTTCTCTCTCTGTGTCTCTCAAAGATAAATAAACATTTAAAAAAAAAAGAAGAGGAGGAGGAGAAAACAGCAACTAGGAGTATGTGGAAGGAGAGGCTACAGATGGTGCTGGAAGGGCCAGGTGTGAAGGGCTTTGTGAAGGATTTGAGCTGCTATAAGATCCCGAGACAGATGATCAGGCCTGTGTTTGGGGATTTGACACTGGTGTCAGTGTAGAGATCTACCAGAGAGAGGGAGTAGAAGCTGGAGGTAGGTGGTCAGTAGTGAAATACTCCTGGGGAGTTGCATTGAGGCCTGAGCTGTGACCTGACAGACAGGCAGAGACTTCTTAATAAAGCTTCAGGAAATGGACAGAGTAGACATATGGGGTGAGAGAGGGAGAAGTCTAGGCTGACTCCCAGTGTTGTGGCTTAGGCTCCTAGCTGGAGGGGGTGCAGCCAACCTAGTGTAGGAGGGAAGTCTGTGCCCTTCCTCAGAACCCCCTACCCCAACATCCTCCAGTAGCTAGAATCTTGCCCCTTTTCCACAATGGCTCTACTTCCTATTCTAGTCCACCTTTCAGAACAACCTCAGCCTTTTGATTCTAGGCACTACAATGTGGCACTTGATTCTGTCTTTTTTGTAGTTTTTTTTTAATTTTGTATTTTTTTTTTTGAGAGAGAGAGAGAGAGAGAGAGATTGTGAGTGGGGGAGGGGCAGAGAGAGAGAGAGACAGGGACAGAGGATCCAAAGTGGGCTCTATACTGACAGCAGCAAGCCCAATGCGGGGCTCTAACTCACAAACTGTGAGATCATGATCTGAGCCGAAGTTGGACGCTCAACAACTGAGCCACTCAGGCACCCCTGTAGTTGTTTCTGATAAATCAAACTGTTTGCTAATTCAGTGGGGATCATCTCCAGGGCAAAATTGTATCTTCTGCTTATTTTGTTATGTCCACGATAGAATATGACACAGGAAGGAGGCACTTACTAGGTACTTGATTTGCAGACTTGACAATGTCCCTTGGTTTCTTTTCAGATTTGCAGACTTGACAGTGTCCCTTGGTTTCTTCCCAGGTGACGAGAACAGTAAGCGTGTCCTTAAGAAGACCATCTTTTAAGAAATACAGTCATTGGGGGTGATACTAGATTCACAATGGAGGTTCCCCCAGCAGCCAAGCTTGGTGAGACCTTTGTGTTTGAGGACGGATTAGAGATGCAGCAAGAACTTTTCCCAGAGGAGGACCTGGGGGACCCTTTTCTTCAGGAAAGAGGCTTAGAGCAAATGGCTGTTATTTATAAGGAGATCCCTCTTGGGGAGCAGGACGAGGAACATGACGATTATGAGGGCAATTTTAGTCTGTGCTCAAGCCCTGTTCAGCATCAGAGTACCCCCCTGGTACACAGACCCCAGGACGATGACCTTTTCGGCCAAACCTTCCTCCAGAAATCAGACCTTAGTATGTGTCAGATAATCCACAGTGGAGAAGAACCCAGTAGACATGACTGTGAACAGGTGAGCAGGGTGCACGCAGGACCTAACGAACCTCACAGAACTGCGCCGCCAGCAAAACCCTACGCGTGTCGGGAATGTGGGAAGGCCTTCAGCCAGAGCTCCCACCTTCTCCGGCACCTGGTGATTCACACCGGGGAGAAGCCCTACGAGTGTTGTGAGTGCGGGAAGGCCTTCAGCCAGAGCTCGCACCTTCTCAGACATCAGATAATCCACACGGGGGAGAAGCCCTACGAATGCCGGGAATGCGGAAAAGCCTTTCGCCAGAGTTCAGCCCTCACGCAACACCAGAAAACCCACACTGGGAAGAGACCATACGAGTGTAGGGAATGTGGGAAAGATTTCAGCCGGAGCTCAAGTCTCCGAAAACACGAGCGCATTCACACGGGTGAGAAACCTTATCAGTGTAAGGAATGCGGGAAATCCTTCAACCAGAGTTCCGGCCTGAGCCAGCACCGCAAAATCCACACCCTGAAGAAGCCTCACGAGTGTGAGCTCTGCGGGAAAGCCTTCTGTCACAGGTCCCATCTGATTCGGCACCAGCGGATTCACACGGGGAAGAAACCTTACAAATGTGAAGAGTGCGGGAAGGCCTTCAGCCAGAGCTCCAACCTCATTGAGCATCGGAAGACGCACACTGGCGAGAAACCCTACAAATGCCATAAGTGTGGTAAGGCCTTCAGCCAGAGCTCATCCCTCATCGAGCACCAGCGCATCCACACTGGGGAGAAGCCCTATGAGTGCAGCCAGTGTGGGAAGGCCTTCTGCCACAGCTCGGCACTGATTCAGCACCAGAGAATCCACACAGGGAAGAAGCCCTACACGTGCAACGAGTGCGGCAAGGCCTTCCGGCACAGGTCAGCCCTGATCGAGCACTATAAAACCCACACCAGAGAGAAGCCCTATGAGTGTAACAAATGCGGCAAGTCCTTCAGGGGAAGCTCACACCTTATTCGGCACCAGAAAATCCATGCTGGGGAGAAGCTCTAGAAAGAAGAGCTCACACCAAAGCTCGAAACCCTTTCCCAGATGGAGCCCACACCCCATAGCTTTGTCTCTGAGACCCCACCCACCCCCCTGATCCCAGGGCCAAAAAGAAATGTGTCAACCTAGGTGCTCCTGGCCATCCACACTAGCAGCAAGGCCCCCTCTTGGCCAGCTGGGTGCCCCACACTCAGCAGGTTTACGGAGTGGAAGGGAGGGTAAACTAACAGGAAAGCTGCTAAAATGGAGGCCTGCCCAAAAAAGAGAGCTGGCCTTCGATTGTTCATGTTTGACTCCCAAGCCCAGGAGACTGAATTTTGCCGTCTCTTCACCTTTGCCAAAATTCAGAAGAATGAACGCCAGAGGGAGAAAGTTGAGTTAAACACACAAGAATGTCAGGTGAACTCTTTTAACATCAGGTTGCAGTTTGGCACTTTTAGAAGACAGAACTCTGCTCATAGTCCAAATCAGCTGAAGGAAGATGAATCCAAAAGTAGATACATTAGCAGCAAAATGGAATCTTTCACCTGGCTTGGGCATTGGTGGGGACAACCGAAACAGGCTACAGAAGAAAGGGAGGGTCTGGAAGCATTCGTTCTGGGGTTGAGGGAGAGGATGGCAAGTCCCTGGTGTGGTGTTTTAATCTCTGTTCTGGATTAGAGTGAGGTTGGTCTTTGGCAGGTGGCTCTTTCACAAGAGGGTTGAGGTTTCATTCCATGGGCCAGAGGATGTTTGACACTGCCTTGGACTCAGCCTGGCACAAGGAATTAGTGCCCTCCAGTGATAACCCCTCTATAAGACCCAGGGCCCCCAAGACCATGGTATGCCTTGGTTGTCAGCAGGGCCCGTGTCTGGTCTGGCTTCCAGTGCTGGGGGACATAGGAAGCAGGGCGATTCAGTCAGAGGTCCCAGTTCTGCCCCTCCTATTCCAGTGGCCTTGAGGAGGCTCCAAGGCTCGGTTTCCCTATGTGTGAGATGCGGATGGTGGGACCTGGCCACGTACCTCTGAGGGTCCAAGGCTCCTGTTCGCCATGAAACCACCCATGAAAGTGCTTTGGCGACTGGCAGTTGAAGGTGGGTGGAGACCCAGTGTGACCCTTGTCCCACTCAGAGATCTGAAAGGCAACCCTGTCTGTTTTCCAGGTGGCCGGGCTCACAGCAGGCCCTCCCATTAAACCAGAGCTTAGGCTTTCCTTCACTCCCTCCAGCCTGCACCCTGGGCCTTGTCCCAGACAGGGACCCTTCCCAGATGCCATCCTGAACCTCCCCCTAGCAGCAGCATGGTCTGTGTGGCCTGTGTCCCATGCTTCGGGCTGTCCTCTCCCTGGGTATTGTTCCAGAAGTACCATCGCCTGTGTCCTGCCAAGACCAACTCAGTCGGCATCCCCAGAGGAGGGGCTCAGACAGGGGTGTGTTTTTAAAGCTCCCCAGGTGATTAGGGCATTCCGGCCAGGGTGTGAGCCCTCTGCTGGGCATCCGTGCAACCCTAGCATCACCCAAATGTCAGGCCTGCTTGCCATGAGCAGAGCTTGAAGGTGGCAGTTCTGTCTCAGTCCCCATGCCTCCCATCCCCCAGGAATGGGCTCAGGCAGTGCTGTGTCTGGCTAGTTGGTAAGTGTCCCAGGTGCTCAGGCCTTCATTTGGCCACTGGGATCTCTTTGGTGCTACTTTCCCCCAGGCTCCTCAGAGGCAGTCTGAGCTATTTTGAAGTTTTCCAAAAGTTGATGGCTGGAATCCCATAACCCCATCGTGGTAATGCTGGCTATTTCAGCTAATCAAGGGGTTGGCTTGGCAGTTATGTATAGTTTTGATGAATAAAAATGAGCAAGTCATAGTTGTTAGTAAGTGGGACTTGGCAGGCTAGGAATTTTCAGAGGACTGGTCTCCAGCTAGGGGATCACAGTGGGAGTCCCAGCCTGGAGAACAGCAGTTGCTCCCGTCCAGCTCTTCTCCTTGAAGGAGTGTGTGAAACATAGCACCGCCAGTTGGTCAGGTCCCCTAGAACCTGCTGTACCACTAGCTAGACTGGCCTGACTGGGTGGCCCCTGGCTGTCTCCTGCAGGTGGCCTGTGCTGAGGGTCTTCAGTCATTTACCATGAGTGCAGAGAGAATCAAGACACCTGTTCAGCGTGGGTGGGGCAGCAGACCCCTCCCCTAGATCTACCTCCTCGGCCATCCCCTATTTGGCCTTACCTGGGCTCGGCCTCGGCCTCTCCTTATTGGGCAGTCATCTGGGTCCTACCTTTGCTGTCTCTTTCCGTGTGCCTCTGCACACCCCAGCCAAATCGATTTTCTTAAAGCATCTCTTTGCACATGTCACCACTCTCCTTAAAACCAACCTGCAGGGGCTTTTCTGCACATAAGCCCCCATTTCAGCCAACCTGGTTTGCCCCTTCTGAACAAACCACAGGGAGTTCCTGGCCACCCGCCCAGATGCTCTCTCCACTCCCAGCTTCTCTCCACTGTTTTTATGCGGTTCTTGCATTTTGGAATATGCACTTTGTCCTCCTCCTCCCCCCACCCTCTCCTCCCTCCTTTCAACAATTTATGGAACGTGGGGAATGAGACCCCCTTTCTGAATAGTTGACGGGTCCTCACAGAACTATGGTTAAGACCAGGTACTTTTCAAAGCGTGAGCAGAACCTAGTCCTTTCTTTTCACATTTCTTCACTGTTTTATGTGTTTTCAAATCCTTCATTTTATTTAGGTTCTTGAACAGTGTAATAGAACATCCTGGTAATATTTTAATCGCCCTTGAATTTAGTTGTCATTTTTGTTTGGTTGTCTTACTTTTTTTCTTCTTATGACAGACGTTGAGTCTTGTAAAGCTCCAACTCTTGGTTTTGTTTACTAATTGAATTGTTTTGTCCAACTGTATGTATTCCATCTCTCTCTCTTTCTCTTTTTTTTTTTTGACTTAATACTTCACATTTCTAAGATTAATTACTTAGATACAGTTAATTGTATTTTTAATGTTTCTAGTAAAAGTAGTTACTTCGGTCTACGACTTTTTTCTCAGAGCTTTTTCTGTCCTCTGTCACTTTGACATGTGCTATTTTTTGTTATTAGGAATCTCCTTTTGGCCCAAGTGTTATTTTTTATATTTCCACGTAATGAATGCATAGGTCATTGCTGTCATCTTACTGTACTGTGGTGTCAACATTTCTAAGTGTCCATAGAACTTCTCTGGGCCTGAATATATGATCCATTTTTATAAAGCATTTGTGTACTCTCAAGAAATGTATTTTTACTCTATCACTTCTATTTGTGAACTCAGTTTTTAAATTACTGTATTCAAATTCACACCTTCTCTGTTGCTTACTTTACAAGTTCTTAACCTGGGGTCTGCAGATTGCCTAGGAGTCCATGAGCATGCAGATCTATTTTGGAGGTTGTGTAGAGGGATCAAACAAAGCTGTGTGGTTATGTCCATGAATGAATTGCTTGGGGCTGGGCGTGGGGTGGGGTATCTGTAGCATTCACGACATTTTGGAAAGGCTCTGTGACCCCAAAATAGTTAAGAACACTCATTGGCCTGGTCAAATCATGGTCTGATGTGTTTCTTACCCTACCTATTTCTGTTTCACTTTGTTTCTATTTTATGTATGTCCTTGTAATATTAGATGTACAGTTCTCTCCAATCCTTTTTGAGAAGTAGGCAGGGTATCACTAAGTAAGTACCATGATATTTGGAACATATATATTGAACAGTAATATATTGAAAAATTGTGCCTTTTAGTACCCTCCTTGCCTTTCTTAAGGCTTCTAGCTGAAATTTCTCTTTTTCAGATATCATAATTGAAGACCCTGGCTTTTTTCACTTTGCATTTGCATGAGTTTATTTAGCTCAGCATTTTATTTTTAAAATTTGTGTATGTGCTTTGCTGTATAGCTTATAAACAGCAAAGTGTTGGATTTTGTTTTCTGATTCTTTCTATAATTCTTTTTCTTTTTATGTGAGAAGTTCTCATATCATTATCATTTAGAGTAAGGTATAAATTATCTTCATATTTATATTTTAATATATATTAACATATTTAACCCAGAAAGACCATGTCTTTTAATCTCTTATCTCTAGGAGTTATTAACCATGTGTGGAGTATCATCTCTGGGTAGGCTAGAGGCTCCACCATTGGGCACACCTGCTCCTCCCTGTCTTCGTCAGTGCCAGGCTCTGTCCTGAACCCACTCTAACTACCTCTGGCTTCAGTGTTTTTGGCTGTAACACGGAGGAATGAGGCCACCTCACAGCCTTGTGGAGCTCAGAGGAGTAAGAAATACAAACCTTCATGGCAAACTGGGGGCATAGAAGATTCTTATACTATTAGTGTTTTGAAAGATTTCTTTAATTTTCTGTTCTTACTCCCAGCGTTCTTTCAACATAACCTAGGTGCTTTGCTTTTTAGAAAATATTGCCAGATATAGCGAGAATTAGACATCACAGATCCGTCCCATGCTCCCTGAGTGAACCTGTATGGTAATTTGATCTTATAATCTCCATCCCCATCACCCGTCTGTCCCAGGTGGGTTCCCTGTCAGCCTTCCCTTTCCCCCTCTCCATGGTGGGAGAAAAGCACTGTCATAATTGCAAAGGATCAAGAATGGCAGATGGGGAAACTGACGCCAATGACTTACCAAAGGTGTGGCGAATTAGTGTTAGATCTACCTGGCAGCCATAGGGAAGAACAATTCTGGATGTTATGCTGGAGCCTTGGTTACTTGTTGCCAGGACTTCTCCAAGGTGAAGAGTGGTTTAGTCACCACCAGCCGAAGTGAAAACCATATACTCTCAGTGTGCTGAGTTGCTCAGCCTTTGAGGGGCAAGTTGCTGAGTTGCTCAGCCCTTGAGGGGCAAGTTGACATTTGCCAACATTACACAAGGTGAATATATATATTTGCCAGAATGTTGATGCACAGATTTACTGGGGGTAGGAAAAGAGAAGCCCTTTTTGGATGGAGAACCCCATCTTCAGTATCTAATAGCCCAGGAAACTGCATCAGAAGGTTGCCTGGTGAGTGTGGAATTGGGGTGTCAGGACATGGACCATCCCTCCTGTAGTACAGGCCATACAATTGCACAGTCCTCCGAATGCTGGTGGGGGGCACATGCTGAAGACCTCCAGTGTCTGTGGCCTCCCCCCTGGGGGGTGTCCTCCCTCTGAGGTCCAGAGCACCTGGTGACAACCTGCAAACCTGTGAAAGGCTCTTACAAGAGCTCCCCAAGTGAAGTGTCTTCCTTTTGCCACCACCCTTAGCCAGGCTAACTCTTCTCTTCCCCAGAGATAACTGGATGCACTACTCTTTCTGCTCCCTGCACCTCACTTAGGTCTTCCAGGTCCACACCAGAAATGAGAGAAGGAGTCACAAGCAGCCAAGTAACAATGTGCTCCTTATGTAGCCTTCATGTTGCCTCATCTTCAAGAAAAAGGAAGTGGCACCTTGTGTGGTTCTGGATAGGTCTCCCAGGACCACAGGCACCCCCAAAAGTGAAGAGCTATCCTGGGTTCATGGTGGGAGTGAAACGGGGGTAGAGTTAGTTGCCTTCTTGGAGCTTAGTGAGGTTTTATCTGGTCTTATAAATAAAGCCCAAGGTCTTTCCTTTCTGATAGCCCATCCTGGAGGTCTCCAACAGGGGCCTCTCTGCCCATCTTCCTTTCTATCTGACAGCCCTGTAGGGGAGGAACCTGCCACCGGGTCCCACACTGCGCTGTGGAGCAAGTGCTATGTGCACAAGAGACTTACTCCTGCCTGTTTTGCATGTCAAGAATGCTTTTCAACCCTCTCTCTATCACCTGTTCTTTTCTCCAGACTGATTTCAAGCCAAGAGCTAGAAACCACTTCCTGCTGTGCCTTCTCATTCACTGATTTCCACCACCCCCAAGTCTTGCCCTTAGTATCTCTTGATGCCACCTCTTCCTGTCATTTGCTCCCACCTTGGGCTGCTGCCATCCACTGCTGGCCTGCTGCACCACTCCCTCTGGCCTCCTACCACTGGCCAGACTTCCCCTCCTGGCTTTCTCCCCTTGGCAGTCAGAGTAAGCATTCTACTCTCTGATGGGGTCACTACCTTCCTCAAACACCCCTGTTGGTTTCTGTCAGCCTAAGTTTTGAGGCCAGCCTGTAGGCGCTTCCTGATGTGACACCCTCCTCCTCACCCAGGCCCTCCATGCTCCAGCCACACTGAACCTCTATGTTCTGGAACATGCCTTCCTCTGGTGGAAGGGTGTCCCTAAGGGTACACCCATCTCCCACCCATGGAAAGAGCATGGGCTGAAGATGGGGCATCCTTCTCCAGGATTAGCTATTCTGAGAAGGCCAGGCTCCCCTCCCCCACACAACCTTCCCCAGCCCTGTGCTGTATTCTAGGTGTCAGGTGCAGCTGGACCAGGGAGGAAGACCAAGTTTAGGGTCAGGGCCAGCACTCTGGTTAGTGGAGAATGAGAAGATAGAGTGGGTCCAAGATAGGGTGACTATTCTCCTTTATGTCACACTATGACACTTTCACATCATCTCAACACCTGGCATATTTACAGTCCTCCTAAAAATGACTTTGCAAGCACCCTAACTATGGTTTTGACTGAGCCCTCACCCTCCACAGCCTAGCCCCTGACCAGGACAACCAAATCTCAGACTCTCACAGTGACTGAATCTCACCTGGTCCTTGGTTTCTTCCCACTATGATGGAGCCAGGGCCCAGCCGGAATTTCAAGGGAAGGCTAGTTCATAGAAGAGTGAAGCAGGGAGAGCCTGGAATCAGTTCCAAGATGACAACAGAAGTCCTTGGCATTTTGTGTTCTCAGGCACTGAAGGGGAGAATGCTGGCAGGAGCCTGTTTCCCCATAGTACCTGCAGCAGGAGAGTGACAGGGAGGGAGACAAAGAGACCAGCCAATCCATAGAGACAGAGGAGAACTGTCCAGGGCAGCAGCGGACAAGGTCTCCTTGTCTGAGACCTCAGTGCATTCCAGGGCTAAGTATCTGACATGAAGCAAGAGGTCACCAGGGGGTGCTGGGAGTCTGCCTGGCAGAGATCAGAGAAACAGGACCCCACCTACCTGTGGGGTGCACACCAGCCTATGGGATGCCCAGCAGCTGCCTCCCCCCTGGCCTCTCCACAGGAGCAGATCCAGCATCTCCTTCTCACCTTTGCTTCAGCCATTCTGCGGGTCTGAAGCCAGAGGGGAGGCAGCTGCTGGGCATCCAACCTCCATCTCCACAGGAAACCAAGCTTGGGGACTCCTACCGGATGCATGGGTGCTACCAGATTTTTACACATCCCTGCCAGGAACTAACAGAACAAGTGTGCTGTGAATGGAAAAGGCTAGAGAAGACTTGAACAAGACAGTTAACCTCCTAGTCATCCATGGAGCAGCACATGCTGAGTGCAGAACACACATTCTTTCCAAGGCACACAAAACAAAAAGTGCATACATGCTGGGCTATAAAGAATAGAATCGGCAGATGTCAAAGGGCTGAAGTGTAAATTATGTTCTTGGAATACAACACAATGATGCTAGTAACCAGAAACATGTAACCAGAAAACCAGTTTGAGGTGCTGCTTACCCCCCCTCACCAAGGTTCACCAGCCTGGGACACCACCAGCAAGAATGTCAGCCCAACTTTGGGCTCTACTAGTTTAGCAGTTTTCGTTCCCAAGAGAAGCAGGCTTCTTCCAAGCACACAAGAGGCCACCCCCTTGGCCACTGTGGTCATCTCATACCAGTGAACAATTGGGCACGGGTGATTGGTCTGACTGTCAGGTATTGGGGGCTGGAAGGAATGTGTCTGGAACTCTGAGGACCTCAGGGTACCTTCATCCCATGATGACAGTTAATGCCAACTACTCCTGACTCCTTCAAGCAGGAGTGCTCGTGTCCTAGACCCTCAAGAATGGAGATTTGGGTTACCCCACTGGACAAGTAACCCTGACCAGCTGAGGTGCTTGCTGAGGGCAAAGGGAATACAGAATGGGCAGTGGGAACAATAAACACCAGCTCTAACCAAGTAAGTAGGTTAGTACTTACTGGCATGTCTTTCTTGTTTCTATGTGAATATCTATTTTAAGATTAAAAACAATTTTTTTAATATTTAATTTGAAATTAAGAGAGCACGAGCAAGGGAGGGGCAGAGAGAGAGGGAGTGAAAGAATCCCAAGCAGGCTTCATACTGTTAGCACAGAACCCAACACGGGTGCAAGTGGGGACGGGGATGAAGGAGAGGGAGAGAGATAATCTTAAACAGACTCATTGTTCAGTGCAGAACCCGACTCAGGGCTCAATCTCCCAACTGTGAGATCATGACCTGAGCCGAAATCAAGACACTTAACCAACTGAGCCACCCAGATACCCCTAGAATTTTATTTTATTTTAATTTTTTTTCAACGTTTATTTATTTTTGGGACAGAGAGAGACAGAGCATGAACGGGCGAGGGGCAGAGAGAGAGGGAGACACAGAATCGGAAACAGGCTCCAGGCTCTGAGCCATCAGCCCAGAGCCCGACGCGGGGCTCGAACTCACGGACCGTGAGATCGTGACCTGGTTGAAGTCAGATGCTTAACCGACTGTGCCACCCAGGCACCCCTAGAATTTTATTTTTAAGTTCTCTCTACACCCAATATGGGGCTTAAACCCACAACCCTGAGATCAGGAGTCACATGCTCCACCAACTGAGCCAGACAGGCACCCCTACATCTACATACATTTATAATAACAGCCCCCCCCATTTCCATACAATCTAACACTAGATGTATTAATAGTGGGTAATCTTCTATTTCAGTATCTAAGTTATAGGATATCAAATGGGTGTGTGAATCTTGACAAAGACTCTTTGCTGGATGGAACTGCAGTCAGGCTCCTGAACCTTCTCCTAGGCTCATCTGTGCACTTCCTTCTATTATCTGATTTTAGCAAGAAGTCTCTGAAGTCCATCTAACCAGAATCCCCCCACACTCAATTCTGATTGGGTTCCTCTTCCTCTGCCATCCCCCAGGTAAGGTCTGATCACCGTGGCCTGTCTTCAGTAAAGAATCCTGTTAGGTCGGGTTAGCCAGAATCCCCCTTACCATGGTGTCCCCTCTTAGTAATCTTCTATCCACTGCCCCCTTGCCTTTTGCCTTGGCAACAAATCCCCACCTGCCCATGCTGTATTTGAAATGAGCCTGGTTCTATACTGAGGTCTCTTTCCTCCTATTCCAATAGTCCCTGAATAAAACCTGTTTTTACTACTTTAATTTGTTGACCTTAAAAAGAGGCAGCCACCGTTATTTTACCAGCAAAAGATAGGATTACTCATAGCAGGGAATTGCAATCTGTGACAAGTAAGCTACGGCAAAAATCGTTGGCTGGTCCAGCAAACAAAGCAGAGGAACATTATATTATTGAAAAGAAAGAGAGGAAGTTGGGAGGGACTATTTTAAATGAAAGTCCATTGGAGGGGCACCTGGTGGCTCTGTCAGTTGAGTGTCTGACTCTTGACTTTGGCTCAGGTCATGATCTCACGGTTCATGAGTTCGAGCCCCGTGTTGGGTTTGAGTATGGCATGAGAGCTTCCCTCTTCTGGCTTCCCGACTCCAACTCAGTGAGGTTTGCCCTTTATTAATTTTCACATTATGTTTTTTTGATGAAGATCTTTCTCTGAAAGCATTGCTGATCAAGAGCCATGTCTTATTTTAATTTTTAAAAAATGTTTATTTTTAGGGGCGCCTGGGTGGCGCAGTCGGTTAAGCGTCCGACTTCAGCCAGGTCATGATCTCGCGGTCCGTGAGTTCGAGCCCCGCGTCAGGCTCTGGGCTGATGGCTCAGAGCCTGGAGCCTGTTTCCGATTCTGTGTCTCCCTCTCTCTCTGCCCCGCCCCCGTTCATGCTCTGTCTCTCTCTATCCCAAAAATAAATAAACGTTGAAAAAAAACATGTTTATTTTTGATAGAGCATGAGCAGGGAAGGGGCAGAGAGAGATGGAGACAGAGAATCTGAAGCAGTCTACATGCCATCAGAGCAAAGCCCAACATGAGGCTCGAACCCAAGAGCCCTGAGATAGTGACCTGAGCTGAAGTCAGATGCTCAACTGACTGAGCCACCCAGGTGCCCTGAGAGTCAGGTTTTCAGTGGTCTTTTGTTCCTCAGTGCCAGGACCTTTCCTGGGTGTCATGTGTCACAATGTAGAGAGGTTGTACAAATTGGAAATCTACTGAGGTCATGTTCAAGTAACAAGGAGGTGGAGCAGGAAAACTCTCAGGCACTTCCCAACTACAGTCCGTATTTATCAAGATCGTAAACACTGGAGATCATCTCCTTCTTGGACACATCCTTTTTATAAAGGTTGGACAGCCAACAAGTACAAAATGAAACATCATATGATAATTCCAAATTGCATGATGATCCTAGGGTTTCAGAACCCTAGGTATGAAGACAGCCAACTGAAAATATTTCTTGGCACTTATTCTAACTTAGGGGAGAAAAGTTCTCCTTGTGGAGGCAAACCCGGAGTCATGTATGCCTCCTGGAATTCCCCACTTTAAAGCAGTCATGAAAACAGAATAATGAATACTGCAAAAGCACACTTACAGAATTAACCAAGTGCATTGGGGACAATGTAGTGCAGGTCTAAACATGAAGCAATAGCTGATGAACTTTTTGCAAAACAGCAAAACCTTAAAGACATTTTAAAACAGCACTGTTATCTCAAAATGGAACTGAATGTATTATCCATGATACAGTCTAATAAATTCAGAAACCATGAACTTGGGTAAGAATCCAGAGTTATTCAATGGTCCAGATGAAAAGCACAATCTTCTGTTAATCTTGAGCCTTCTAACAGGCCTTGTCTGGACATCTTGGGAAAGGGAAAGTGTCAGATGTCGTCTGCTTCAGTTCCAGGTCACCAGATGCTGTACAGGTCCAGTGAGATTTTGGTACTTTCTTTACACGTGTTACGTGAATCCAAGAGTCTGTTCCCTGGAGTTTGGCAGCACAAGGGTTGGTTAGCAGCCCCTTTTAAGGACCTTTCCAGCAAGGTTGAAGGGAGTCTTTCTGAAGGTATCTTTTCCAATAGACAATATCTCCAGATTGCAAGGCGTGATGCTTAAGGTCTTAATCTCCTGGGAGTACACGGTGAAAAGACTGCTCTACTGAAGCATGGTTATTTTTAATAGAAGCAACTAAACCTTTACGATATTGAAATATATCTCCTTCAATTGTGGGTCAAAGGAGGGAGGGGCCAAGTGCATTTGAGGTCTTGTGACCCTCTCAAAGGGTGAGAGTCTCCAAATTCCAAAGAGGATAGATCTGAGATGTAGAAGGACTGATTGCAATGCTTTCAGCCATATATTTGTAGGGTCTCTACAACTTTTGCCAGTCGTGTCTTAATAGTGCCATTAGTATGTTCAACTATCCTGAGGATTGAGGTTAATATGTACAATGGAAGTGTTGTATAATTGGCCAAATACACTTGCTGAAGCAAATCAATCAGCAAAACGGGTTCCCTGATTATTATGAAATTCTAAAGGGGTTCCACAGGTAGGGATAATATTTTCTAACAGAATTTTAGCTGTAGAAGCAGCAATGGTCTGTCTACAATGGGAAACTTTGGCCTGATGAGAAATCCTACAAACCATGACTAAAACACATTTATATCCATGAGACCAGAGAAGCTGTATGAAATCTATTTGCCAAACTTCAAATGATCCAGTGGGCAGTTTAAAGTGTCTGGGAACAGTTTAAACAAGGTTCCCTGGACTGTACTTTGGACAGTTGGGACAAGTGAGGTAGACATTTTTTGAGCCTTATTAATATTTCCCCACCAATATTGGTTCACGAATGCCATAATTTTGTCAGTGCACCAATGTTTTAATGCATGTGCAGTGGTAGGTAGTGGGAAATCTAGAATTTCTGAACAGGCCAAATTGTTATTTATCATCCTGATAAATCAGAGTTCTCTCTTTTTATCAAACCAACAACAATTAATTAATTAATTAATTATTTTAGAGAGAGGGAGAGAATACATGAGTGGGGTAGAGGGGCAAAGGGAGAGAATCTTTTTTTTTTTAATGTTTATATATTTTTGAGAGAGAGAGAGAGAGACCGTGCATGTGCATGCAGGAGGGGCAGAGAGAGTGGGAGACAGAAGATCTGAGGCAGGCTCTATGCTGCTAGCAGAGACCCTGATGTGGGGCTCAAACTCCTGAACCATAAGATCATGACCTGAGCCAAAGTCAGACGCTTAACTGACTGAGCCACCCAGGGGCCCAGAGAGAGAGAATCTTAAGTAACCTCCATGCTCAGTGTGGAGCCTGTTGCAGGGCTCAGTCCCACTACCCTGGTAACATGACCTGAGCCAAAATCAAGAGCTGGACACAACCAATTGAGCCACCCAGGCCCCCCAAACCAACAACTATTAGATTTCCAATATTGGTTTTCCTTTTCTGGGGCCAATTGTTGGGTGTCAATTTTTCCAAATGATCATTTGGGAGAACATCTCTTTGGACCATGAGAAAGGTTTAGTCATTGTTTTTTTTAACAGCATCATTTTTGCCAGAAATATCAGCAAGGTGATTTCCTTTGGCTTCCAGGGAGTCCAGTCTGGAATGCCCAGGTACGTTAACAATAACGAGAACTACCAGCCATGTGTATGGCATCTAATAAATTTTTGACACAGGAGCCACTTTAGATTTTATCCCCATTAGAGGTAAGGAAATCTTACATAACGTTGCTGTTTCCATAACATTCCAAGTGAGTGACCCAAAAGGCATACGAAATATGGGTATAAACATTTGCAGTTCACCATTGGTAAGATACAAGCTTGAGTAAGGGGGTAAATCTCAGCCTGTTGAGGAAGTAGCTAAAGGTAAAGGTGTGGTCTCAAGTTCAGAAGGAGTTGCAATAGCATACCCAGCACAATATTTACTATTTTCATACTTTATTTTATTTATTTATATTAATTAATTAATTAATTAATTAATACTTTCATACTTCTATGAAACCCATCGGTAAACCCTGGAAAATACGCAGTGGTTAAAGGAATTGCTTACAGGGGCGCCTGGGTGGCTCAGTCGGTTGGGCGTCCGACTTCGGCTCAGGTCATGATCTCACAGTCCGTGAGTTCGAGCCCCACTTCGGGCTCTGTGCTGACAGCTCAGAGCCTGGAGCCTGTTTCGGATTCTGTGTCTCCCTCTCTCTGACCCTCCCCTGTTCATGCTATGTCTCTCTCTGTCTCAAAAATAAATAAAAACGTAAACAAAAATTTAAAGGAATTGCTAACAAACTGTCATGGGGAGTCAAAAGGTGATCTGTCAGTGTTAAGCTGTTACAAGGGGTCTTGTCCATGAAGGAGGAACAATAGCCAGGTTAAGGTTACTGCAGCAAGAAGGAGTTCTAGGGGGAGCAGGCTGCAACAGGATCCCCTAGGAAGTGAGGCAGCTGGCTGAAGAGTATTGACTGATGAGAATTTAGGAGGGTTTCTACTGCATGGGGCACAGGGATGATTAAAGGGGACCTCACAATTACCTCTTCAGTAGTCTTAGCCGAAAGGGCAGTGGCAGGAATGGCTCTGGGGCAATGGGGGATATCCCCATGCCACAGGGTCCAGTTGTTGGCTAGGGTACCTTATGGGCTAATGATTGTCTCCATGTTTTTAGGCAAGTACTCCAAAGGTATTCCCTTCCCTCTCACATAAAAGGAAAAAAAGGGAAGGCAATAATTAGGGTGCCCAAGAATGGGGGTTTTTGTCTCCCAAACTATGTTGTCCCAATTTTTCTAAATAAGAAGGCCAGGTTTGTCATTTCTTAGTAAAGCATTTAGAGGTTGAGCCAGAAAAGAGAAGTTTCGAGTCCAATTTCAACAGTAGACAGGCAGTCCAAGAAAACCTCATAACTGGCACTTAGTGTTAGGTTTGGGGAATTTCAGATTTCAGGCTGCCACAAAGCCTACCTAGATCCAAATGTAGTCCTTGTTCCAAGATCAGGTGCTCTAGGTATCAAATCTGAGTTGGAGTGAACTGCAATTTTTCTTTGAGGACTTTATGGCCCTCTAGGGCCAAAAGTTTTAACAGGTAGATATTGTTTTCCTGTGAAGAGGTTTGGGAAAGGGAGCAGAGAAGCAAATCATCTGTGTGTTACAACAAAGTAGAGCCTGCAGAAAACATTCTGTCATCCAAATCAGCTTTTGAGATTTGTGAAAAGTAAGGATTCTCTGTGAAACCCTGGGGCATCACTGTCTGGGTGTATTACCGTTCTTCCCAAGTGAAAGCAAAAAGATATTGGCTATTTCTATCAACTGGATTACTGAAAACACACTACACAGATCAATTACAGTGAAAAAATTGGCTTTCGGGGCGAACAGATGCCAGTTAGCAGGTGGGGGTTAGGAAGACAGGGTGCTAAGGGATAACAATGTTATTCATTGCTCAGATGCCCTGGACAAACCTCTGTCTCCACCAACGGGCTTCCTCACAGGTAAAATAAGTGTATTTCAGGGACTAGAACAGGGGATAATGAGGTCCTGAGCCTTACAATCTTCTGTTATGGGCTTGATGCCTTGAAGGGTTCTTTATTTATAGGGTATTGACTAATTTGGGGGAGAGGTTTCAGGGATCTATTTGAATGTTGAAAGAAGTTCACTGTGGAGATTTTGCCCTTAAAGGGGATGGTAAGTGATTCAATAGGGACACATTTTCAGTGTCCCCAGACTCTGCTATCATCCCATCCAAGATAGAGAAAATGAAGGATGTCAAAGTGTCATTTAATTGACCTGGTTGGCTTTTTTTATTACCATTGTCAAATTCTAGAACTAGTTCTCCCCTTTGATATTTCCTAATAAATCCTGTCCCCCCCCCCCATTCCCTAAAAAAGAAATCTCAGCCCCCAAAATGATTACGAGCAGAGGAACTAAGAAGAAAAGAGTGGGTATCTCTCAAAGCACCTTAGCAAAAGGGGATAGGTTTTGAGACAGGAACCTTTAGAGATTTATTAGAGCCCCCTAGTATTTGAGCTGCTTTAGTACTCTGAGGAAGAGGCTACTTTACAGCAGTGGGGTTGAGTACCAAGAGTGTAGCTCCAGGGTCAACAATGACAGAGAGGGGCACTTGAGTGGCCCAGTCGGTTAAGCGTCCAACTCTTGGTTTTGGCTCAGGTCATGACCTTATGGTTCATGAGATCGAGCCCTGCATCAGGCTCTGTGCTGACAGTGCGGAGCATGCTTGGGATCCTCTCTCTCTGCCCCTCTCTGCCTCTCTCTCTCAAAATAAATAACCTTAAATTAAAATAACAACAGAGAGATTTATTGCCAATCTGGAGCATTGTTTCTCTGAGACAATTAAGAAGGAGGATTGGGCAGAGCCCTATCCTTGGGAATTAGGACATTGGAGAAGCTGACTAGAGGGCTGAAGGCATCTGGAACACTTCACTTTGTAACAATCTTTTCCCCCATGTCCTGGGTCTCTGCAGTAACAGCACAGACCATGAGGCCTTTGGTTTTGTCCGGGGGCCTCCACTGGTGAGAGGTGAAAATTAAGAATTTTAGAAGTGTTTCTTCTAGGTGTCTCATCTGGGGTGTGAAAGCTGGTTTGTCAAACTGATTATATCTGGAGGGGACATAGTCTTCCATTGCATCCTGGTTGTTTTAACTAAAAGAGAAAGATCCCAGTTCAGCCCCTTAATAAACATGGCATTAAGGTGACCCGAGTGTTTTCAACATCTAAAGGAAGACCAGAATATTCTTTGAAAACAAACAAATGTTGATTACAATAGTCACAAACAGATCCATCAAATTTTTGTGAGCAAGCCTGAATTTCATTCCAATCAACAAGCTTACGCAAAGCTATTGTACAAGCTCAGTGGAGGTTTTCAGCTAGTGTTCTAACATTTTTGTCAAAAGTTAGGTTTTGTTTTTCTCTTTCAGGATGTTCCCATTGGGCAAGTTTCATCCCCCAATGTTTGGCCTGCCCCTCACCAACAAACACTGGATTAACTGGTCCAAATCTGAGAGATGAGGTTGGTAAGTTTTAACAACTCTATTAAAATCCTCAGCAAACTTATGGGGATCCTCAGTCACTTTAGGAAACACTTTGATTATGGCTCCAAATTAGGCCTTAGTCCCGGGAACAGAAGATATTTGGCATTAATTTGGATCCTCAGAAGGTTTGACTTTAAAGGGACAGGTCTGGGGTGCCTGGGTAGCTCAGTAGGTTAAGCGTCCGACTTCAGCTCAGATCATGATCTCACGGTTCGTGAGTTCAAGCCCCACATTGGGCTCTGTGCTGACGGCTTGGAGCCTAGAGCCTGCTTCTGCCCATCTCCAGCTTGTGCTTGGCCTCTCTCTCTTTCTTTCTCTCAAAAGTAAGTAAAACACTAAAAAAATAAAATAAAGGGGCAGGTTCTGATAGGTTCAAAGTAGGATGGAGCAAGGAGAGGTTCAGGACATTTGGGCAGGATAATTGGATGGGGAAACTGAGGAAATAGAGGAGATGGAGGTGGTGCAGAGGGGAAGAAGATAGCACCCAAAGTGGGGCCTGATGAAATGGCTGCTGTGTATTTGGAGACAAAGAAAACACGGAGGGGAAAACAGGCCTCAGATGCCTTTTTGTCTTTGTCACAGCCTAGAAACTGTATTTTGCAGAGATAATTTTAGATTCCTGATAATATTTGAAAGCTTAAAAACCAATCCAAATAGAACTGAATACCATCCCATTCAGTTTTGACAATTTTAGAAGCATGGCTGCCCAATTCAGTTTTGAGAAAAGGACGTATGGAGAGACTGAAAAATCCCCATGATGGCCAGAGTGGCCTCAAATTCTCCATAATGGCCATGGGTGTCCTTAAATTACTTTTGATCAAGTCAGTCCATTTAGTTAGAAATGTGCATGAGAAATGTGCACAGTTTTTAAAGATAAAACTGGCCAGGGTCCCAGAAGGGGAGGGCCTTCTTAAAGCATTTTGAGGGCTGGGACCCCATTTCTTAGAGGTTTTTATCTAGAGCAGAAAAATTCATAAACAACACAGTTTTAATAGGCACAGTCTGGTTCCAAAAGAAATCAGACCAAGGGCTAGGACAGTTTCAATAGAAATAGCTGGTTCTAAAAAGGAGCTGGACAGGGGCACCTGGGTGGCTAAGGCGGTTGAGCCTACAACTCTTGATTTTGGCTCAAGTTGTGATCCCAGGGCCTTGGGATTCAGCCCCACATCAGGCTCCGCACTGAGGGTGTAGTCTGCTTAAGATTCTCTTTTCCTCCTTCTTTCTCCCCCACCCCCCTCTCAGGGCACCTGGTGACTTAGTTAAGTATCCAACTCTTGATTTCAGTTCAGGTCATTATCTTACCGTTGGTGAGTTCAAGCCCCAGAGCCTGCTTAGGATATTCTTTCTCTTCTCTCTCTGCCCCTCCCCCTGGTTGTGTACACATGCGCACTCTCTCTTTCCCAAAATAAATTTAAAATTAAAAAAAAAGGATTTTCTCTCTCTCTGCCCTTCTCCCTCACTTGCCCTCTCTCTCTAAAATAAATAAATAGGGGCATCTGGGTGGCTTGGTCGGTTAAGCGTCCGACTTCGGCTCAGGTCATGATCTCACAGTCCGTGAGTTCGAGCCCCGCATCAGGCTCTGTGCTGACAGCTCAGAGCCTGGAGCCTGTTTCAGATTCTGTGTCTCCCTCTCTCTCTGCCCCTCCCCTGTTCATGCTCTGTCTCTCTCTGTCTCAAAAATAAATAAACGTTTAAAATAATAATAATAAAATAACATAAATAGGAAATTGGACCAAAGTCCAAATGAGTACTCTCAGAAAGAACAAAGAAAGCTCTAAAATCAATCCCAAATGAATCCTAGAAAGCTCAAAATGCAGAAAGTGGAGCTCCAAATCCAGGAGAGACTTATCCTCAAACTCAACAAGAAAGCAGTGAGCTCTGCGGGTACCATCACCTGTTTGCTCACCAGCCTCGGAATTGTTGGGGGGGGGTCTTCTCTGGATCCTACTTCTGATCTCCAAGTAATGTTGACCTTAAAAAAGCATTTCATGTTCCCAGCAAAAATGGGTTTATTAGGGAATACCAGAATACTGCAATTCAAGCTGGGGAAACAACCATAGGCTAGTCCAACAAAGGAGAGAAACATTATCATATGGAGAAGGAGGAAGTTGGGAGGGGTTGTTTTGAAGGAGATCATTGGAGAAAGACAAGTGTTCAGGGTGATGAAGGCTTCTCATTGGCGGAGTAGCTGGGTGGTCAGTTTCTTGTAGGAGATACAATGCCCAGCTTTCTCTGTTGAGGCCTATAATTGATGATTCTTTCCTGTTGATGCTTCTGTTGAGGATCAGTAACTGACAACCCTTGAGTCTAGTGGTAAGTCTTGAGAGCTGCTGCCACTCCATTTCAGGAAAGTTTGCCTTTATTAATTTTCACAAACTTCTCTGCGGCTCTGGTTTTTCTTTGAGGGGAAGAGAAAGAGGTATATGTGAATCAGCTGGGAGAGGAATGAACATCACCTACATACATTCACACTTGCTTACACCCAGACGCCTACAAACACTCACCCCACACACAATCCCTCACACAAGCACTTTCTTGACTCCTCACCCTCCTGTCCAAGCCTCACACTGTTTCACTCTCATTCACTGGTCCGCTGGAGCCAAGGGAGGACCCTTACTATACACGGAAGAACCTCGGGCTAAGAAAGAGAACCCCAGGCAGGATGGGAACCTGGTGGGAGAGTGGGCGGGGCTGGCGACGGTCTGCAGCTTGAGAGGAAGAGGTGTTCCTTGAGCTCCAGGACCCTCCTGCCTTCAACCCCAGAAGCCGGGCTGCCCTGCCCACACTGGGGGGCGATCCGGAGAGGGCCCCCCTCTGGGCACACCGCTAGCCCAGCTTCTGTCCACAGCGTGAGTCCCAGGGAGGTGGTCCGGGGTTCTCTGTGCTCTCCGAGGGTCGCCCCACGCCATCCCTCTCTAGCCCCTGGCAGCCCCACCCGGGCTCCTGGACCCACCTTACCCTTTTCGGTCGCCAGGGGTCTCTGTCTCCTCGCTAGATGCTCAGGTGGGGGCTCCAGGGCGCAGACACGAAGGAGCGGAGACCAGGACCGCGGGGAGGGCTCAGGGAATTCCTAGTGAGGCCACGGGAAACTGAAGTTCCAGAATCCAGGGTCATATTAGGCAGGGTAGAATGAGGACAAGGACGGCGGGACTTAGTGACTGCCGATTGACGCCAGTGGGCTTTACCCGGGTTCCCAGTGCTGCGGCGGGGCCCGAGGAGGGGGAGGGGGTGATGCACACCGCGGGGGCAGCAACCTGGGAACGTCAAAAATCCAAGGAAGCGCACGAACGTGGAGAGTGGGGCCATGACCTGTCTCCAGGCAGTAAATTAGTCCGGCTGCTCCTAAGAGCTGGCTGCAGCTCATAGCAAAAGTGAACATAGACATCCCATGTCCCCGCGGTTGCAGGAGTAGAGACTCCCTGTGTCCCTGCAGTTCTAGGTCTGCTGTGTGCACCAGAGATGCGCAGGGGTTCCCTGGGCCAGTGTTTGTGAAGGAGGAATGGGACCTGCCCAAATGTTCATCCATCTACCCGGATGTCCAGTACCATGCTGTCTATTCACACACGGAGCCATGAGCTCAGTGGTTAGAGCCTGGTTGATTATACGTAGAAAGTTAGAAGGAACAAGATATGTCGACATGATGTTCGGGTACATTTGAAAACTTGGAACAAAATTCAAGATGCTCTGCACAAATTGCAAGGCCCCAAGGACACTCTGGCTCCCTCTGCCGCCTCCCAGCCTTCCTTGTAATCATGCCACACTGGCCTCCTTGCTGTTCCTGCAATTTGTCAGGCACATCCCTCCCCAGGACCTTTGCACTTGCTGTTCCTTCTGCAAGGGAGCACCCTTCCCCAAGCACCTTCCCTGGCTGATCCTCTCACTTCCTTCAGGAGTAGCCTCTCCTGACCGTCCATCTAAGCTAACAGTTGCCACACTCTTCCCTTAACCTCTCCCTTTTCCTAAAGAACTCATCACACCACATACTACAACATAACATGTCTTTGTTCTGACCTCTGCCACCCACTGGAACTTTGCTTCAGGACTTGGTCTCAGCACAGTCATGTCCCCAGGGCCTAAAGCAATGCCAGGCTTCAGAGCAGATCAGTAGCTACGTGTGTAATGAATGACGCTGGGTTTCTTTCCAAGAATAGGGAGTACATAGAACTAGGAGACAAGAGCGGAACAAGGGAGTCCAGCTTGGCCAGCTGTTTTTCTTCTCTTACGGAAAGCTGGGAGCTGGTTGACCACAGGTTAGGATTTGTTGCTTATGTGTGGTGAGTGTGCCACAACCATGTCAGTGTTCTTGGTATTTTTGTGTTTCCCCCGCATCTAGCATGGAGGAGACCCCTCTCAGGGACCCTCTGGTCTGGAAATTCCTTTTCCCCATGATGCTTTCTTCCCTCATGGCGGGGGGGCAGTCTGTGCACCCTGTGTTGGGGGGACCTGGAGGTTCAAGACCCTAAGCTCCTCTGTCCCACCCCTCCCCTGGGAGAAGGCCCAGCATTGGGGCTCTGGGAGGATCCTGGGAACCCGAATGTGTGTGTGTGTGTGTGTGTGTGTGTGTGTGTGTGAGAGAGAGAGAGACAGAGACAGAGACAGAGACAGAGAGAGACAGAGCATTGTACAGGGATGTCTTGGCCAGGAATGTAGCCAGGACACCATGTGGCCCATGGAGGACAGCTGGGTAAGATGGTGACATCCTTGTGTGGGTGATACCTCTGCACCATGCATGGTGACTTCCTGGCTGGGCTCCTGACCACTTGGCCATCAGCTCCTGACAGACCCAAGCTCCTCTCCTCAGGCGTGGACCTGAGGTGTTTGGGCTAGGGCAGTGCTAGGAGGGTGGGCCTGGCCCATCAGAGGGAACCTGGAATGTGGGTGTGGGGTAGTGGGCTCACTCGGCTCCCCCAGGCCTTGAAGGAGAGGTGGCTGGAGGGGAGGGTGAGGATAGTTTCTCATTGGCTGAGTTGCAGACGGGGTGGGTTTATTACAGAAGTTTCAAGGTACGTCTTGTCCCTTTGGGCCTGTAATTGTGGTCATTCTTTTCTGTTGATGATTCTTCATTTGAGGTCTGTAACTGACTGTTCTCTCTATAATTGACATTGAGTGGTACAGCTCTCTTTTCTGGCCTCGCCTTCTATCCTCCAGGGTCCACTTTAGTGAGGTTTCCCTTTATTGATTTGCACAGTGACAAGTGCCAACTGAGCCAGGATGTGCTTGAATGTGCTTCAGCTCCACAGCCCAGAAGCGATGCTGTGTCTCAGGGTGCAGGTTACAGGGCTGAGGCCCAGCAGAGAGGGGGCCCCTCAGGGCCAAGGACATGTGAGTGCCATGTGATGGAGAGCACTGGGCCTAGAAGCTGGTAGCCAGGCTCACAGTGTAACCTAGGCAAGTCCTTTGCCCCCTGTGGGCCTCAGTTTCTGCTGTGAAAGCTGAGTGGGTGGAGCCCAGTCTCTAAGGTCCCAGTGACCCCACCCCCTTCAAGCTCCCCTCTGTCTCCTGGGGCAACTGGGGCCCCTGCTGGGCCTGACAGCCAAGGCTTTCAGACCCATTCCCAGAGTGAGAGCCCCAGGCCCTGCTGCTGGAGGTGCTGGGGCTGGAGCTCCTCCCTCCAACCTCCACATCAAGGGCAGGTGCCCCAGGAAGGCCAGACTTGGGCCTCTGGCCTCAGAAACTGAGCAGCCATGTGTTATCTCGGGCAGAGGAGACCAAATACCTCCTGGGGCCCTGACTGTGGGGACCAGCAGAAAGCCTCTTGTGCCTTCCCACAGCCCAACATGTGCAGACCCCACAGACCCCGGTCCACAGCCCCCCACTCGCAGCCCTCACACCCTCCCAGCACCCCCCAGAGCTCACAGTCCCAAGCCTTCTCCTTCCACCTGGGGCTCGGTGCTGCCAAGGAAACACCATTGGGGAGAGGCAACCATTGGGGAGAGGTTGCCTCCTCTGAGACCTCCTGAGGAGGGACCACTCTGTGGTGGATGCCCCCAGGAACTGGGAAGAAACCTCAGAGCCCCTCTCTGCCTCCTGCCTCAGAGCAGAGCAAGAGTCAGGGTGGGACAGATAGAACGGCAATGTCCTTGGGTGCCTGTCTATCCATGTCCGTGCTGTCCCTTCCTTAGGTTCCAGGGGGGCCTTCTGGGCTCTGAGGAGTGGGGTGCTGCCTTTCTGGAAGTCAGTCTGTAACATGCTTCCAGAGCCTTAGACAGGCATGACCTTTGATCAGTGTGGCAAAGGTCAACTCAAAGTCAGTGGTGGGACAAGTGCATAGGGATGAAGGCTAGGGGTGTTGCCTGCATCTTGTATGGAATGGTGGCGCTAGTGGGACCCAGAACAGGCTGCCTGAGTGTTGTTAGAACCTCAGGTTCACAAGTGTGATGCACGCCCAGGTTTACCTGCCCCTGGGTGGGTGTGCTGTTCAGTGACAAAAGAAAGCTCTCTATCTATCTATCTATCGTCTATCTATCTACCTATCATCTATCATCTATTTGTTGTCTATGTGAAATGCAAGGTCAAGTCTGGAAGGACATACACCAGATACAACCAGCACAGTCTCCAGGCTCTGCTAGCAATTTCTTTATACTTTTCTTCTGTTTTATTTTTAAAAAATCTTTGTATTCCTCTTTGTAACAGGAAAAAAACTAAGCTGTCTCCATTTTTAAAGACAAAACAAATCAAAACAATGGGTTGCATGATGATAGAGCCCCGAAGAAACCCTCACTTGGGGCTCCAGAGGTGGTGGCGGGCCGGCTCCTCAGGCAGACCTGCCTAGTGTCACCGAGGACTGGGCACACAGCCAGGTGGTGGCTCCTCCACCAGCAGTGAAGAGGAGCCTCATCATGGATGGATATGAAAGACACAGTCTTGAGAGAGAGAAAACACATGCAGTCTCACTGAATCTATATGAAGTTCAAACAAATGAAGCTGAAAAACAGTTGTTTCAATGGCACCCAGAGGACATAAAACTATGGGAAAAAGTATAGAGATGGTTAATGCAAGAGCTCCTGAGGTCCTGGTCACATTCAGATTCTAAGGTGGTACATGACCTATTTTATTATTACTTTTTAAACTTTACAAATACATTTTATGTATACTTTTTATGGTTGTTCTAGTTTACGGTTAAAGTAGAGGAAGTACATCAAAATATCAGCAGTGGCTCTTCTGGGCAAAGTATGAGGGGGGGATTTTCTCTCCTGTTCGCGTTTCTGTACTTTCTACATTATTTGGAGTAAGCCGTTGTTATTTTTAAACTAAAGACCAAGATGAACGAATTGTATTTTAACAAGAACTCAGAATACAAATAAGGCGATTTTCCCTTATGTTGAGCTGAGCTCTTCCACACTCTATTGCTTCCACCTGAGCCTGAAGTTTAGGGGCCCCAGAGACTACTTTCCATCAGGATGGTCCCAAGATAGGAGAGAAATATCTCCCAGACCTGGATCTTTCCTCCCAAGATTAGCCCCTCCAGGTCCTTTGGCTGACTCCAAACCTTTGAAGGCACAATACCAAAAGTGAACCATAATGTAAACTCTAGGCTTTGGACAATAATGACTGGTCAATGTAGGTCCGTCAGTTGTGACACAAGCACCCTCTGGAGGGGGAGATTGATAATAGGGAGGCTGTGCATGTGTGGCGGCAGGCAGTAAACAGAAAATTCCCGCACCTTCCTCTTAATTTTTCTGTGAGCTTAAAACTACTCTAAAAAAATTGTTTAAAAAAATCAGTTGGCTCAGGTGTATAGTTTCATTTCTGGACTCTCAATTCCATTGCATCGATCCTTATTCTTATGCCAGGACTGCATTTTGGTTACTGTCGCTTTTACTAAGCATTGAAATTGGAAAGTGTGAGTTCTCCAACTTTGTTCTTCATTTTCAAGATACTTTTTAAAATTTTATTTGAGAAGGAGAGAGAGCAAGCGAGAGAGAGAGCGTGAGTGGGGAAGAGAGGCAGAGGGAGAGAGAGAATCCCACGCAGGCCCCATGGGTTCAGCATGGAGCCCAACATGGGGCTCTATCCCATGACCCTGGGAGCATGACCTGACCCGAAATTAAGAGTTGGACATTCAACTGACTGAGCCATGCAGGCGCCCCTCAAGATATTTTTGGCTCTTCAGGGTGTTTGCATTTCCATCTTTCAGTGCACAAACCTCACACCAGCTTGGTTAAATGTGTTCCTAGGAACTGTATTCTTTCTGATGTTATTGTCAGTGGGATTGTCTTAATTTCCTTTTTGGGATTGCTCATTGCTAGTGCATTCAGGTGGTGATGGCCCCAAGGTCACACTCAAGTCAGCATCAGCATCAGAACCCAAGTGTCGGGTTCAGTCACTTTGCACAGAACTGCCAGGCACCAAGGTTTCTGTGTTTCTCATGGTTAGGATCTATCCACCCACCCAACTATCTATCCACCCATTTACCCATCCAATTACTAACCTACCCATGAACTCATCAATACATTTACTCATCACCTATCCATCAATCATCCATCCATCTATCTACACGTCCACCCATCTACCCACACATCTATCAATCATCCACCTATCTCTGTTCATGCACCCACCCACCCACCCAACTACCCATCCATCCATCCATCCATCCACCCACACATCCATCAATCATTCACCCATGCACATATCTATCTATTCACTCCTTCCTTCCTTCCTTCCTTCCTTCCTTCATTCCTTCCTTCCCTTCCTTCCTTCCTTCAAACTTTCTTGGTAGCCTTGCGGTTACCAGGTACTGGGTGGAAGATGAGATAAAGAGTCTGCAGTCCTAGGAAGAGACTGCACTCAGTGAAGGTCCTGGAAGAAGGAGGTGAGAGACCCAGAGGTATGCCCTCTAGGATTCCAGGATTCTGAGCAGAGCTCAGGGAGGCAGCCAGGGGCCAGCACCAGGCCCAGGCTGGGGTGGGGAGAGGGCTGAGTGTAGGGTGAGGACTCTGCTACCCTCTCTTGTGAGCTACACAAACCTCCAGCTATAGCCTTGAATCTGCTTGTCCCTTTCCTGGGCCACACCTGGCTCTGTTTGTCACCTGTCCCACGCCCCACTGACCATAGGGTCAGTTTCTCTTCCCCTTATTTCTCCCCTTTTATCATACTGAGTTCTGGTTTAGATCAAAGTTAAGATTAACTTTAGCTTGGGGGTTCCCATGGGTGGCCAGCAAGGCCACTAGAATTGGGGGAGGCAACTTACTCTAACCCCCTTTAGCTTTATGCCTCACTGCCCCTGCAGGCCCAGGGCCTCCATGCCAAATTCCTTTATGTAGTTATCCTCCTATTTCCTGGCAGGCTGGCCCTTGAAGCCTCTCACCCAGCAGTCCTTGGGCAGAGGGAAACGTTGGAGCCCAGAAAGGGGAAGCAACTTGCTCACAGTCACATAGCATGTCAGAGGCATCCCCTGGGCAAGAGCCCAGGAGATGACAGCAATAGCTGGGGGGCGGGGGGGGTTAGTGAGGGTCATTGTGGATCAGGTACATCACAGACATTGCCTTGAACCCCCACACTTACCCTGTGGGGGAGAGACTAGTTATCTCCCCCTTGTACAGCTGAGGAAACTGAGGCCCACAGAGGGTTTGCATGTCACCCAAGGTCAAGAGCTGAGAAAGGCTGCATGTGAGTGAGGATCCCAGCCTGCCCAAATCTGGGGTATGGGCTCCTACCACAGAGTTTCCCCCGGGACCTTTGCCTGCTGGCCCTCCCTCTAGTCACCCATGGGTAGAGGGACCGTCACTGGGGTCTGCAGCCCCGGCTCAGCCTGCCATCCACTCTTGGGCTTCCTTTCTGCGCTTCTGAAAAGGAGTTGGGGCCACAGAATGACAGAGGGAGGTCACCCCACGTGAGCATGCCTGGTGCTTGGCAGAGGGCAGCTCTCCATACAGGAGCAGTTCTATGTGAGCTCAGGTAGGCCCCATCCTCTGCTGGACTCAGTTTCCCTGTCTATCAGATGGGAGGCCCCAGACTAGGAGTTGGGACATGTAGGAGTTGAGTCTGTCTTGTTAATAATTTTGGGCCTCAGTTTTCCTACCTGTGAAATGGGGCCATAATCCTGGCTGTCAACCTCACAGAATCCTTGAATGGCTCAGCTGAATAACATGTGTCCCCATGTTTTATAAATAGTATGGGCACAATAAGGCCACGCTATAATATCTTAGGGTACAGTTGCCTTTTGGAACCACAGATCTTGTCAGGGCCAAGGCCTTCAGGAGTTCTACCCCTGGGCTTGCTTCCTCTGAGCCCCATCCCTGTCCCTCTCCTGGGCTCTGGGCATTCCAGTCAACTAGCAGGGCTCAGCATGTGCGTTCATGCCCTTGTCCTGCCTATCCCCTGCCTGTGGCACTGAGCACTCCTCCACCCTCGAGAACTCTTGCCCCTGGGACCCTGCCCTGGCCTGCCTCCCAGCATCCTCAGCACGTCCCTTCTCTGCATGGTGGCATCAGTGGGGGCATTCAAGGAAGGAAAGTGGACATCTCAGGAGGGGGTCTAATAGCAGACAGTGAAGCCCCAGGTCCAGGAAGGAGCTCAGACATTATCCAGGAGTCCATGGGCTTCAGTACTGCTGGTGACTGATGTGGTCCATGCAAGAAAAGCAAGCATACAGACATGGTGGAGGATAGTCTATCTTGGTTCGATTTGTATCTCCTATTCTGGAATATTCTCTGGCAATTCTGGATGAGAGTAAAACTACCCCTCAAAAAACATGAGGATGCCTTCTGCCAACTCCTTTCCCACAGGATGAAAAGAATGGTGTTCATGTTTGAAGATGGTTGAGTTTAGGGCATAAAGTGATGAACCCCAATGAGAACACGATTTCTGATTGAATGAAGGACTTTTTATTGAGCATTGATTGGGTGCAGGGAGAAGGGCTGGGATGATCCTGGTGGGAGGAGAGACCTTCCTGGAGGTCCATTGGCTGCACATCCTCTTGGGTGAGTGGGGGTCTCAGGCACCTAAGAGCACTCTGAGGGCACCACCCTCTTCTCCACGGTGCTCCCCTCGTGTGTGACCTGGCAGGTAAAATTGCTATAAGATTTCCACTTGTCAGGTGACAGACTCAGGTAGCTGCTGGCCACATACTTGTTGTTGCTCTGTTTGAAAGGCTTGGTGGTCTCCACGCCCTGGGTGACAGGGGTCCCTTCTGCCTTCCAGGTCACCGTCAAGTTGCCAGGGTAGAAGTCACTGATGAGGCACACCAGGATGGCCTTGTTGGCTCTGAGCTCCTCAGAGAAGGGCAGGAAGAGCATGACCAAGGGTGCGGACTTGGGCTGACCTGTGTGGACAGAGGAGAGGGGGGAGAAACACAGGGAGAGTCCAGGCTTTGGGCAGCCCTTTCCCCATCTATAGCCTCTGTGACTTTTCCCATGGTGGCCATGCTGGTTCACCCAGGGGATCCTCCTTTCCACTTCAGCCCTGGACAGCAGGCAGTTCCCCATGCTCCCAATAGCCCTTCCATGTCACCTCTCCCAGGTAGATGAAAGGTGCATCTGCAGCCTCGGTTTCCCCCTCAGCCCAGCATCTGGCCCCCATATCACTTCATTCTTCTGGATCCGGGTACTTCCCCTGTGAACTGCAGTCATCCCCTGATGACTGCTGACTTTAAGGGGCAGCTGTGTAGCTCTGAACCTCCACTCACTCTCCACTTGGTCACTCTCACCTTAGACAGGTGAGACACCTGGGGCCCTGGGATCATGGGGCTCCAGGGACAGAAAAAAACTCTTCCCATGGGACCTGCTCCTTTCTTTTCCTTTTTTAAAAAGTGTTTACTTGGGGCGCCTGGGTGGCGCAGTCGGTTAAGCGTCCGACTTCAGCCAGGTCACGATCTCGCGGTCCGGGAGTTCGAGCCCCGCGTCAGGCTCTGGGCTGATGGCTTGGAGCCTGTTTCCGATTCTGTGTTTCCCTCTCTCTCTGCCCCTCCCCCGTTCATGCTCTGTCTCTCTCTGTCCCAGAAATAAATAAACGTTGAAAAAAAATTTTTTTTAAATAAATAAATAAAAAGTGTTTACTTATTTTTGAGAGAGAGAGAGAATGGGGGAGGGACAGAGGGAGAGGGAGACACAGAATCTGAAGCAGGCTCCAGGCTCTGAGTTGTCCGCACAGAGCCCAACATGGGGCTAGAACCCACTAACTGTGAGATCATGACCTGAGCCAAAGTTGGACGCATAACCGACTGAGCCACCCAGGTGCCCCAGGACCCACTCCTTTCTGATCAATGTCCTGGGAGGGCCGTGCTTCTGGTCACCTTGTCCTGCATCACTCATGTCTCTGTGTCCCTGCATCCTCATAGCCTCATAGAGGCCCCGAGCGCTTCAGCCTGGATCAAACCAGACTGCTCTGTCCTCCTCCCATGGACCTCCTCTCGGGTTGCTCCTCTATGTTCCTGAAGGCTGAGGTCACAGCCCCAGCCATGTCCCCAACCTCGTGGATGGGCATCAAGCCCTTAGCCAAGACCCCAAACGACTCTCTCCAAGGCTGCCCCAGTGCCCCTAGTCAGAACCAGTCTCTGGACCCCACACAGGTGTCTGCTCTGGAAGAAGGGAAGGAGTCCCCAGTTTTGGACCAACGCCCCTAACCCAGGCCCTAGGACCTGACCACATTCAATTGTCAGACTCTAAAGGTAAATGCTTGTACCATTGAAGTTCTTCCTTCTGGTTTCCCTGAGACCAACCCACCTCCCCCAGATCCCACAGATTTGCTAAGGGCAAATCTTCCCTTAAGGCTGGGAAGCAGATAGGAAATGGCCTCCAGAGAAAAGTAACTTTCCTCAGACAACAGAGGGGTGGGACATGTTGGGAAATATGGTGAAAGCCACTTACCTAGGACGGTGAGCTGGGTTCCTTCACTGAAAACAAGCCAGGGTGATTGAGTTTCGGACCAAAACCCACCGGGCCAGCACCTGGGGCCTGCCCCGTGGGGGCCAGGCCAGAACAGGAACCTGTGATGGGCACAGGGCTGTAGCAGGTGGGGCTGGGCAGCCAGCCTCCCAGAAGCTGTGGCACACCTGGATGAGCCCACAGCCCTGAGGTGTCCCTGTGCCTAGCCCTCTGTTTGAGGCCAACTCCACCCATGGTCTTGTGTATTACCCCTTTCCAAGGCTGTCTTGGTCATCTCCTGATCCTCAGTGCTGACAGTGACACTGCATGCAGTAGGTGTTCAATAAATCCTTGAGTGCCTCGTTCTTTCACATGGTGTGGCAGAGTGAGTCCTAAACTGGCTCAGACCTGTCTGACCTCTCTGGCCTCATTTAGGGCTTCTGAGGGTTCCTCTCCTACAATTTCTCATGGTCTAGCCAGGTGGCTTCCTCCCTGAGCCTACTGGTCTGGGACTGGGTCATTCCTGACTCATGGTGCTCCCATGTGAAGACCCACACACACACTTTTTCTCTACACATCAAAGACACAATTCAATTCCACCTCTTTTATGAAGCTTTCTCTGATCTCTCAGACCACTGTCTTTCTGAGACACCTGTCTGTCCATCTATCCATGTGTCCATCCATCCACCCATCATCCACATATCCATCCATTCATCCATCCACCCACCCATCCATCCAACGGTAGCTCCAGGCACTGTTTCACATGCTTGGACATGGCAGGCTCCCCTGGCTTTCATCTCCATCTCTCCCTGAAAGCTCTCAGGTCAGAACCAACAATGTCCTCTTCCTGGTCAATTCCCTAGTTCGTGTTGTACATTATGGCTCTACAAGATTCAACACAGAGTCAGCCTCTTTTTTCAGTGACTCTCTTCTTGTTGGCACCTGAGATCCCACATTCTTCTCCCCTGACTTCTCTTTCACCCCAGTCAATGCATGGTAGCTGACTCCCAGACTGGCACCCTGGGTCCTCCTCCTTCTTTGCCATCTTCCTACATTGTGGATTCCCACTACTGCCCATTTTGTAATGCTCGAGTCTATTCCAGCCCCAAACCCTCTCCTTGGCTCTCCCTAAATTACCTACTGACCATCTCCAGCTGGATGTCCAATAAGAATCTCAAACTCTCTGTGTCCAAATGAGACTGACCACCCTTTCCCCCTAACCCAGCCCTTTGTCTGTCTTCACCTTGTCACACGTGACCACGAGTGCTCTCACTACCCAACTTTCAGGCCCAAAACCTGTCTTCTTAGATCGTGCATCTAAATATTCCCTTTTAAAGTTAAAACAAGGGGCGCCTGGGTGGCTCAGTTGGTTGAGCGTCCGACTTCAGCTCAGGTCATGATCTCACTCTCCGTGAGCTCGAGCCCCGTGTTGGGCTCTGTGCTGACAGCTTGGAGCCTGAAGCTTGCTTCAGATTCTGTGTCTCCCTCTCTCTCTGACCCTCCCCCATTCATGCTCTGTCTCTGTCTCAAAAATAAATAATAAAACATTAAAAAAAAATTTTTTTAATAAATAAATAAAAACAAGACTCAGAATAATTGAGAAGCAATAGAATCACCCTCTGATACTCCAAAACCACAAGAAGCCCCAGGTTTTGCCTTTGCTGATGTTAACTCCTAACTGATACAAGGATGTGACATTAAGTTGGGGCTTATTGCATGCAAACATCTCCGCCAGAGGATTGGACCAGTGCATTTCCACCTTAGAAGCTGGTCCAGTCAGATGTTGTTGGTTTTGTGCTGCAATATGATTTTTGTTTTAAAATTATAATAATATTACATATATAACACAATTAAGCAATAAAATACATTTAAATACCTTTTTAAAGTGTAATATTTATCTCTCCATCTGTCCTGTTGTGTGTAGTGCCATTTTCCTCTTTTTTTCTTTTTCTTTCTTTCTTTCTTTCTTTCTTTCTTTCTTTCTTTCTTTCTTTCTGTGTATGTGTGGTAAAACATACATAGCATAAAATTTTACCAATCTCAGTCATTCTATGAGGCTAGCATTACCCTAATACCAACACCAGACAATGACATTATAAGAAAAGAAAACTACAGAACAATATCTCTTATTAATATAGATGCAAAAATCTTCAACAAAATATTTGCCAATTGAATACAAGAATGTATTAAAAGAATTATACACCACAACCAAGTGGGATTTATCCCAGGCATACAAGGCTGGTTCAGCATTTAAAAGTCAGTTAATGGGGGCGCCTGGGTGGCGCAGTCGGTTAAGCGTCCGACTTCAGCCAGGTCACGATCTCGTGGTCTGTGAGTTCGAGCCCCGCGTCAGGCTCTGGGATGGCTCAGAGCCTGGAGCCTGTTTCCGATTCTGTGTCTCCCTCTCTCTCTGCCCCTCCCCCGTTCATGCTCTGTCTCTCCCTGTCCCAAAAATAAATAAACGTTAAAAAAAATTGTTAAAAGTCAGTTAATGTAATCTATCATGTCAACAAGCTAAAGAAGAACAAAATCACATGATCATATCAATAGATGCAGAAAAAGCATCTGACAAAACCCAACACCATTTATGACAAAAAAAAAAAAAAACTCAGTAAACTAGGGCTAGAAGGGAATTTCCTCAAGTTGCTAAAAAATATCCACAAAAACCCCCACAGCTAACATCATATTTAATGGTGAAAAACTTGAAGCTTTCCTAATAAGGTCAGAACATGGTAAGGATGTCCCTTCTCCCCACCACTTTTCAATATCATATTGGAAGTCCTAGCTAATGCAATAAGACAAGAAAAGGAAACAAAAGGTATACAGATTGGGAGAGAAGAAATAAAACTGTCTCTGTAAGTATGTGATTATGAAGAAAATCAAAAGAATTGACCAAAAAACTTCTGGAACTAGTAAGCAATTATAACAAGGTTACAGATACAAGATTAATATACAAGTCAATTACTTTTCTATATACTGACAATGACAAGCAGAATTTGAAATTAAAAACAGTAGCATTTACATTATCATCCCCTTCAAAAGGAACTACTTAGGTATAAATCTAACAGAATATATACAAAATCTATATGAGGAGAACTACAAATTCTAATGAAAGAAATCAAAGAAAACCTAAGTAAATGGAAGAATATTCCATGTTCATGGATAGAAAGACTCCATATTATCAAGATGTCAGTTATTTTCAACTTGATCTATAGATTAAATGCAATCCCCAATCAAATTCACAGCAATAT